AAAATAAAACAATGTTTTATCGACACGGGGAAGATTGAACGAAATAAACATTAGATTGCATAACAAGTATGTGCAACATAAAGCAGTCTGTTACCAAACCGAATGACCAATTTTGTTTCGTTGCTCCGGAGACAGCCATTTGCCACTTGCATAGAAATGAGTGGCTACCAACTTCCCATTCTTTTTGCGAAAACTAAAACATTAGATAGTGCGTCCCGTTTCTGGCCAATGAGGAATAGTTTTATATAATATAGTCTTTCTCTTCTTTATTCAGATATGTTCAACGCGTCCAAAGCAGCCTGGCACACGTTACTAAAAAAAGAAGTAACAGTTTACGATTACAATTACGCTTGGTTAAAAAGTATTTAATTCGATTACTTGATTACTTGAGAAGAAAAGCGATTGGTCGTTACTTAAAAAGTAACCGTTACTTTTCTAATTACTTCAAGTTTCCAAAATGGCAGGTTTTATTCGTGTTTTAAAACGTGCCTTCTGTACTCTCCACTATTGGACTAGAATCACCGAAATATAAACTATGCATAACTTATATATCCACCGATTTGGGTAAAACATTTTCCTGTCAGGGATTCGGTTCCAGGATTTCTTAGTGGGAAACCTGTACAAACTAAGGGCGCCATTAGAAAGGAGAGGAAAAATAGCAATGATCACTAGCAATTTTAATGCTTTCAAGAGCAACCCAGTTACTCTTGTGATTAGTTCCTAATGAATGTAATCAAAGGATCATAAAATTACCCCAAAAAGTAATCGACCCAGAGTAGTTTGATTACTTGTAATGAGTGCAGTACCACCCTGGTCCAAAGTTACCTAGCTCAAAAGTAAAAAGAAGCTCCGCAAATGGTGTGTTTTTGTTTTCTCCCGTAACATTCATAAGCATAAACATCGTAACTTATCATCGTGGAAAATTAAAATATCGTTACCAAAATGAGCATATTCAGCCTTATTTGCACGGATACGCATAGTATTAAAGTTCAGAGGAACATGTATAGAGCTAGACGTGTTTACATGTTTATTTTACGATATTTGCTTGTGCTTATGTAGGTTACAAGTCGAAATATTAAGATTTGCCGTAAAATAATATTTCAGTCAAATCCACGTTTTTTTTTTGTTTTTTTTTTAAACTCGCCTTTTTTCTTTGGGACGAGGGGGGGGGGGGGGGCGATTGTTATTTGGGTAGCTTCAAATAGTTATGAGGTGTCAATTGACGCTATTGTGCGTGCACGTGAGAAGTTGTCACGGTTGTGACCATTACCCTTATTTTAACGTCGCCATCGAGCCTAGAAAAAAAAATATCCGTAATGTTTTAGTACAAATGTCACCGTCGTTCTGGAGTTTTTTATTGTGGGAAATATTTTCTTCCGCGATAGCGGTTGTCGTTAATATTTGTTTTTTCTTCCCAGCTACACTTGCGGCTATTTTTGTCTTTCAGTGGTGCTTTCGAGGGTTAGGAGCTTTGTTTTATGGTTTCAATGCTGTGCAGTGTCTAGCCGTGGTTTCTTTTTTGAAAAGCGCTTCACAGGTTTCGGATGAGTGGTCTTTGGTTTTTAACAATAAATATAATGCCGAGTTTGCGAAAACATTCAGGCCATTGCAACTATAAGCAGGTTTCTTTGGGAAATTCAAATGAAAAAAAAAATAGAAATGAAAGGATAATATGGCGTTCATAATGCATTCCTTGCGTCTCTGATTACTTTTGTTGCTCTAACGCCTCCATAAAAAAAAAAAAAGAAAAAAAAAGACGATTAAAATTGTTTTCGACCTAGAGGCGTTATTACTGAAGATTCTGTAACCTTCCCTTCTGCTACATTGGCACCAACGTCGCTAATAGTCACATGTCAGATATCACCACCGGTATTTTCAACTCAAATTACATCTAAAAAATATCCACCTACCAAGGAAACTACATATATAACAACGCCGAAAATAACGTTCGGAAGTGACAACCCCAAAATAACACGAAGTTATTAACAGGAACTTACAAAAGCAAGCGGAAAGATATTATGTAAACGCGTTCACCTGATAAGTGCATGGGAAATAGCACGTTTAAGAATAGAACAACTGAAAGGTTTGCTTATGAAAGAAAAAAGAGCAGAAATAAATATAGCGTTGTTGTCACTTTGCGCGCACAGAGCCACAACAGCCTTTTAAACTGGCGCATAGCGTCGACGCTATTTCTTTAATTATTTTTCTTTTACCCATGCAAATGTTTTGGGTGCGCCAATAAAGGGTTTTAATAAATCGTTACGATACTTCTGAAAATAGAGTTTTAGGGAACCATTTTCGCACAAACCAAACGATACGATCGGCTTTCCGGATATGGACTACGCATGCGCAAGGTCACTGCTGACTTATCGTTGTCTAGTGTCCGAACCGTAGGCTGTGATCGTGTGGTCGAAGGGGCTGACATCAGAAGCCTCTCGACCAGGGTGCAAGAATATAGACAGGTGGGGAAACGAGAGCCCAATGAGCGACCGGATTGTGTCCCCCTCGGTTTTCTCTTTTTCTGTGGCGCCATCTATGTGGAGCATCGCGAACTCTCATTCCGGGTGGGCGACCTTTGGCGACCGGCTAAACTGACGGAAGTGGTTTCTCGTGGATTTTCAGTAGAGGACTGTCGTGCTCTCGTTTTATTTTCCGCACTCTCCCATTGAGTTCCGTGCAAATCCGATTCCGATTTTTTTTCCTCTCGCCGCAGCGCCATCTGTCGCAAATCGGTGGTACCCGCAAGCAGACGAGTACACGATCCGGTCACGGCGCGGCGGTAGACTTCTATGGGCCGTTTCCCCACCTGTCTATCTTACACCCTGCTCTCGACTCAAATATAGAACGGCTGTTTCTCTGTGGGAAGAGGCTTGCCGAATCTTCAAACTCGAATGAAAGCATTCGTGGTTGTGCCTGAAGGAAATGTCATGGCAACGGTGAGAGAATCAAGTCGAATTCACGACAAATAAAACAGAAAACAAGCGAAACGCGAACGAAACACCAACACTTTCTTAGAATCACATTGTTCGTTTGTCTCAGTTTGCGGGGATGTGGCATAGCTCAGTTGGTTGAAGCGTCGCTGTGCCGTTTTGATAAAGGGGCCGACGACACGGGTTCAAACTCTGTCTGATGACCCAGCCCTTAGGGGTTAGGGTGTCCGCGATTTGCAGCGCAGAGCGAAGATAAGCTACGTCAGCAGCGAAGCCGAGGTAGCATACCCACCTCACCCATCGACGCGAGGTCGAACGTCCCGGTCTTGCCGTCAACAATGCCCTTTTTTTGGGGGTAGCCCAGTCAAATAAAAGAGAGTTTTCTAAGTTTTTCTCGCAGAATAAATCTAAATCGAACTCACTGTCAAAGAATTCTAGCGCCATGATTGCAGCGGAGATTGTCTGCTCCTTTAGCAGACGAACTGTCCGTTCACGGTGGGGACTCCACCGCTATATTTAACGCTCTCATTTGAGCGAAACGAGACAAAATATGGTTAGTTCCACAAATTTGGCTTCAGGCTATTTGTAAAAAAGGAAATGTTTTTTTTTTATTCTAAAAAAAATACAAAAATTGCCCTTTTTTGTTTACTTTACGAAGGCATTGCGCATTTCCGTTGCCAGGGGGCGCGACCCACATCGATCGTCTGCAAACGCGGCTCTCTAAAAGCCGTTTCATAGAAAACGATCTGACCGAGCTCCCGAACCGAGGTACCGATCGTTGGGTCTATCGACTGAGTCCTATTCCGGTTCCCTAAAACCCTTTAGTGGTACCAGATAACGATACGATTCACGCGGTAGGCGTCCGCGAAGTATCGGGTATAGTTTTCTGAATCATCGGAACGACCTGCTAAAACTTTCTAATGACTGCAGTCTTTTACGCGTTACTGAAAAATAGTAACCGATTACAATTACAATCACTTTAATAAAAAATGTGACTGATTACAGTAATCAATTACTGCATCACAAAAGTAATTGAAAAGAAATACCAGAAAGTAATTGACTACTTTTCACGCTATTTATTTAACTTTTTATTACTGAATTAAAAATTTATACCTATGTTCAAAGCGGTTACTTTTTTTTTCCAGTCACATTTTATAAGCTTTAACAGCAATTGTCGTTCGAAATTCTCGCCAGTCACCTTCCCACGTTTCCTGTTGAAGATATCTGCCGCGACGCTAAAGACACTCTCGACCAGGGTGTAAGATAGACAGGTGGGGAAACGGCCCATAGAAGCCTACTGCAGCGCTGTGACCGGATTGTGAACACGTCTGCTTGCGGGTACCCCCGATTTGCGACAGATGGCGCTGCGGCGAGAGGAAAAAAATCGGAATCGGATTTGCGTGGAACTCTATAGGAGAGTGCGCAAAATAAACCGAGAGCACGACAGTCCTCCATTGAAAATCTACGAGAAACCATCTCCGTCAGTTTAGCAGGTCGCCACCGGTCGCCTACCCTGGGTGAGAGTTCGCGGTGCTCCACATAGATGGCGCCACAGGAAAAGAGAAACCCGAGGGGGACACAATCCGGTCGCTCATTTGGCTCTCGTTTCCCCACCTGTCTATCTTACACCCTGCTCTCAACGTGGATACGCTCGAGGAAAGAGCGGTGTTGTTGAGCACAAACACTGCGTATCAGTTCGGGGTTCGACCGACGCTTCCGAGTCCTCTAGGAAGGGAAGCGCGTCACTGTTGCGACTGATTGTTGAAAGCATTTGAGTCAAAACGTCGCTGATTGCGTTGACGTTCTAATCATTCCGGTATCTTGGTATCATTTTTTTTCATGTGTTAATTGAATTACAACGAAAGTTACCGCAGAAGAGGACTAATGGAAGCGTTGAAAAGTTACAATGAAATGTAATTCACTAGGAGATATCAGTTATACTTGTAACTGGTTGCACACATTTCTGAATGAACGCCGCATGGTGTTCTACGTGTGCTCTTCTATATCGTGACACGCTATGTGCAGTTAGAAAATGTTTGCCGATTGTGCGCTTCAATCTCACCTCTCCAGGTTCCTGGCCACGTCCAAATTCCAGCCCACGTACGCAAGACGCGCGTTCCCGTGCTTCGATGAGCCCAACTTCAAGTCGACATTCAACGTCACTCTGGTTCATGACCGGAAACACATGGCCCTTTCGAACATGCCCGTGCTTGAGGTGCGTACGGATTGTTTCACTTTATTCTTCCACAACACCAAATATAAGAGAACAAAATTGAGTGCTGATGTGCTGATGTCAAAATATTTTAATAAAAAAAAAACATTTTAAAACCCGCTTGTGAGGTTACGTTCCAGTAGAACAGGAAACAGTCAAATACGGTTATCAATAGAAGGATCCCAGCGAATTACGCAGTTCAGAATACATTTAGATAATTGCGCAGGGGAGAATTAACGAATTAACGCTTTAGGTATCATCGTATTCTTGGCTTCGTCATTCCTTGGGACCGTTTTATTGTTTGCCTCGAATGCCCGTTTCTAAGCTCCGCTGGAAGGTTAACTCACAGGCGTTTTTTTCTAGAGTCCGGCTGTGACCGACAAATATCAGTCCTCCCATCTGCTCGGTCGACTTCAGTTTAATCTTTCATTAGCAGAATCAGTAATATGACACCTGTACTAATTGTCTGACTTCTGGCTCCCGATTTGTCGCCCTTCTCATTTCAATAACCCCATCCTTAGATGTGATTGCAACGCAATAATTTGTCTGTTTGTTCAACGTCCAAGTTTAAGCGTTAAATGTCTGTGCACAATCCGCAATACGGGAGAACTTTATGGTGGTATTTTATTCACGCGAAAGAAGCTGAAAAAAAAATTTTAGTGATCACGTGTTAGGTTGGCTCCCTCGAGCTTCGTACTCCAAGGCTCTCTTACTTTTAAATTGTGTCAAGTTAAATAACAGAAACGAAAATCAATCCTGCGTTTTGTTGTAAACGACCTCATTCGACAGTAAACCCTAACCATTCCTTGTTACCGCAATCTTACTAAAATTACCAGTTTCAATGACCATCGCCTTTTGTATTTGTATATATTTTAAATTGTGGAATTCTTTGCTCTTTTAGTCGGATTGATTAAACCTGGCCAACCGCGAATATATCATACATATTCGACGCGGCAAAGTATGGAAAATTAAATTTATGCAGCCATTATCCACTTCAATGCCCCGCTTATATTCATGGCCTACACCGCTTAACAACTTCACAATTGACCGCATAACTATTCATGGTAAACAAAAAATAATTCGCGCCCTTACATTATTTTAGGTAAATAATATCGTTACATTTTACAAGTTTATTCTTTAGGCTTTTAGCATTTTTCTAGAAAAAAAAATGCCATCGAAGTGAAACTAATGCGTTCAGTGTAGGTTCCCTGCGAAAATAGAGGATCAGATTATCGTCCCAGTTTTTTGCACCGCCATCCCCACGCCTGTTCTACGAGTGTAACGTACTCCACCTAACTTTGCTCTTCCCACGTCGTTCGAGCCTCTCTAAAATTGACTGATAAGTTGTTTTCGATGACGCTCAGCAAGTTTCTTATGAAAACAAGTTGTTTATATTCACCAATTAAAAAGCTAACTCATATACTCGTGGTCATTATGGTGCTCATCATGACGATTAGCCCCTGTGTTACGTCCCTCCGGTCGCACAACTCGCCCGCACAAAACAAATTAAAATAGCTCTCAGAGATTTTTTTTTTTCGTTTATTTTTTGAAGTTTTAGATAAAATCACCTTGTATTATGAAACTGACGACACGCTGTTTACAAAGTAGTCAGCGTTTGCCCACACCGGGTCTGGGCACTGCGCGTGCACAAAAGCCAGATTCGCGTGAAGTGCGACCGCAGCGGTGTGACGCGAGGTCCACATATATTGGTGTACACCAGCGAGGGCACCGGAACCAGTCGAGCTTCCTCTTGGAAGCCTTTCTCGGGTGTCTTCGCGAGAAATTATGTGCCGGAAATAAAGTTTAAGGTTAGTGCACAAGGAACGATTCCGCAGCTCTCGCTAAATGCTACAGCGACACACGCGTGTGCTCAGCGCCCGTCAAAAAACCGCTCGGGTCGGAAGGTCAGAACGATCGCGTGAAATGACGAACGCCGTTCGCGGTTCAATGAAGACAAAAAAAAAACCCAAAAAAACCGGAGCCTCTGATTCGACGTAGCGTGGAATATTCCTCGCGTGATGTTGGAGGAGTTTTCTACGGGTCCGTTAACCCGCAATCTTTTCGCAATACGAGATATTCAAGAGCGGAGTTTCATCGAATGGAAGCACCGGACGCTAATGCACGAGGCCTCTGGCGCCGTAAATTACCGATCTCTGTCACGAAGGCGGTGTCGCCACGGGGGAGTCGAAAGGAATATCTTGTTCCGCACACCTCCCCGACGAAATGAAACGGGAACACGCAGCCAGTTCTTAGGCTCGCATTTGAAGAGAGGAAGCTCAGCTGAGACAAAGAAGAAAGACGCACGAGGGGCATTACGTCCCGCGTACAGGACTGACACAAACGGGTTACCTTAGTAGTACCCGCGGTAATCGTTTTGGCGTGGGTTCGCAGCGCACCTTCCCCGGTTGTGTTTCCTGTGTACGGTCGGGGGGGCTGGGGAATTCCTCCGCTAAAATGTCAGTGTGTCGCATGACGTCAATGACACCAGAACGTGACATGACACTGCGGGGACGTCCCATAGGACATCGTGAGGTGACGGCACATCGTGACGTCTCGTGATGTGGTCACGTGACACTGTAACGTCACATGACGTTCACGTTTGTGTGCAGCGTGATTGTGTATGCTCTGTTTGTAGCGTCTCGGCTGCCGTCGCAGTTTAGTTTGGAGAACGCCGCACAGAACCGGAATATTTTTTAGTTCCCATTATGCAGAGACAAGCTCTCTTGAGAATGATAATAGGAAAAAGAGTGGATGACAGTGATCTTTAAAGCAGTAGGTGTCAACTAAATTGTTTCCACTAGACCAGCGTTATGTTCCAGGAAATGGCAATGGTAAACCGTCACATAAGTTTTATGGCTACAGTGTTTAATAAATTATTTATAAAAGTTTTTATTAAGTAAATAGAGAGCAATATAGATATCCCGCCCTTGAAATTGAACCCGAGCCTTTTCGATCAGCAGCTCGATGATCTACCTCTAACCATTGGGACGATTTTTTTCTTAGTTTTTTTTTTTTTAGATAACAGTTTTTGAATACAACACAATAAGCATGCATTATTATGTAATAGTCTAATCAATCTAAAAAATTTTTTGTGAAAGCTCATTTTTAGACAGCTGTCATAGACATTCTATAGTTGACGCCTTACACCTGTGGCTATTGGGATAACCTTTAATATACACCAAGATCTGACCTCAAAATCTAATTCAGTGATTCTAAAAAGAAATCCACACACATACGTATACACACACGCCCACGTACACACAAACACAGACACACACGCGCGCACGCACACCCATACGCAGGCAGGCTCACACGCACGCACAAACTCATGCGGACGCGCGCATTCAACACCACCCAAAAGCACGGGCACGCATATGTGTTTCTCTTTTGATTCGGGCAGGTTTAGATTTGGACGCGACCTGTTGTAAAAAATATAATTGATCGTGCGCGACACGACATGTCCGTACCCGCGTTAATTCCTTCAGTGACGTGTAATTCCACCAAAGTTCTCCCCTTCTAAACTTAACGAAATTCCTATAGGGCTAACATGTCGTACTGGATAGTTTCGACGCAAACGGGAGCGCTTAAGTTGCTACGTAAGAATAGTTACAATGCGTAGGCGATTACGCAATCTCATCACGCGAACTGATCACGCAATCACGTAGCCTCATCACGCCATGGCATCATTGCATCGGGTGACGTGACGTCATAGACTCCTAATAAGCATAGCTTCGGACTTCGCCACTAAACAGTGTCGCAACCCGCGCAATCCAAGTGTCCGTGCCGCGGGTAACTTGAGCAGTGCGACGTAAGTGTAGAGCGAAACGATCGACGACACAGACGCGCGTGTTAGTTTCGGCTTCAAACCCTGTCCAAGGATGATATTTCTCGCATCGCGGCGCCCACGACGAATGTTTTAAAGATTTCACACCACGTAAAGTCTAGATGGAGGCCAAGCGTCAATTCTCTAATTACATTACGCCCCCAAACAGCGAGAAAAAATATAAAAAAATCAATGAAAATGTTTTAGTTGGTTAGCTAACTAATTAAGAAATTTTGTCCATTTTTCGTAACCCGCAAGTTATTCCCAGGGCTATATAAATAAAAAAAAAAACCTGACGTAAGATTTGTAACAACTTTTATTTATGGTTCCACTGGAAACAATAATGAGCCATTCCACTCTGTCAAGGTGGATGACCAGCGAAGCTGTTGAACACACGACAAAGACGTGACAGAAGTTTGAACACAGGTACGAACACATTTATTGTCTGGATCGCTGGTCATCGTTACGAACGGTACGCACACACACATGTCGAGGACTAACGCCCCTCCCCCCCCCCCCCCCCCCCCCGCCCCCCTGAAGGAGCTGGAGGAAACTAGACACGCGTAACGGGATCGCCACCCGGCGGAAGCAAAGGAAACTAGGCACGGAAGTGCTTGGAACGACGACAAAAAGAGGGCGGTGCGCTTCCCTCCTCCACCTCCTTTCCTCCTTCTTCCCTCCAGCCCTGAATTTGTTCATGGGTTACGTGGCACAAAGTCGTGAAGTCATTTTCCCCGCTAGCGGGGAAAATGACTTCATGACTTCGCTTCACGACATTCGACCCGCCAAATTTAGCGAGGAAACTGAATAATGTTGAGGTCACGTGATGTAGCGGGAAAATTCACGTCACGAAGGCGTGACATCGTTTTTGTTTGCGCACACGAGAAATCCAGGGTATCCAGCCATTTACGATTACGCTGTAAAAAAAAAAAAAAAAAGAAACAGACTTTTACATAAAATGGAAACACGCGCTTGTGTCCACGCCAAGAATCCTGTGGCATTAGGAGAGCCATTTGCTGTGATCCACGAAGGAAGCTCGGTGAATGACGGGCAGTGGTTGGAACGGGGCATCTCAAATTGTGTTTTTAATTTGGTGTAGTATTTCATGCAGATTACTTAATGATATATATTTGAGTAGCCGGCTACATTTCTTACCTGCCAGCATCTTTTTTTTTTTAATTATTACTTTATCAGACATAGAAGAAAAATAGATTCGTCAACATTAGAAGATTGACCCAAGACGCAGGACGAATATAGGCACCTCGATTCTTCCTGCTTTCTCAGAAGCGTCGCTTTCCTGCTTACCGCCACTTGCACCGCGATGATTCAGTGGGGACTAACCGGTTTATGTTTATTTAGTGTCGGTCCGAGTGTTTACACGGCGCCGGTCGAAATACACGTGCAGGAAGCGGCTGTCTTCGAGGCCGTTGCCAGTGGGACAACAATGGGAGACTCGAATTCAAAGTTTACCTAGAGACATCTCTTCACGCTCTGCTGCTTTGTGGAGTGGGGGCTTTCCCCCTTGGCTCGCTGCAATCGCTTCTTCCGGACATCCCCGCTATTTTGTCCTTCTTTCTACACTCTACAACAGTCTAGGTTGTGACATCTCGCATGACGTAGACACGTATTATTTTATGTTTAAATGTATTTTTAGCTTCGCGCCATTCGCTGTGTGGGTTTACGGCGATTAGCTCTTCCGAGTGCTTTGCGGGAAAGCGGACGCACCGGATTTTTATACCTCATTTCACTTTACGTCGAGAAGCAGCCGTAGTGATGCCAAATTATCGATAAATTGACTATCGATACTATCGATAGTTTTTCCAAAACTATCGACAGTGTCGTAGAACTACCGATAGGCAACTATCGATATCATTATCGATAGTACTATCGATAGTTTTTTATATTCGACAATCTATAGTTTTTTTTTTTTTTTACTATCAATTATCAAATTTTTGGCGACTATCGATAGTTTGGCACTACTAGTTTGTAGTAGTATTCGCGTGCGGAGCGAACACAGATGCCGCACCGCCGCTCACCTCCCTTTCTCCTCTCTTCACTCAAACTCCCGTCTTCGTCATCACTGAACGCTGTACCAAAGTTGGGATGGTAAGTGCATAAGCTAGTTGGTGTCCCGTTTGAAAACAAGAAAAAAAAATGAAGTGAGAAAAAGAGAAGAGGGAGCGGACGCAAGCTACTAGCGCAAAACTATTGATCGTAAACCGTCGACAGTACTATCGATAGGTTTACGATAGTGGACTATCGATAGTTTTCTGATAGTCGACAGTCGATAGTACTATCCATAGCTTTTTGATACTCGTCTCTTGATAGTACTATTAATAGTTTTTCGATAGTCGAATATCAATATTATTTCGATAGTTTTTCGATGGTCGACTATCGATAGTTTTTTTATAGTCGACTATTGATAGTACTATCGATAGTCTTTTTACTATCGATAGTCAAATTGCTGGCGTCTATCAATACTATTGATAGTACTATCGATAGTTTTGCACCACTACGCAGCCGACGGTACAAACTGTTGGGACCAATGAGACAGCAGTCAAGCGCGGTACATCATCGTGGTGTTCGTCATGTTTCTGTACCTGTTTTATAATCGCTGAACCAATCCCAAACAGAGAAGTCCCAGTGACTCGCGCTTTTGAAGCTGCTTGATACTGGTCCCTTTACATCGTAGCGTCGGCTCCGTCTGGACTTGAACTGCAACCAAGTTCGGTCGGGTAGTGCACCGTACAATATAATAATTGCAAAAAAAAACGAAAAAAAAAAACGAGGTATTTGATCACGTTCCAACACCCTGTGGGGTACAACCCACGTTTTTGGATGTATCAGTCGACAAGTACACGGAAGAGCGTCGTTCAAACAGTATCCTCTGTTGCCTGCACGCGCTCAGGTACGGGCTGATAGCGACCCACCGCCACCAACCGCTCCCACGAACAACAAAGAAAAAAAAAATCTTTTCGAGAGACGTTTTTCTTTTTTTTTCCCAAACTTTTGGCGCCGATTTTAAGTTCACATTAAAAAAAAGCAAACCTCGAAAGAATCACTTTCTACCGCGGGCAATGTGCAGTCAACGTTCTATCGGCTCTGTCGTTTCTGTTCATAGAACGGGCCGATAGCGTAGCGAGTGCCACCGAGCGGACGCGCCACGAATTGTCTCAGATCTAGTAACGTTGGGTACAACACGGCACGCGGCACACAGACACGAGAAATCTACTAGCCACTACAGTGTTATATACGTGAAAGGATTTTGAAAGGAAGCATAATTTTCTGCACCCGAGACATTTAAACAAAAATGGCTGAGAGAAACGAAACTCAAAATTGTGGTAAGAATTAATTCGAGAAGTAACTAATAGCAAATTCAAAAATTTCCCACGTCTTTTGTATAACACTAGCATACCATCCCATGCTACGCTGAAGACCTGCAGCTCTCGTTCAATTGTGCAATATTAAAAACAAAAGTGTGCCTTTCTGTCCTCTCCTTTGACAAGTTTGCTGATTTTGTCTGATTTTACCCCTCATCGCTGTACACTCATCCTCCGCTAATATGTAGGTTTTGACCGTATTTCAAAGTTTCAAAACTTACCGTTGTCTAATGCAATAGTTACAAGCGAGTTTGGTCATTTTTCCAATGGAACGCGATCCATTTTCTAATGGAAAATTACCAATAAGTGCTGATGACATTTGCATTAGACAACGGTAAGTATTGAAACTGGCGTTTGAGTCGGACCTCTGTCTCTACATTTTGGTACTGACTGGCCATTCAGTGATAAGTAGTTTATTTTTGCGGTAAGAAAAAAACACGCTTTTCCTTTCTCCTCAAACACCCGCTTTATTTCGCGTGGAAAAGTTATGTTTTTATTTTGTTGTGGAACGCTTCGTCTGATAAAACCTTTTATGCTCTGTTACGAAGATTTAATATTAAACCTTATTTTAATTGAGACTGGGAGTGAAGGACTGCCAATTTAACCACAGGTTGAAAGATCCTATGAGTAGCGAAACGTAGCTTGCGCGGTAACATGTGTAAACGCCATGTGCAGAGCCTCTTTTGCCCCTGATATTGTCAGCAGCGCATGGTGTGGCTTATTCATGCTTTTTGCTTTCTGATTCGCTGTTTGGCGTTCTTACCGGCTAATGATACCACGTACACTGCTATGAACAACGCTACACGTGAGCGTTACGTGAACACGTGCGCGTTACGTGAATGAGCTAGTCAGATAGGCAGCCAGCTGTCTTTCAAAGTTATATTGACGGTTATAAAACAGTTTGGCTTCCGAATCAGTCTCAAGCTTATAAAAGGCTTTGGATTTAAGCCATTAACTCTGCTTACGTCAGTAGGTGGAGGCTTCTCGTTTGCGTGAGAATGGCGACAGGTGTTACCGTCACCTGCTGTCATCCCGTTAAAGGATCGCGAAAACAGATGTTATTACGTGCTTGGCGTCTTTTGAATTTGATTATAGAGCCTTCCCGATGATTGAGAAGTGATACTTTGGTGCTCTATGCCTAAGAAGAAATGAGAAATATCAAAGCGAAGAGTGGCGCTTGCATGAGTACAGAGGCCGATGTTAGATATGTGTGTTGAGTTTCATAAGAGGCAATGACTTTCTTTTTTCCTGATCCGTATTCAACACATCAACCAAATAGGTTGTTCTTTTCTTTTTCAGGGAAATACCACTTATCAATGACAGACTCGTATTCAAAACATCAACCAAACAGGTTGTTCTTTTCTTTTTCAGGGAAATACCACTTATCAATGACAGACTTTTCAAAAAATTTCGGACGCATCTAGTATGTTAGATGCTTCGAAACCTAGTTACAATTTTCTCCAACATAAAGCATGATACTAAGAAAACGTCGAGACGAGAGGAAGAAAAATGACAAAAGTACAAGTACAACACCTCCACGCCTCCGGACCAAAAGGTGGTTGGCATGATTAGAGCTTTGAACTTTCTCCAAGAAAGCACGTGTGAAGCTTTCCGGTTTTTTTAAGAACAACCCTAAATTTCAGGTATCCACAATGAAATCATACACATCTGCCATGTTTGTTTGTTTCGTTGTTTCTTAAACCGGGGGGCCGGGGGGGGGGGGGGGGGGGCGAGGAAGGCTGGAGGGGTGATGAGAGAGAGATTAACAACGCACAAGGACTTAAGGAAATAAGACACGGTATAAATATAATGCAATACCAACAAACGAATTCAAAAAATAACCTGCGCCTGCCAATTAGCACACAAATTAGTTCGGTCGGCAGAGAGAGGGAAATAAAAAACTTGTAATATTTATAATCTAAGCTCGCTTATGATTTCATATTCTATATATTAAAAAAGGAAACCAAAAAGCGCTTCGTCATTTTTTACACTTATCGCCTACATTGATTAATTGGAAAACGATTTATCACATACAACGCCCTGCCAGCGACCGATTTGTTCTGAAAACATGAGCGTGTTTCTCGGGAAGATCTGTGGCCCATCGGCAGTACAAATGCACTGTTTCTCGAAGAGCAGAGCTCACCCAAATGAATAACGGCACCATCATTGCCACACACTTCGCATCGCTTTGAGAAGTGAGTGGCGCAAACAGCACACAGGCGCTCGCGGGTTTTAGTGTATACGAGAGGTTTTGTTATCTTTATTTCGAAAGCGATCCGCTGAGTATATAATTATTCAGCAACGCACCTTGTTTGTTTTTTTGAAGGGCTACCCTATGGAACGCGAAGATGGGAAGATGGTTACAAAATTCCAAAAGTCGGTGCCCATGGTGACTTACCTTGTCTGCTTCATTGTATCTGACTTCGAGAGGACTCAGACCGTCGCCTCTGTCGACAAGATACCGGTAGGTGCAACTTATTTACCGGGCGCAAGCTTTTCTTTCGTCCGTTGGTATCTCTTGATACTATATTATACCAAAGAAGTTGAGTACAATGCAGTTGAAGGCACAGGAAGGCACAGCTGCAGATGATGTGATTGCACGAGCTTTCCTCAAAGGAATTCGCTTGATGAAGCCAAGACTATGTCTTCCACAACGTTGAACAAACTTATGACATGACCAGATTTTCCGCATTACTGTTATTATGGTGAGTTCTTTCTTGCAGTTCTCAGTCTACGCAGCGCCGAATCAGCTGAACAAAACACTCTACGCTTTGGACATAGGCTCTCGGATATTGAACTTCTACGAGAAATACTTCGGCCTGAAATACCCGTTGCCTAAACAAGGTAATAATTTGACTCTACGTATGAATCGCAGGGCCAGCCTAGTTTGTGAATTAATGATAGGATTATATTTTAGCACTGTAGATTTCTTGGTTTTTAAGTACAAATATTTGCGTATATGAAAATGAAGATTTGATTAATGCTAAAGTCTTAACAAAACAAAACACTGCTGTGGAAGTACACAAAAGCGAAACTCCACTAAAGAAAAATATATAAAGAAAAACAGCCAAAGGAGAAATTTCTGTAACGTTAGGTCATTGGGAGATATTCGTGGCTGCTTGAACCCCAAAGCCGTGGTACCTACTTTCCGCGTCCCTGTTCTCCTTTTAGATATGATCGCCATTCCGGATTTTGTGTCGGGAGCTATGGAACACTGGGGTCTAATCACCTTCCGGGAAGTGAACCTACTGTACGACTCCAAGCTGTCTAGTCCTCGGAACAAGCAACGAGTTGCTGCAGTCATTGGCCACGAGCTCGCGCACATGGTACTGTGACTTCAACCCTTTTAGTTAGCGATTGACAGCTTGAAATGTCCTTCAGCGTGAAATAGAGTCAGAGTCTAGCTTCACCTTCTTGTACCGTTTTAACTAAAATATGCCCGCGAAAGTTCTGTCAGACAGATGAACTAGGTCATGCGTTTGGGTCAGGGGTGCTTCTTAACTCCTGCGATGAAATGAAGTAATCAAATTTAATATAGATGGCGCCCTAACAATATACCTATTTGAAAAAAGGGATTGACTTTAAAAGTTGGTTATTAAGTTATGTGGGTTACTGACGAATTAAAAAAAATCTTCCTTTAGGACCAATACACAAAATTAAAAATATCCTTTAATGTAATGCACACATTGCAGTGTGGTCTGGTAAAATTATTACCATGGTAAATGTTTTGCGACATTAAAATGAGAGAAATCAGAAGTATGTCCAATATACTGAGAAGCACATGCTTATCTTACGAGGAACAATGCAAACACTATTACCAATATATACATTTTGTTTTATGTGAAACTTTACCGTTATAGATATTCTTCGATAGAACCTAACGGTATTTCCGTGTGTTATGCATACTCCAGTGGTTCGGAAACCTGGTGACCATGAAGTGGTGGGACGACCTCTGGTTGAACGAAGGCTTTGCAAGCTACATAGAGTACAAGGGCATTGACCACGTCGAACCAGATTGGGACATGGTGAGGCCTTCTACGATTTTTTTACGCAATTTCTGACAAGTAAAGGTTGTAAACTCTCGCTTAAAACGCTCACGAATACACGTGACTTTAACGTCTAATGGTAATATATTTGTGAAAAATGTGACTGATTCAGAAGTCAATCTAATTTCAGTTTTAACAAGGACGATGTGTGATTCTCTATTTGTTGTCTTATACTGAATTTCTTTTTTTAGATGAACCAGTTCTTAACAGAAGATCTTCAGCCAGTCATGGACCTTGACTCGACTACCACTTCACACCCCGTCGTGCAGAGCGTTAGTCACCCTGACGAGATCACTGAAATATTCGACACAATCTCGTACAACAAGGTAGGTTCTTTGCATCGTTATGCCTCCCATGTGTACCTTGTGCGCATATTTGTTAGAATTACTTCTATAGAACTACTGCGTTCATTCCAACTGTTGAAAATATATCAAATTACATTATTCTTTGTTTTGATTTGTTCCTTTTTTGTGCGCAAAAGGTGTAGGAGTATTCTTTTACCTCAGTGCTGATACGATAGATCCCTAGGCTGAACTAGAGCTCTGCACGGGCCGAAATTTCTAGACCTAGCCCAACCCGGCCCGTAAGGGCAACTGCCCAGGCCCGGTGCGGTCCCGGCAGAATTTTTAGACAGAAGGTTGAGCACAGCCCGAGCCCGACAAATCTTTTTTTTTTTTTTTTCAAAATAAGTCTGAGCCCGGCTTGAGCCCGACATATTATATATATATGAGCCTGAACAAGTTTGCAGGCTTTAACCTAAAAACTTCCTCAGCATAAAGTGAGCCTATTTGATATATTATTCTTTTCAAAATTGAACCGTTTTCTTTTTGTTATTTTTTCTACACGATAAATTGACAAGATACAATAGACAAATGTATTTTCGAGAATATGGGTAAAATGTGCCCTTCATAAATGATTTAGAGAAAAAAAAGTGGGCAATAATATATTTACGGTATTTATTTCTTGAAAAGAGATTGGACTCTTCGTCGTTCAATTTGTTTCATGGAGAACTTTCCTCGCTACATGTTTTTTGTAAAGAAACAATCACAGTCACGCTAATGTATCTTCAAAAGGCTGTATAAGCATAAAAAAATCTATAATAAGGAGCTGATTTTTAGGTGCATGGTAAGGCCCCCTGCACAAAATGCAAAATCAAAACCTCACGTTTTTTGTTTGTTTGTTTTTGGTTTGAAAAGTAGGGGAACAAGACACTTATGTTGTACCCTGCGACTAGAGTTCCCTCTTTTTTTTTACCGCATTTTCTTACTATGCTGGTGGGATCCACACGTTCCTTTTTATCCACGTGAAGACTTCCCAAAAGCAAAACGTCTCTTTTTTATTTCTTCTTGAACGGCGCCAGTAGTGATTTTGCATTTCGCTCGTTTGTTTTCATTGAACCTCGAACAATCAATAAGCACACTTTTTGTTATCAAAAATTTTGAATTTGTGGCACACGACTGCACAGCCACGGCCCAAAAAAATTGTTGTTCAAGCCCGGGCCCGGCCCGGGCCCAAGAAAATGCGTGCTACCCGGCCTGAGCCCGGCCCGCTGGCCGGGCCGGGCTCGGGCCGGGTAGCACGCTGGGTGGCCGGGCCGGGCTCGGGCTTTCGGGCTGGCCGGGGCCCGTGTGGTGCTCTAGACTGAACGACTATTTTACCGATGTACATCAGAACTAGAAAAAAAAAAAACATATTTCATGCTTTTTAGATATTTTAGTGAATGCTATTTTCGTCAGATATCTTGCGATTTCTCATTGGCGTGGATTTCCTCCTGTAGATGAACATATTTAGGATTGTGCGGATAATGTGTCGCACCACTCGTGTTTCTCTTTTAGGGTGCTTCAGTCCTTAGAATGCTGGAAAATTTCCTCGGCCCGACGATATTTCAAAAAGGCGTTTCAGTAAGTATGCCGCTAAAATCGTATTGCCTATTTGTATACCATTTTAATCGAATATAAGAATTTCATAAAGTTGCGTTTCTCACCTGAGTTGATATCCGCGAAAAAAAAGCTTGGAGAAAAGTGTGACGTTCCCCTGCTGGGCTACTTTGCCATGGAATCGACGGTAACCAAATGCGATCTCCCCATTTTCTTCCAGTCGTTTCTGACTCATCACCAGTTTGGTAACGCAAAGACGTCAGAGCTTTGGGATGAATTGTCTATGGCTGCAGGCGGCGTGAGTAAGCACTTCTTTTCTTACACTACGCACAGTTACAAACATGATTACTTGACGTATAGCCATCGAGAAATAATTCTACGCGTGAATTTGAGAAGCCGATCCAGCTCTGAGCACAAGACAATCACAGCTAAACTAATCGAACCCTGATGTCCAAGCGTTGTGAGGACACGGATGAAAAAAAAAAAAAAAAAGATTTTGAGTTAATTTTTTTGCATAACATACAGTCGGCCAATCACAAGGAACGATAAAAGGACCCCAGCTCAGAATACGATTAGTAGATCTTAAAAATGTGATGGGCGCAGGGCTAATTGGCATGTAAAACGCCATGCTCATTGTCATAACACAAATCCCATTCGTGTTTTTTTTTTTCTCTTTTTCACTTTTATTTACGAATGAAAACGTATACACTATCCATATTCTGCAGGGAAGTTAGCTGACATACATTTTAAGAATCGGATGGCATCACAATTCGAGGACATAATAATTAACTGCTAAGTAGTGTAGCGTAAGAGCCCACACTTTGTCGCGAGTATAATGCTTTCAGCTGTGCATAAAACGGCTCTTCGAACATTTCTTTGTGCGAAGTTCTTTCGTGGCGGTCACAACGTGTCAACCATCATGGATACGTGGACGAGGCAAATGGGTTATCCCGTGGTCACCATGACTCGCAGCTCCGACGACCCCACACTGATCACAGTGGTCCAGGAGAGGTTCCTGAGGAATGCCCAGCACGTAGCGAATGACTCCAACATATCGCCTTTCGGGTACGTTTTAGCGCACTTGAGTATAATATCACTGGCCGTGCATTTGCAACGCACAATGTTATAAAGTATGATAATCTTTCATTTTTTTTTCTAAAAGTGTAGATGTTGGAGCGACGGCAACCCCCTACTCTGCACAACGTTTACAAAAGTCAACAATAGATATGCAAATTACTTCCAAGGCGGTGCAAATGCACGCGTTTGTTGCCGAGTTTTAGGTTTGAACTACTGCGGGAGCATTTTGAGCCTTCAAATGTTATTCGCGGTGAGAAGCTCGCTAGAGGCGCTTCTGTTTTTCTCACGATGGGTCGTACACGTGCAATCCCCGCGGTTATGTTTTAATCTTTATAGTGCATGGAAGCTTGACATTGCACGTGCTTGCATTAGTAGAGGAAGTTGAAGTATCCTCACTCTGGGTTGTGAAAGAATTCCACCACGTGGCGATACTTAAACTCCTCGTCCCGAATAAATATGTTTACTACTGTAGACAACTGCAAGCCTAGCGACCTGATTGGTGCCCCTTGCATGCAAGCATGTGCAGCGTGCGCGCGAAGGTAGCTTTGGCAAGCTTGAAATGCACGGGCTTTCCCACACGAGCGGAGACATGGCGGCGGCCGGTCGCCATGCGTGCAGTCGTCTGTAGCAACTGCGACCGGACACTAAAAGGGCGTGCCCTTTTAGTGTCCGGTCTCTAGCGCGCACCACAACGTGCGGTGTGTAACGAGGCCCCGAAGCATTGTCGAATTGGTAGCAAGTTCGCACTAGGGTTCCTCAATGCCCTTCTGTTTATTGGGCAGGAGATCGAAAAATAGGGGGGCCTTTATCGAGCTTGTTGTCCCACGGCCCGGCTTTTACTAACACAGAACAAAAAAAAAAAAAAATTGAACATCGCCTAGCACGGTCTGGGCACGAGCGCCTCGCTTTGACCAGGCTAGAGTAGGATGAGGCGCCCTAGGCTAGAGCAGAGCCGTATATGTAGAGAGTTTGGTCAATGGGAGGCGCGGGCAGAGCCAGGGCGTGCGGCAGACTCGGAAAGAGGGCTTGGCATGCTCTCTTGACCAACCAGAAGCCGAGAAGAATCCCCTAGCGGTGGTAGCGAGAAACAGTTCTGAGCCGATCGATCATCGAAGGTCTATGTTCGTATATGGTTTAAATAAGTGCTTAAGAGTGAAGTGTAGTAACTCTTTGTGGTTGAAAATAGGGTTCACGTGTTGTTTCATCATGATCATGCAGAAAGATGTAAGAAACGAATGCGCCGCTCAACTCTGTTTTGCGCGGAAAGAGTGTGACCGCTCTGACGGCAGATTCCCGGCGCTCGGCGTTTGGCGTAAGGATTATGTCGATCTTTCCGCTAGTCGCACTCTTCCACCATCATTTTAGATGAGTGTGATTGAAACATCGCGTGTACCATATTTTCAGCCATCGAGAGTTACTCCAATGCAGTTATCAGGTTTGTTTCTTGCGACCACCGCCAGGGTAATATTTCCGGCTTCTGGTTGGTCACATTCGAATTTCTGAAGACGCCCTGGAACACGCCCAGCCCGCTTTCGGCCAATGGCGCCGCTTCATTTGTCTCCTATACTTCCCAACGAATGGCCAAACTCTCTACATATACGGCTCTGGGCTAGAGTATAGCACGAGGAGCGGCCTTCGAATAGTCATCTTTGATTTCTCGGACTAAAACACAACAAGGAACATATTTGGTTTGTTGTCCGCACAACTGAAGAGTACTGGTACTCTTCAGTTGTGCTTGATTGTTGAAACTCGTCCTCTATAGGCTGCTGCCATCCCTTGTATAGTATCCGATGCCGACAGCGCGCGCTCGCGGTAAAAAAAATAAAAAAAATCGTAGCAGTGTCAACACCACGAACACGTGCAGGGAGAGGCGCTCATAAAAAAGAAACGAAAAAGTGGCGTTCGGAACGAAACTCTCGGATGTCATCTCCCTAAGCAAAGCGCACATGAGGGAGTTCGCACCGGGGGCGAGACAGATGTAGCTACTTCCCGCCGTTCTCACCTCGCCTTCGACTATGCACTTTTTCCACAAGGGCGTAGCCATCTTGCATGTTGTCACTCCTGGTATGTGGTAAAACATCCTTTTGATCTCTCCACACCGCTGGAAGGTGTTTACGAAAAATGCGTGATTGGCACACATTGTTGTTTTGATTCACCTATATTTTCTCGCATATTCCAGGTTGAAATGTTTCATTATTTTTTTCTTCCGCATAGCAGATACGAAACCCATGTGACCGTAAACTACACGAAACAGAAAACGTCTACACTACTACGGCCGCATACAGGGCAAGGATGGCAGGGATCGAGGAATTTCAGTTTGTCTGCCTCCAGCGCCGACTTCCTTCCCCGAAAAAGTTTGGGCGTCTCGTGAGCCGCGAGCGGGCACGCGCAGCCAAAACGCGGCGAAAGGCAATGAGCACGTGCCGGGGGCAGGCGTCCGAAAGAGGCGCCCTGCCGTTCTCATATGCAGAGAGCAAGTCGTCTGCTCCTTGCTCAGGAGTTGCGGTGACGTCAGAACGACGCCAAGCTCTGATTGGCTGATTGAAAAAAAAAAAAAAAGAATAGGGGGTCAATCTTAATGTTTGATGCCTTGAAATCTACCAACTATGTTTTTTTTTGTTTGTTTTTTTAATTAGCTAATAACAACTCGGCGTCGTTTTGACGTCACTGCCACTCCTCCGCAAGCAACAGACGACTTCCTCTCCGGATTGTCTGGGACTTTATTAGCTTCGTTCGAGTTACCCGCACCTCCTGCACCGGTGCAAAAAAGCGCAGGGCAGTGTACTTCCGGTGCACGCATTGAGACACAACCGGAAGTGCACCGCCCTATAGGATTGTTTGCCCCGGTGCGGGGGGGGCGCAGTTAATCAACGAAGCTAACGACATCTCAGGTTACAGATGTTAATTTACACGAACGCACATTCGCCCGCGTTCCGCCTGAAGTGTAATGTGTTGTTATTTGGTATACACCTTATACTCCGTTTACCCTTAAGCTGATACCGCGGCCGAAGCTACGAGCTCGAGCTGGCCTGCGCATAGTGCGAGTGCATGTTCTGCGGAAGAACGCTTCGAAGTAAACGACTTCGATCTCTCGTGCTTGTGGCAACGGAGTGGGGCGTCTGCACGCCACTCGCACTCAAATATGTTCCGACCCACCCTTCCCTAGGTACAAATGGAGCATACCACTCAGCTATAAGACGTCCGCAGCCAAAAACAAAGTGAAGCTGGTCTGGATTCACAATGACCGAGGTATGTGATCCTTTTTTGCTTAATTGTTTAACTTCGGTGTTTTCTTCGCTCATGACATTTCCAATTCTCTCGTTCTGTTTCAAGATGAGTTTCACATTCATGACGCCGGTCGACACGGCTGGGTTAAGTTCAACGTGAACCAAACGGGCTACTACCTCGTCAACTACGATCCGACGGATTGGCAACGTTTGGGAGAAGTCCTGCAAAAGCATCACGAGGTACGCATGTCGTCTTTATATCCGCCATGGTAAGCAGCGAGGTGTGCTAGGTATCAGTGATTATGTAAAAGAAGAATGGGATCCTCACTATACCACTTGTACCTATTCTCCGTCAAATGTGTTCTCAAGCGTTTTGATCACGAAGAGCCTTTATCTCCCCTGATGAATAGCCGAGGAATTCTTCTCAGACTCCGGATCGATGCAATAGACCTATTGCTATATTACCCAAGTATCAAGGAGAATGGAGGGATTGGTGTTTTACGCGCCGTACGTGCTGACCTCAGCAGTAGTACATTTTCTAAAATAAAAACCTAAAACAAAAGGCATCTTGCAAGCGCGTTTGTCAACGCTTTATTTTGGTTATTTACTTCGAATATTTTACACGGGGAATACGTGCACCTGTGGCGTGTGGAACACCCCCTGCGTTCTCCTTGATGTTTGGGTAATATAGCAAACGGTCTATAGAGCAGAGGGGAGACCCAAAACCCTTACAACAATATCGCACATACCAGGTACCTTGCAAACAATTGTGCGCAAACTAGGTGCCTTGTAGACAATATTGCACATACTAGGTGGGGTTTGGCTAACAGTTATGCATCGATGAGTGGCTCAGCTCAGGTCTGCAAAAATAAGGCTTAACTAGAAAACAAAGCCCTCTATATAAAAACACGGTCGGCTGCATACATTTGTGAGATTGCGAAACCTTTGCGGGTACTCTGTGGAAGTCCTAGGTCTTTACAACCCAGTTTGAAAACCATTGTAGTATAATCTGTGACGGTTAAATTACAAAAACTGAAGGCGAATTCAACCCACACGTGCAGCGTGCCATTAAAAAAAAAAACAAATACTTGCATCTCCTGCAGTAGTAAAGGAGATAGGTCATAGCGTGTTGAATAATTCCTGAAGCAATCAATAACAAATATACTTGTCATAAGGTTTACTACAGTGTTGTAGACAAAAGAACAGGAATCCGAACTTCCAATGCCGTTGTAAATGGCATATTCTCCCGAAGATGACCAACAAAAACATTACGCAATAACTCGTTGATATCTTCCATACTTATCTGTCTATAAATGCAATAATTATCAATATGTAAAATTTAATCTCAAACTTAACGTCATCTGAAAACATTTGTAAGCAAATGACCACCACCAACAAGCATCTCATATACCCCAGCACGCAGAATGTAGAATGCTGTTGTCTTTTTTTAATAGAACCGCAGTCTAATTTGTTTTTTGCGACATTTCTGTTACTGTTATTGTAGCACTACTTTCACGTGTGTATTTCGTGCTGCTAAGTGTTTCGAATTTGCCTGTACCTGCCGTGCCCGCAAATCGCAGGAACTGACACCGGCCGACAGGTCCAACCTTCTCTACGACGCGTTCCAACTGGCCTGGTCTGGCCGTCTCTCCTACGACGTCCTCTTCAACATGACCCAGTACTTAATTCACGAGATGCATCTCATCCCCTGGTCCACTGCACACGGCTCCCTCCTAGCATTGTCTCACCTACTTGAGAACACCGAAGTGCGGCGCCCCATGCAGGTGAGTTGGATACCACAATTCCTTCGGCGCCAGGCCAGTAACGAACAGACGCTATAAAAGTACGGGACCTACTTCTTCGTTCTATTTTTTGGTCGCTTGAAATATACCAATTGCCCGGCGTTGATGGACGGCAGCTGAACACGTCGTATGAAGGATATTCCAGGTCCAACATGTAAAAGCACAAAGAGGGCTTCTAACGTGAAAGGGAGCGAAAGTGAAACGGGTGGGAGGCGGGGTGGGGGGGGGGGGGGGGGGGGGTAGCGTAGAACGTAGACATCCCGTGTGAAGTAACTATATGAGAGAGTTACGGGCACACATATTCCGTCAGATAGCACAGTTGTCTCTTTAAGACGCTCTCTGGCTTTTCCGAGTGCTCTGGGGCTTTGTTCCTTGTATTACATGGCATTTTACGCGCCAGCAATCCCTGCCTGACAGGAATGTGTAGAGGGAATGTGACCCAACACTGCCTGAATATTTTGAGGGAAATTTATATTTTATTTTCAAATACGTTTTTTTATATTAAAAAAGGCATTGTTTGTAAGAACGGTGCTGATTTGATCACTGAAAATTTGTTTAGATATTCGCGCCGATGAAACTTTCAGGAATCATGATTATCGACCTTCTGTGTACTTCCCTGAGAACCTCCACACACACTGCGGGTGTTTAAAATACACGAATATTAAACCAATCTAAATAAACCTTAAGATTCTGAGTGTGTAGTTTAGCCGAATAGCTAGTATTCCGACGAAGTAGCACGCTTTTTATCATATTAATTGATTCAACTTCTGTATTCTTTCTTTAATTCAGACACCAGTGCTTGTTACCCTTATTCTTTTTTTTTAAATAAATTCACATTTAAAAACAAAAAGGACCAAAAGGGAAGGTTTCAGCACTAGACAAAGTGAACCACTTGACCTTTGAACTTTTGAACTTTGAACTTTTATTTTCAGCAACATTATGCCGAGGACACCGGACAAAAAGCTAACAGAAGCTAGCTTGACTGGGTCCGGTGCCCTTGCATGTACAGGGAACACAATCATATTTAAACAATCCTAAATATTTCTTACAATATTCAAATCAAACAATTTAAAATCTTCCAATAAAAATTTTAAAATCACCGACATTAGAGAAAATTTTTTTTTTCTTAATTAACAACACAAAAAAGTACGCAATGTTTTCTTAGTTATACAGTGAATATCGATGCGGTTAATTACAATGTTGTTAAGCAATGTAGGAAGATTATGAGCAAGAGACTGCAGTGCATAATTTGTACGAAAATGGGGAACCTTCCAGAATTCTCTACGACGAACATCGAAGACTGATCCACGCTCAGTCAGGTTTGCTAGCTGTGACAAAAAAAAGCAATAAACTCCAAAGTTGAACAGGTGTAAGAAAATAGCAAACGATAGCAAACCTAACCCAGAAGCCCTAAACTATGACTGTTTATGTCCCATTGTGGGTCCTTGCCGGCGTCTTTCTACTGCCTATTCAGCTACCCGACAGTGCCAAAGCTCCATTTCTTGGCCTGAAGAAAGAAACTACACATCCTAGAAAGCTGGAACACCATGAGATCATGACGCTGGAGATGGTGATAAAATGCGATAGTTTGAGAGCCTTGCGTTATAACGCAATGCTGTCAAACTATCGCATCCTCTGGTACGGGTATACCCGGACCAGAGGATACAAGAAAAAAATTTTTCTCTGCGAGCCGAGGTCCACCTATGCCTAATATTCGTCGAACCGAGAAATGGCATTGTAGGCGCCTGTACTGTTTTCTTCTAGAAAGCTTACCAGACAGAAAAAAACAAAAAACAATATCGTTCTTCACGCAGACAAGTTTTCTTGTTTTCTTGTGTTTTTTTTTTTTTTTACTGCAATTAATGTTACAGGCGCCCACAATGTATTTTTTTGGGGGGGTGGAGGGGGGGGGGGGGGGACTTGGTGAATATTGGGCTTAGGTGGACGTTGGCTCATAAAGAACTTCAGTTTTTCTTATTATTATTATCTAGGTAACGTTATGTTCTTAAACTCTCGCATTTTGTCACAACCGGTAGCGTCACGTTTCTCGCGGTATAAAGTTTCTCTGCGATGCGTAGTTCAAATTTGCGGGCGGAAAAACTGCTTTCTTATTTTCTCGATCGGGCCTTGTAGATCGTTTCAGTTGCTTTCCTCGCGGTAACGGCACAAGCCGCCAATAGTTGTGCATAATGTCACTGATCAAAATGGTAAATCAGTGTTGAACTGTAAATAAATCTCTAATGAGACGAAGTTGTGCCTACAAACTGAAACATAAGGTGTGAGCACCCTGCGTTGTCGACGGAAGAGCGACCGTCCGAAACCCAGAGCCAGAGTCGGTCAATGGAAGGAGCCGGCGAAAGCGGCGGCGCCGCCAGCGCGGCATATTCTTTCCGTGATTAACTTGCAAAGTAAGAATGCGCTGGGATTACCATGGAGGATTCGCGTAGCCCTGCACAGGTACTTTTTGTTTCTGGATGAGGCTGAAAATACATAAATGTATAATTATAAGAGATTGGTGGAAAGGAGGAGTTTTAAGATGCTGAGTGCGTTTACTGGGCCAGGAAAGGTGATATTGACGTCAAAAATTTCCTGAAGCATCAGGCGACACTGCGAATGTGGGGTGCGTGTTCAGGGTTTGGGTCAAAACTCCCACGGAGCCGAGTCCGCAGTTTTCACTGCGCAACTCCGTAAGGCCGCAGCCGCGGTCGCGAGTGTAGTCAAAAAACGTTTGAGTGTGTTCTGAATGCCGCCGTGACGACAACGTCGCGTGCGTTGCCTTTTCGGTTACGAGGAGTCACACATTTCACCTCTATAGCATGCTGAAATGAAGTACAGTCGCCGGCCATATGAGCTCCCCCGGCCGAACGCCGACCGGATCAGCGAAAATCCCGCACGCGGCGCGTCGAGCGTTGTTGCGTTTTGGGAGCCGGGCTATTGCGACCAAACCATTCCGTTATCAAAGGGGTGGACGCATAGCTTTTATCGGGATTCCAGCCTTTCGAAGTGTGAATCACAAAAACATGGCCGGTTAGAATTGCCTTCTTCGGGTGTTGGCCCCAAGTGTTCGGAGATGATGTTATAACTGCTAATAAACTAGAGCTTGCTTTAGGCGTAGATAAAGCAGAAGTGTTCGATCGATGCTTACAAATGCAAAAAACCTATGTTTGATATGATATTAGGCATGTCAACAATTATCCCTCGGCAAGCGAGAACTGGTCGACCGGGAAGCTATCTGCAAAATCATCGTGTAGAGAGTCACCCTTGGCGAAGCAACATGCTACTGAGCGCAGAACAATAGTCTCCTCGATAAAGCGCGTTCATGAAAAGTGCCTGAATCTGAATTCTGCTTCGACACAAAGCATTTTTTTTGTTATCTATAGCATATCCTTATAGATTGAATAAATTATTTCAAAATCGCTTATCATTGTCTAGTTTATGTTTAAGAAAGGTTGTAAGAAAAAGAGGGAGGGGGTGCTTGGTGCGTACGATTACTCTTCGGGTAGGAACTATTTAAAATGACAAACCGAATTCGCAAATAAAGAAGTAGCATATAACACGTCAGAGACATTGTGCAGAGAAGAATTTCGATAAGCCGTCTGCGTTTACCTACGACCAGAAGCGGGATTGTTATCGGCCGTGCTTCAGATTCACGTTTCAAAAGGCGGAATGCTATTAAACTTCCTGTGTCCACCCCTTTGATAACGGAATGGTTTGGTCCCAATAGCCCCGCTCCCAGAGCGCGGCAACGCTCGACGCGCCGCATGCGGGATTTTCGCTGCTCCGGTCGGCGTTCGGCCGGGGGAGCTCATATGGCCGGCGACTGTACTTGAATACATCCTAACGTAGAAATTGTGGTTGGAGTGTATTTGTGAAGCTCATTGCCTCCTATAGGGAAATATTTGAGGCTAGTGGTTGGTTACAAGAGCTGTCGACTGGTTGGTTACAAGAGCTGTCGATCATCGTGCCCAAGGTCATTGGAACAATTTTGGTCAATGGCTTGTCCTTATTTTTGCGCTATTCTTTCCAATAAATGACCAAACTCCCTACATATACGGCTCTGCCTAAACGAGCGCCTTACCTCTGCTTTTCCACACGCAGTACGTTCTGGAACGTTTCGAGCCAGAGCACACGATGACCGTCGAGAATGGGCCAGAACTTTCCAGAAGAGCATAACATGATAAAGAAAATAACTGGGCCTGCCTAGGGTCACTGGATCCTGGGAATGGAGCGTCATTGCCTTCACTGTCTACTAACCAGAAAGAAACTGATATTAGATTACATACGACCACACCCCGCAAATTGATTGACTGATTGATCTCAGTAGCCACTTCGGTCCATTCAAATCTCCAAAACTTTTTAAGTGTCGTTCTGAACCAGTCGCGCCAATATCGCTATGAAACATCATTGCATTGAAAGCTTTCCTCGTTAACATAAGCGTCTTTGTCACTGTGCATGCGCAGTCCACTTATCAGTCATGATTATCTACACACATCTCCTGAAATGATATTGTTGTTTTCGCGTATTTAAAAAATGAAAAAAAAATATTCTTCAATGTCGCCAAGCACCAACGCTGCCCGTGGTGGCGGCGCGAAGATGTGAGCTCGTTTCGCCAGTGTGTGGATGACAAGATCTCGGTATTCAAGAAATTTCTTTATTAAGAAACCTGTCACCGGGAGTCTGGATAGTCTCAACAAGAATGGATAGGTCAGGGAGAAACTACTAGTTTTATAATCCAAAATGGCGACAACTCGGGGAGCCTGGCGCTTTTTTCCCAGGATTCAGTGACATAGTCCTGCCAAGCGAGGCTCGAACCTCGATCCTCCTCGTGGCAGCTGTGTGCTTTGCCGACTGATCCACGCACGCGCAATAGAAACGAATACGTCTGTCAGCGAATGTTTATTACAGCGGAGCTGTTAAGGGCTAGGTTCCCCAGGATCGTGTCCGGTATGTCGACACAAACCTACCTCGGCAGCTACAGCCATCTATAAGCGACGGCGCCAAGCACTCAACCAGTCCGGTTTCCGCCGTCGCTTATGGATGGCGGCAACCTTTCCAGCTATCTTAAAAGAATTGATAGTTCGGCGCGTTGGTGGAAATTCATCGTAGAAAACAGCGCGAAAAGCAGGCGACAACGAAGAAGCACACGTAACGAGCGCAGCGCTCGTCAGGTTTGTTTCTTTGTCCTCGTCTGTTTTGCGCGCTGTTTCCTGCGCTCCTACGCTCTTAGCAGTTCCGGTTTGGACTCACGATGGGTCGGTCGCGCGCGGCTGCGGAAGGGGTGGCGACGTACGCAGCAGCGCGGATGGGTACGCAACAGCCGCAAAGCCGCTGTCGCCTCGACTTCCACTGCGTCCAGCGCTTCAGATTCCCTTGCCAAAGAGCACATCGCTCGCCTGGGAAGCCACCGCCGAGAACAGAACTAGCGATGTAAAGGGCGCCTGCAGGCCAACGCCACGGACGACGACCGTGCCACGGAGGCCAAGCGCAAGCACGAGGCCCGGCGACGACTGCACTCCACGCCGGCTGAACAGTTCCCGGGTGCGACGGCAAGGTTCCGGAGGGAGTTCGTAGAGAACCCGTTTCGCGTCACGTCCGCCGTTTGCGACCGACTCTGGTTCGCCGGAGACGTATCCACGATCGGCGGCGTGTCGGACGAGAAGAAGCGGGAATCGGGCGCGTGCGCGTTGCGGCAGTGTGTCGAGTACAGCTCGCTGGTCTTACTTCTTCACGAGAGTGGAAAGGCTGAACGTTTTTGTCAAGTTTATATGGTAGCTTCATTTTAACAATAATTAATGTGTCTGACCTAATAGACTACTTCCATAAAGCCCTGCATGCAACACGGCGCGCATTGCACTCTGGGAACTAGTTGGCCAGGGAGGAGAGTGCCATGGTTTCGGTTTCGATCGACACGTCGACAAGAAATTACACACAAAGCATGGACTATTAACGGCCGTTATCTCATGTTTTCTGGCCCCGAGAGCGTCATTGGTGGTCTCTAAACTAACCTAAATGGTCAGACCTCGAAGCTTTAGCTGGGCTCAACTTTCATACTCCTGTGAGGATGCGGCTTGCTTTTCGCCCAATGAAGTAACAAGAAGCGGACGCTTGGTAAACAAAATACGTGTAAGGCTCCAGGTGACCGAGTTTCACTTGTAATTCACTGGTACTAGACGGGAATATTGAAATTGGACTCAAAGATGAGGTGACTAAGCCACGTCTTACTACGCTTGCATACGGACTCATAATATCCGCTGTTTCGGGAACCAAGGAAAGTGCCCCGCCTTCGTTTTGTATCGCTCGAGAATGAGTGTATTGTACATTCGGAAAAAAAGTCAGATAATCGAAAACGCAAGCAGCGCGTTCGGTCGCGGCGTGATAGCATGAGATGAATTTGCTCAGTCGAAACCGAAACCGAGTGGCCAACTAGTTCCCAGAGTGCACTGCGTGGTATTTCGCCGCATTGGGGCGCGTCGGTTTTGGAAACAGTCCATTGGGAGCTTGCCATCGCTGTTCGATGTAAGTCATTCGCAAACATAATACTATAGCGGATACCTCGACGGTTCATGTGCAGACAAGGTTTTGTGAGTTTTTTTAGAGCCACCGAAGACGCCATGGGCTTCTCTTTTTCAGACTTACATTCGCAAGCTCGTTGACCCTCTGTACAAAACGCTGGGGTGGGAGGACAGTGACAAGCATATGAACAAGTAAGTGGCTAAATGCGAATAAATAATACACGTAAAAACGGTAGAGGATTAAATGAGGTGGTGAACGTTCCTTCTATTGAGGTCAAGTAAAAACGCTGAGTGTGAAAAAACGACAGGACAAGACAGACACGGTATCCCAACACAGGTTTGGTGATACACCGTTCGGCGGGTATGTATGTTTCCGTGCTCTTCCACGGTCTCAGGGTTTTATTTTTTTTTTCCAGGACAGAGATGGGCAGAGTTTAAAAATGATTAGATCTTCCACACATTTGTATTTTTAGAGCGCAGCTCTTAGGCGCTCGTTCCCGTGTTTTGCGGCGCCGGCGTCGCCGCCGCCGCAGACCTATACACCAGTTGGATTCCCCGCTAAATTTAGCGAAGAAACTGAATTGGTGTGTAGGTCTGTGACGTCCCATAATGCAACACTACGCATTCAGTTTCCCAACTAAATTTAGCTGTAAAACTGACGTCACATGACCTTAACACCAATTCAGTTTCCCCGCTAAATCTAGCGGGAAATTGATTTGGTGTTGAGGTCACTCGACGTCAATTTTCCCGCTAAACCTAGCGGAGAAACTTAATTCGTTGATAGGTGACGTGACGCCGAGTCTTGCGACTCCATTTTCTCCTCTAAATTTAAAGGGGAAACTTAATTGGTGTTGAGGTCACGTGGCGTCAATTTTTCAGCTAAATTTAGTGAAGTAACTGTGGGAGGAGAGGAGGGTATGGAGGAGGAGAAGAAGGAGGAGAGGAAGGAGGAGAAGGGGAGGGCCCTCCGCACCCTCCCCTTCTTCTCCAGCTGTGTGTGCTCTAATCTCGCATTACAAACATTTGTAAACATCTTTCATTTTTTTTCTTTCTTTTTTTACAGCCTACTGCGAAAAGTCATCTTGGACTTGGCATGCAGAAATCTTCATCAGGAATGCCTCAAGGAAGCGAGGCGTCGATTGTTGGCTTGGGTCGACGGAGGACAGTAAGAAGTTTCTTTTAATATTTTTTCCGTACATTTTCGTGAATTTCAATGAAATATTGATTGCCCACAGATAATTTCAAATATGGTATCGCCGTCTTTTTCTGACTTTTTTTTTTCTTTCTTGCATCTAAATGCATTTTTATCAACAGGTCGAGCATGTGTGGCACTTTGCTTCCCCCGGCTTTCTCGTTAATTGCTCGAATGCTGCTGTCTGATTGCAAGAAATATTTCATCTTTCCACCTTCTGATACTATTCTGTAGATCCTCAGTACTTTATTTCGTATCTCAACTTCCGCTTATAACCAGGCACCTCTGCCAACATGTCAACACCGTTAGTTCTTGAACAATCCCTGTGATTTCTACGTAACTTCTTCATAGCGTTTTAACTAGCTACACTGAAAAAATCTACATCTTGCCATAGGGAAGTGCCGAGAAACATCCGTGGCGTGGTGTACCGATACGGAATCTACCAAAGCAGTGGGGACTACGAGTGGCAGTTCATGTGGGAGAAATATCTCAAGGAAGTGTCTGCACAGGAAAGAATCAACCTTCTTTATGGGCTGGCTCACGTCAGGAGTCCACCGCTCATCCACAGGTGAGGGTGCTCGATCTTTGTCCTCCTCCTGCTCTTGCGAGTTTACTTCAAAGCTAACGGCACGATTTTTACACTTGTTTAGTCTATGTGTTTGAAATCGCAGATAGATTGTAAAAAAAAAAAACGGAAAAAAAGGAGTGATCTTCCGGTTTTTTTTACCGTGTCTGGTTTCCTACATTTCATTCTGTCGTCATTTTCAAGTTGTAATCGCCTAATCATATTGTGTTATCAAATATATCACTATTCATGCCGAAAGTACGATCTTATGAAGCAAAGTGCGACATAATACAAATAGGAAAAACCAATGGCATTGTCCAAATACTTTCTAGGATGATCATGCTGTGCTTACGTTGAGTATTAAACGTCCTACATTTTACTTTATGCACATAACTAAAGCACCGCGTTTTTAGAATCTTTTAGCGAAGTTGAGAATGCTTCTGCACAAATTTTTATATAGTACTTAAGTAATGAGCATAGGGAAGAAAATGGTATCACTCGAATTGCCTTGGTCCCCTTAAATAAGCCTTTGCCGACATTCCCAATACTCTTTCCCTCTGGTTTGGGAGAAAGTTAATTGGAATGGTACTTTCTGAAAAGCCACGAGAGCAGTGGGTTACTTCAGTTGGTATAATTAGCATATTACGGTTGTATGCTTCTCGTGTGTTTCATCTGAAGAGAATGTAGGGATGGCCGAAGGGGCTTAGCCGAAAGAGCTCGGGGAATTGGCGGCGCGGTCACCCGAAGCGTCCTCCGGAGGCGCCCGATGTCTTGTCTTTCCCTTTGGCGGCAAGCGGAGGCCAGCTCCCGAAAGTGGAAGCAGATTTCCCCGCGTGGGAAGTAAACAAACCTCTGTTCGCGGGTGGTCGCCCTCGCCGCCGAGGTAATTGGGGAGGCGACTTTGTCAAGGCATGTCGGCGACTCCGGGGAGAGAGGGATGTCCGGCCTCCCTTCGGGATGTCGGCGCGCCTCTTTGGAAAAGGGGAGTCTGAACGAGCCCGTGCGCGGAGCAAGACGTTATTCTCCCGCGGTCCCGAGGGCTCCGCGTACTTTATCCTGCGGGGTAGAGAAGTTGCCGTGCGCGGCAACGGATTTGGCGCTGAGGCGCTTTTGTCGACGTCGGGCTGCCGTGAGCGGCAGCAGCGGCGTGACAGCCTTGTACTATATTCGTTCTTCTTTGTAAATATATTTGTCGAAAAACCTCCATCGAGTTCTCCGGCTCCTGACTGGCGAGAACGGCAGATCCCCGCACCACCGCACGACACTCAACGGTCACCCGGCTCCATCGAAACCCGAGGGAAACGACGGAGTGCCGGGAAAACCACCATCGCTCAAGGAAGGAAGAATCTTTACTGGCGCAGTCGACAGGATCGTGGACGTCGTCGGCCACTTCGATAACATCGTGTGCCAGGAAGACGACGGGGCCGGTGCTGGCGCGGAGTGTGGCGGTGTCCATCGGCAGGAGCCCAGGGCCAGTCGAGACGACCAGCAGCCTGGAACAACGAGGCACGGCTACGAGTACGCCTGTGGCCGACAGCGGCGAAAGCCGAGAAGCGGACGTCGCGTGGGACGAGCGACGCCAGTGACCTGCGGGTTTGGCGACACCCGACGCCTGCAGCGGTGACAGCCTGGTCTCACAGAACGGACTCTGCGTGCTGTGATCGACGCCGGGAACTCGCGAGTTCGACGGCGTCAACGACTTTCGTGGGCTCCACAGCACCGCAAGGTACGTGGTCGCTTTCCCTTTCGTCGCCGGCTGACACCCGCGCGCTTAGCTGCATGACGAAGTGTAGCTTGCGTAGGAGGGGGAGCCCTAATGATGGAGGCGACGAGGGTTCGCGTAGGGAAGCGGTTCCACTTAGCGTTCGGCTAGCCCTTGCGAGGGAAAAGACAAAGGAGCTAGAGCGGCAGGTTCGAGCCGCAGAACTCCGGGCGGAGGAGCGGAGAGCGAGAGCGCGGCTCCTAGGGCAGCGCCGTGAAGAGACGCAGCCTCTGGCAGCGGAAGACACGGCGCCCGAGGCTCGCCATGTGAGGGAGACAGAACCGGACTCGCGAGGCGACCAGGAGGCAGCCGTGGGGTCCGGGGCCGATCGTGTCGTTTGGGAACCGGAGACGGCCGGGGGGTCCAACGCCGATCTCGCTCTCCAAGAAGTAGGGTTTGAGGCCGATCGAGCTGTACCGGGACCGCAGGCAGTCGTGGGGTCCGAGGCCGACCGTCCCGTGCTGGGACCGCAGACTGCCGGGGGGTCCGACGCCGATCGCGCTCTCCAGGAAGCGGACACTGTCGGGTCCGAGGCCGACCGTCCCGTGCTGGGACCGGAGACTACTGGGGGGTCCGACGACGATCGCGCTCTCCAGGAACCGGACACGGTCATAGGGTTCGATGCCGATCGTGCCGTACTGGCACCGATGACTGCCGTGGTGTCCGACGCCGATCGCGCTCTCCAGGAACCGGACACTGCCGTAGGGTTCGAGTCCGATCGCGCTGTACTGGGACCGCAGACTGCCGGGGGGTCCGATGCCGATCGCGCTCTCCAGGAAGCGGACACCGTAGGGTCCGAGGACGATCGCGCCGTACTGGGACCACAGACTGCTGGGGGGTCTGAGGGCAATCGGGCCACTTGCGAACCAGGGTCTTCCTGCGTCCGGGCAGCTGGAAGGGAAGAGCTCCCGGAGAGCCAGGGTTCGGTCCCGGCACCGGGGAGGCTTGTAGATGCTGATGTCGCGAGGAGGGCTACTGCAGCTGTTCAGATTGCTCTTCGGTGTCACCACGACGGGCCTTGTGGTGAAGGTGTGACACAGTGGGTGCCACCAAGCGGGCGGCGCGAGGAGGTACCGGTGCACGAGCACGAATCGCCGTGGGGCGACAATTTTGGAGCGGGGATGGCGATGGCGCGCCATGGGCGCAGAGTTGGTCCTTTCTCTGACCGAACCGACTGCGAAGCGAGTACCGAACGCGGTTCCGTGGAGAGGCCGAGCCGAGCACGCCTTCGTGGGCCTAATGAAGCTCTGGCGAGCTACGCTGTCCTCGTGACAGTCGACACAGGTGCCCGAGTAGGGCGTGATTGTATGGCGGCAAGGGAGCGCTTTGTCGCGCTCATACACGCGGTGTCAGCGGGCGTGCATGTGGGGAAGCGATCACTGCCGTGGCCCTTGCGAGGTGCCATTGAACTTACACCTTCGTAGCGTTTGCGCGCTTTTTGTTTGTTGTGTTTTTGTTTACGGCAACTCTTGCGGCGCTTTTGATGTCGTTGGTGCGACCAAGACAGGTCCGCAGAGTCTAGAGTTAAGTGGGTGATCAAGGTTTCTGTCTCCACGAGCAGAAAGAAGTGTTGTTCCTGTTTTTAATTTTCATTTAGCAGGTCGTAGTAGAGGAGCGTGGCTGTGTTTTATTTTGCGTAATCGAACGTTTCAGCTTTGTTCAGTGTTCACCAAGCGTTTTCAGTTTTCCCTTGACTGTTGGTTCGCCGTGATTTATTGATGTTTTGGTCTTTTGGTTGCGGAAGCTCTTGCGGCACCAACGGTGTCGTTGTTGCGAGCGGTCCAGGTCCTCGAGAGGCCTGCTGAGAAACGGAGTGTACTAAGAAGTGTTGTCCTCTTTTTTTTTTTCTCTCAGTTTTATATAGCAATTGGTGCCAGAGGTGCCTGGCTTCGTTATTTCCAGCCATGTGTTTTGTTGTTTTTATTTTTCGCTTCAGTTTAAGCGGGTTGTTTTTGTGTTCTTGTTGGGTTTTCGGCCATCCTCTTTTTGTAACTGCTGGCTAGTCCAGAAGTAGCGCAGTTTTCGGGGGGACGTGTAGGGATGGCCGAAGGGGCTTAGCCGAAAGAGCTCGGGGAATTGGCGGCGCGGTCACCCGAAGCGTCCTCCGGAGGCGCCCGATGTCTTGTCTTTCCCTTTGGCGGCAAGCGGAGGCCAGCTCCCGAAAGTGGAAGCAGATTTCCCCGCGTGGGAAGTAAACAAACCTCTGTTCGCGGGTGGTCGCCCTCGCCGCCGAGGTAATTGGGGAGGCGACTTTGTCAAGGCATGTCGGCGACTCCGGGGAGAGAGGGATGTCCGGCCTCCCTTCGGGATGTCGGCGCGCCTCTTTGGAAAAGGGGAGTCTGAACGAGCCCGTGCGCGGAGCAAGACGTTATTCTCCCGCGGTCCCGAGGGCTCCGCGTACTTTATCCTGCGGGGTAGAGAAGTTGCCGTGCGCGGCAACGGATTTGGCGCTGAGGCGCTTTTGTCGACGTCGGGCTGCCGTGAGCGGCAGCAGCGGCGTGACAGCCTTGTACTATATTCGTTCTTCTTTGTAAATATATTTGTCGAAAAACCTCCATCGAGTTCTCCGGCTCCTGACTGGCGAGAACGGCAGATCCCCGCACCACCGCACGACACTCAACGGTCACCCGGCTCCATCGAAACCCGAGGGAAACGACGGAGTGCCGGGAAAACCACCATCGCTCCTGGAAGGAAGAATCTTTACTGAGAACATTAAAACAAGCCCCATTTACAATTTTTTTAAATATTCTACGTCTTTACTGTCTCTTTCTTTTCTTCTATGTTATAGATACTTGGCTTATGCCATGAACGAAAGCTACGTTCGTCGGCAAGACTTCTTCAGCGTGTTGTCCTTCCTTGCTGGAAATACAGTGGGACGCGATATCGTCTGGAAGTTTATGCGATCCAAGTGGGACAAGCTGGTTCAAAGGCGAGTAAGCACGTCTGGTGCCATCCCATGTATATTAACGCCTCTAAAAGGTGATTATATATATATATATAATCACCTTTTAGAGGCTTTAAGTGGGACACTCGGCGAGAAAGACATCGAGATCGCCGATGACCAGTCGCGGTGGTCGGCAGTCTCGTCGACGATCCCGCAGAGCGTTCAACTTAGAGCTCTAGGTCGCAAACACCACAGAAATTATACAACGTATCGTAAGCATTAGGAGTTTAATAAGCGTATGTAAACGGCACTGTTCTATACTCTGTTCACCCTTAAGCTAAGACTGCAGCCAAAGCTACAAGCGAGAGCTAGCCCGCACTCCTTTGAGACATGCATTTCTCGCGCCAGCGCTCGTTCTGCAGAAGAACGCTTCGAAGCACCGACCTCGATCTCTCGTGCTTTTGAAAACGGAGAGTATCGAACGTTGTTCGAACGCCGGCGTCTGTCGTTCGAACGCGAGACACTGCGCGATGAGTAGACGACGCTCTTGCTCGCTCTGGATGCATGGAGGGAGACTGTGGATAAGAAAAAGGCAGCTAGCCTTTCTGTCTACCCACTAGTCATTCCAATCAGAGCTTGAGCTTGACGCAGTGACGTCTCTGCTCGCCTTCATTCTCTTCTCCCCTCAGTTTCTCAGCGCATAGAAACGAAAAACGAGTTACACTAATTTGAACCATTTCCTTAGTCCGTGAAGGCTGAAATAAGTGATTTCCTTATTTCTAAAGCGTAGCGAAGCTTTGAAAGAATGTGTTCAAGTTTAGAAGTTTCATGACATTGTTTGGGGGTTGTCACGCACCAGTTACATGTATACACAAAACGTCAGACGAATGCCACGACGGGTCAGAAAGATATCCGAGTTATGAGCTCTAAGATTTCGGTTTCTCGATTTATAAATGATTGCAAGAAAGGAAGAGTAGGATATGTGCTTTATAGGCACCGTGGATCTTGGAAGTCATAATGCTCAGTGGTTCGCTCACCTTAAAACTTCTAACTCAAAGATAAAGTTACCTTCCCGAAGCGTCTTATGATTCGCCGTATATGTGTCAAGCCCTCTAACAATGCATTGCTCAGAGGTCGTCCACGTGGCCCTACCCGTTTATTAGTAATCATTCCTGCGCTAAGCCTGACTCACGTGCTGCGTTTTGTCTGCGATTCTTAAGTACCGTATCTTCCTCAACGCTTTTAGGCGCTTGAGCGGCGTTGCAACTGCTAATGCTATGTTCACACTACGGAGGCAACGCTTCCATCTTTTGCAAAACAAGCAAACGTAAGTTCAAGAAGCGGAACGATTTCGTTCAGACTACAAGCAATCTTGGTCTGAACAAACTCGTTCCCCTGGTCGCGCTTAATTTTGCGTGTGTTGTGAAAGATAGCCGCTTTGCGTCCGGAATGTGACCGAACTGTGAAATCGAAAGTAAAATCGCAACAAATGAATTACGCGTTACGGTTAGATTCGTAGATAAGAACCTCGAAACTCGTCGCTAATTGCGCTTTCACCTGCGTTTCAGATTTTCATTGAACGACCGCAATCTGGGGAACGTGGTGAAGACTATCTGTGATTACTTCACAAAGCAATTTGACTACAATGAGGTGAGTACATGTAACACGAGCTTTATCACTTGAACGCGACGGAGATGATTTACTGCTTTCAAACTATACCACGCCGTATAAAAATGCTTTTTTTTATGTTATTTTCAACATGGCCGAATGGTGATCTTGGAAGATAGCTTTTAGCGAGAAATAAAACTGTGTGTTTGGTATATCCCATAGGCACTCTGAATGTACCGTAGCGGTTTTACCTGACGTCATTATGTCACGTTACATGACGTCATGTCACATCAAGATCACGTGCTTTGTGGGAAAATAGACATACTGTCATTTTTGAAGTGGCACAATTTTAAAACCCAAAATCCAGCATACATGTCATTTCGGGGCTAGCATTACTGGGCCTCGTCATTCGCAGCAATATTTTCGTCCGTTATTATAATTTTCTCTCAATAGTCAATTTGTATATTAACATTTTTAGTAGATTTATTTCCGACAGCAGCGACAAAGTACAATGGTGGTGGAGGCTAGGAAATCAAGCTGTTAAAGACAGCTTGACTTTGCTTATTAAGTCAAAACAGAGAAGTGGTCCTTGTTAGTCAAGAGTAAGAATGTTAGTCCAACTAAAGCGTTAATATTAGGTCACGGATCATAGTGTAGTGAATGCACACTACATGCACCGCTGGACTGACATTGCTGTGGAAGCAACGTGCTTGACGACTAATCGATCGCCTGGCTTAACCCCGTAATCTGCGCCCGATTATTCACAGGGAGCATGGTACAAGTCCGACTGCTGATTGGTCCAACGATCACGTAGCTTCCACCACCTTGTTCGCTTAGCGGTTAACGGAGTACTATTGCAGAACACTAGTGATAACTGTAAAGTAAAAAAAAAGTAAATTTTGTGTAGTTATACATTGCTGGCATGCTTCGAACAGTCTCATAGATTTGTATTCAGTTTTGTTTTATTCGATTACACCAAAAGTGGGTGTTGCCGTCTAACATGACTTATCACTGCAAATATTATAACCATTGTGGTCTGATGAGGTGCTTGGGGTACATTTACGAAACGGAAATTCCCCAAAGGCCAAGCCAATTACAAGAAGTAGACCAGACGTTCTGTTTATATCAGCTGATATTCGTCATTTCCGCTATTTTATGAGTACTATGCTTGTAAAGTCATTTTGAACTGCCTTTTTTATTTGGTATATACGTATAAATAAAAACTTCTTAAACCCCACTTGACAAACCGCGAGTTTTTTTTTAACGTGTGCAATAACGTATGTTGTTAAAGATGCAAATAAATATGCTTGACCACGCTACCTCCTTGCTAGCTAGTATTGGAATTAACATTATCACTTTAAGTGATTGTCTCTCAAGCGGGTCCAGGAGAAAAGTCAAGACCTGAATTAAAGTGAAGCGTAGAAGTGTTCCCCCCACCTCTTCACTAAGTATTCAGAGAGTTAACTGAAGTTAACTTCCAGTGTGTGTTGAAACATCAATATATATAGTAATTTTGAGATAACAAAGATTCATCAGCGTTTAGATTGATTAATACTTTAATTAGATGTTACACCATGATACATAAACAAATCGACAATTAGTTTGGCACAAAAGTAAATGTAGAATTAAGGAGCTGGCTTCAGCGCTTGCAGGTACCTTTTTTTTTTGCAAACTTTGACTACACTTAATTTAAGACTATGATAGTAAGGCAATTTGAAGGGACGATGCAACGATTCTCGTACTTTCAGTAAATACCACTTAGAATTATAAACCATAAAATACGCCTTCATTTTTTAGGGGTTTTCTTCTCTTGCAATGGCAATCGCGGAAACTATTCGTAAAAAAACAAACAGCTTCCACTCCTGAACTCGTAGCCAGAACAAGCGGCCACATGATCTGGAGCTGTTTATATAATAATAATAAATCTTTATTTTGTTTCATCACTGAAACGGGGGACCAAGACAAAAAGCTGCTGCAGCAGCTCGACAGTGGTCCTGGCCCCCTTTACGGCAGGCGATTCCTAAGCAATTTCAAAAACGAACAAAAGAGCTACATTGAGAGAAAGAACACTATTTTAAATGTACAGGCCATAGATCAAACAAAAACAAGAGAAACGATAAAATTAATACATTCATTGGGGTATACAATGGTACAGTGATCCGTATGCCTTAGCCGTACCTAAGAAAACAACCCTAAAATAGTGCTCGTACCTCTGTCAGCGTCATTGCATGAATATCAACACCTTTTAAAAATAATTAATTTAATAAAGTAGTTAATTGGTAATTTAGCGTGTGGTTATAATATAATGTATGTGATGGCGAAACAAACCATTTTTCTTTAGGGCGGAGTTGATATGAGGAAGTGAAAAGGACTAGGTTACATAATTCCTCAAAAACTTTATTTTTAAACTGCGTAGACTTCTTGTACGCCAAAAGAAGTCGGGACCTGTAAATATTTGAACTTGGTTTCATATTAAACAATGAGAACAAGTGTTCAGTATGATCATAGTATGCAACATTGGCAATAGCACGCACAGCTTTCTTTTGCAAAATATGTAGTTTATTTATGTTTGTTTTTGTTGTATTTCCCCAAACTAGATGACAATAATTAAGTTGGGAATATACCAAAGCATTGTAGAGTTGGAGCTTAACACAACGAGGTAGCAACGATTTAAACTTTGTTAGCAACCCCACTGTTTTTGACAATTTAGACGAAAGATTATCAACATGTTTATTCCAAGACATACTATTTGTAAACCAAACACCCAAAGTCTTAATAGTGTCGACAAATTCAATTTCTTCATTGTTCAAAATCAGTGGGTTTGGGATTATAACTGTAGCATGTTGACTTTTAAATAAAATGGCTTTGGTTTTTTGCGAATTTAACTTAAGGTGATTATTTTTTGTCCATTTTTCTACATGATTAAGAACGGTATTACATTTAGTTACTAGAGTACAGATATCTTTATCGGAAAAGAAGATGCTAGTGTCATCAGCATATATAGTGAACTCAGCTTTAAAGGAGCGATGCAACAATTTTTGTACTGTGCACAAATACCGCTTAAGACGGATCCCTAACGTTAATGACCTATGAAACACGCATTCGTTTTTCACCCCACGCAATAGAAGTCCCAGAGAAAAATGTAAGAAAAACGAGCAGCGTTCACTTCCTCAACTCGCAGCCAGAACAAGCGGCCACGTGATCTGGAGCCGATTATATGCCGCCAGTGTCGATCATAGCCACGCGCTGGGGTTGGCAAAGCGCAGGACACGCGCCGAGTTCCAGACATTGTTATGGCTCGGCTATTGTCGTCGTTGCAGCGATTGGACACGGGTCACAATCCGAATGCTTCTCGAGCTAGCAATTGTCACGAGCCCAAGTCGAGTGCCCACGCAATGCTCGGGTCCAATCTATGAACCGCATTCAAATATCGTCACTTGGGTGTACTGCGATCCCCGAGTTACGTCATCAAATTTTGCAAAGGAGAGATTGAATGAAAATGATCGCTTTTGTCCTTGAAATTACGCCGCAACAAAGGACTTTCTTGGCCAATGGCGTTGCGTGTGAGTGTCCTTGAGTCCCAGGTGTGCCAGTCAGCTCGTGTAGAGAGAAAAACATTCCAGTTGAATATCGTTGCACAGCTCCTTTAAGATCACAATTTGCATTCACAATATCGTTAATATAAAGAATAAAAAGTAGGGGGCCTAAAATGCTGCCTTGGGGTACACCATTTGTTATTTTGAAATATCTGATTTAAAGTTAAATATAGACACGAACTGGGTACGATTCCGTAAGTAGGATTGTAACAAACTTAATGTATTCCCACGAATGCCATAGTATTCTAATTTTGCTATGAGGACATTGTGATTTATTGTGTCGAAGGCCTTAGAGAAATCTAAATATATACCGACTGTTAATAAGTGATTATCTAATGCTCGTAATATTATTTCTTTTTGTTTTAATAATGCTAACTCAGTGGAATAACTTTTACGGAAACCATATTGAGAATTTGTAATTAAAAGGTATTTCTCAAGATGAGAGACAATTCAATTTGAAACTATTTTTTCAAATGGCTTAGAAAATACTGGAAGGATGGAAATTGGTCTAAAATTGTTAATATTATTCAAATCACCACCTTTATGTGGTACATTAACTCTGGCAATCTGCATTTTGATAGGAAACTCACCGGACTCAAGTGCAAGATTGAATATATAAGTTAGGTATGGTGCTAGGATATCTAGAACATACTTTGCTGGTTTTATTTGCATATTGTATGCATCAATACTTCTGCTATTGTTGAGGCTCATAAATATATTATAGACTTCGGATACATCAGTAGGAAAAAGAAATATAGAATTAGGCAAGGGTGAAGGCATGCACTGAAGTGCATTATTTACAGTAGTAGTAGAAACAGGAGATGTATTATGATTTACAAAATAGTTATTAAAAGCATTCACCATATCCGTCCCCGACATTATACAACCATCTATGTTAATTTCAACTGGCATAAAAACCTGTGGTTTGTAGTTAAGCAATGTTTTGAGTTTTTGCCATATCACGTCACTTTGACGTATATCATCGATATTAAACATATTAATGTAATAATCTTTTTTCGCTTGTCGCAGCATGCTTGTTAGTTTGTTTCCATAATTCTTAAAAATCTCAAGTTTCGAGGTTTCCGTAGATTTCAAAAACTGACCATCTAAGTTGTTTTTCGTGCGAATCATTGTGAGAAGTATAGGTGTAACCCAAGATTTGCGAGAGTTTTTGGAGGGCACCCGCTCACTTCCACGCATTCTTTATGTTCGGCTATTCCCTCATTGCTAGGATTGTACACGAGTCGCTACACGAATTAATGTCGACGCATTGACTGTCAGGAGCCAAAATCGAATGCTTACGAAGTGGTCGTGTCCTCTCTATAAATCGAATTTAATTACCGTCAACGGTGGCACCGCAAAGCGTGATGACGAAATCTTGGAGATTATTATTGTTGACAACGCCAACAGTGCGATTCCCAACACTTCGTCATCGAGTTTTGCAAAGGAGAAACCAAAAGAAAGCGTCCGCTTTTATACTTGAAATACCGCGGCGACAAAGAAGCTTTTTCGTCAGTGACGTTGCGTGCGCGTATACTTGGGTCCTTAATGCCAGTAAGATTGTATAAAGTGCGAAACATTCTTATCCAATAATATTGCACGGACTCTTTAAATTTGTAGAACACTGCTGGTTAATGGGTATACGTAAAAAAACACATTTTTTTTAATTAGTACATTTCTTTTAATTTTTGTTATTCAATAATGCTGCTAAATTCAACGCAAGATTGTAATACTTTTTTTTTAACTGAAAGGCCTCTTTATTGTTTAGTTGTTTATAGTCTCGTGTTGATTCAAAGATGTTTGGATCCCTATTTACTTTGCCAGATGCAGGCCTTCTTCCTGAAAAACCCAAACGCCGGAGCGGGCAAGCGAGCGCGGGAACAAGCCCTCGAGAACGTGCGCAACAACATTGCCTGGATCATGCTCCACGAGCCGAAAGTGGCCCGCTGGCTGACCACCAACATCATACCGGAGCCGTGGGAAAGCATACGGCTTCCTCGTCACGTGATCCCAATCAGCTACGACATCAGGCTTGAACCCGTACTAGCCGAGGACTTGGTCCACGGCTCGAGCTCGATTCGCATCGCAGTTGCAAAAGCGACCAACGTCCTTATGGTACACATCAAAAACATCAACGTCTCCATGACCAAAGTGAAGCGTCTGAAACGCGGAAACTTTGAAGATGTTTCCATGGACGAGGAGCCTTTTCTGTACGCCGAGAACGATTTCTGGGTTGTGCAGTCCAAAGACGTCTTGGCTCCGGGCGTTTACGTTCTGGAGTTTGAGTTCAGTTCGTCGATGCTGAATTATCTGCGAGGTATCTTCAAGACTTCTTACTGGGATACCAAGACGCAGAGTACCAAGTGAGTTAACGGCTTCCTGACATGAGGGAATTGACCTCGTGCAAATTGTGTACACTTCCTTAATTGCACTTGAAGGGGGTAACATGTATCTGAAAACAAAATAACGTGATTGTAAATAGAACATAATTTAGGAAGTTGTTAAAATGAGCCAAAAAGTACTGTGACAAAGAAAGATAAAACATTACTCTGTACGTCAGGTCGAGAAACATCCAGGAGTTAATATCTGCCCGCCAATGTTTGCAGCTGTCCGATATTTTCACCTACAGTTGGTTCTTGGCTAATTACATTCACATTCTTGGCTAATTACATTCACACAAATAATTGTACCCAATTAGGTCACTGACGAGAGTTACCCTTTCATATTTTTAATTCAGTATTCGACTTTGAGCTTTCTAGTTTTTTTTAAAAACATCGCTACTGGAAGAATCAATTGTAAGTTGTAATTTGTAGAACGTAAAACTTCACTTACTCTCGCCGAATCCTATTTTCAGGTATATGGTGACTTCACAATTCCAACCAACTTTCGCTCGCATGGCTTTCCCATGCTTCGACGAGCCAAGCTTCAAGGCTAACTTCACCATAACAGTGGTCCACGCACCTGATATGAAAGCCATATCTAATATGCCTGTGAAAGAGGTGAGTCTGAACGTGCTCATCTAAAAAGATGAAGTAAAATGCAATATGAAATTACATTTCAGAAACAGTTTTGCACGCTGCATGGTGACGTCACGTGTGCAATTCAATTATGCGTCTCGTTTTTTTCAGACTCGGGAGCTAGACGACACAAGAGTGGCAACCAAGTTTCAGGAATCTCACAAAATGACCACTTACTTAGTTGCGGTCGTGGTTTGCGACTTCGATTATCTCTCCGGAGTCACTTCGAATGGAACTCCGGTAGGACCTTCTCATTTGTATTCATATATATTGTTTTCCACTAACAACTTGTTGCTATCTGCCGGTTAATATTTAACTGATTAGGTTATAATCGGTTGGTGTTCCGAGAAGCGTCTTTTAGGGTCTGCGACCGCGCCCAGTCTGTTGCTTCCAGGCGTCCCGTGCTTCTCCATGGCTCGCCGCCCGGCCGCCCGGCTCTACGGTGTCGCACGTTGCATCCGCCGTTGTTTTGGGCTCAATTGATGGTGTTTGCTATACACGGCAAACACGCGCATATTACACGGTACTTGGGTTCCAGAAATCATTATTTGCAACTACCTGTAAATTGTATCATTTGAAATACTCCTGCTCTGTGATTTTTGTTCAGGCAACGAATACTTGTTTTCTATGCCTTTGAACGCTAAGCAAACCAGCGTGGTAACCTATGATATTTCGTCCTTCTTTTTAATCTGCGCAGTCAACATTTTAGGTTTAATATGTGTACTATATGTTAAATTCTGTCTCAGCTTATACTGAAGAGCAGCAATACCCCACGCAATAATATTTATTTACTTCAAAATGTCTTTATGAAATGGCTATTTTTGCTATATAAAATGTCAAGGTTACCTGAAATAACCAAAAATGAATTCATTATTCAGCATTTGGAATCCGCATTTTTAACATTTTTTTTATAAACTACTCCTATATTCCTTTTATGCGTAGTGTTCAATTCAATTCAATTCAATTTCATGGTCAGTTACCATTTTTACAATGGCGGGAGCTGGTTTTCCGATGGTATTCCGATAACTTCATACATAAGGATCTGTGTTGTACGGAACGGCATTACAAGAAACGGCGTTCCTGGAACGCGTTCCTTTTAAAAGGAACAGAGGAACGCCCCGGTTCCATTCTGCCTTAGTGAAACTGGAACGGGAACTCGTTACATTTTGATAAAAACAAAAAAAAGGGCGTTCTTTTTTTTTTTTTTTTTGTCTACTGATGTAATTGTTTGTTATATTTTTAGGGGGGAAACTTGACAAAGACATAAAAACAATATTTTTGCGAAGAGCAGATCTCGATAACCTTTTTGTTACTTATTCTATGTTTTATTTTGTGGGGTCCTTGCTCGGTATCGGTCGGGTGCAGGAAAGCTGGTGGATATTAATCCTGTTTTCAGTGCCCCAGACTGTGGTACTAAAAACTAATCTTTTAGTCAAAGGAACACAGAAAAAGGTACGCCTCAAACTCAGCTACTTTCTTTACTTCCACGAATCGTCATACACTCAGATATCTAAGGCCGACTACAGCCATCAATGAGCTTCCACAAATATACCTACAGTTACAACTAAAGGACAAGTTACCAGACATCGAACGCCCCGTTTTATCTCGAAAATTGGTAATTAAAAAAAAATAGATTTACTCTTTTTGCCCTTCTCCCCCACCTTCAAACTGAACAACGAATTCAACCTTCACGAAGAATGACTGGTAGCCTTCAAGACCGACCTTCCAGAAGCCCTCTTTTCCACTTCCTCTCCACCGTAAACATAAGCGGGAACAAGACATGTAGGAAGTGGGTGCATCTGTTTCGGCTAAACAGATAAGCGTGTCGTGTAACATCGGTGCAAGACCTGGGACTAACTCGCGCCCGGTAGACGCGGCGAGGACGCGCATTCTTGGGAGGGCATCATCGAACCTCCTCGTGGGAGGGCATCATTAGACTTCCAGGTGGCTTTCCATCACGGCATTCAAATTCGTACGTTGCCATTTTATGAAAAATATAATAAAAGGATGTTTCAAATAACTAAATAGGGTCGTTAGTACAATGCAAATGTAACGTATAAATAACAAAGCGGAGAGCAAGTCGTCTGCTTTTTGCGCAGCAGTTGCGGTGACGTCAAAACGACGCCGAGCTCTGATTGGCTTTGATTCAAACGATAGTGCGTAGACTTCAATGATAGGTGCCTTGTGGTCTACCGACTACATTTCTTTTTTCAATCAGCCAAAAAGAGCTCCGCGTTCTGACATCATCGCAGCCTTTGGACAAGAAGCAGCCGAACTTGCGATCCGCATACGTTGTTGAAAACTGTAAAGGAAACAAGTTCCTTTCTCACAGACGGAACTTGTAACGGGAACGCGTTCCAAAAGCAGAAAGACGGAGGAACGAGCTCCTGTTCCTTCTTTTGAGGAACGTGTACAACACTCAGACGGATGAATCTTTTGGAGTATATTGTGTGTGACTTTTACAATGTACCTGGATGTTTCTTCAACAGGTGCGCGTTTATGCACGCGAAGAGATGTTGCCGCATGCTAAGTACGCACTCTCATCAATCATCCAAGTGCTAGAACTGTTTGAGCAGCAGTTCGCAATCCAATTTCCATTACCAAAGATAGGTAAGCTTAGTTTCAAAATACAAACGTTGCAAACCGAATTTGCTTCTGTCAAGTACTCAAAATCACTTTTTTTCTTTTCACCACTGCCGTTTTAGACAACATCGCAATTCCTGATCCACAAGCAGCTGCCATGGAGAATTGGGGTCTAGTCACTTACAGCGAATTCATGTTGCTCTACAACCCCAATACAACTTCCGTGTCCGATCACCATAACATCGCTGAAATAGTCTCGCATGAACTCGCGCACATGGTGAGTCGGCTTCAGAAACTTGCAGGAAGTTCAGCATTGTCACCATCAACCCGAGTATCACAGAGTAGAACTATACATGCCCTATCATTTTAAAGAATCATCCGGAGCATTCAATTTACAGTAGAAGTTTGCGAAAGAGAGAATAAACTTAAAATAAACGTTCTGCCGATGGTATCTAGCATGAATAGAGTGTCTTCCACACATTTCGACAATTTCAAATAGCTAACTACGCATTGTCAAATTTTTTGATCACCGTTATTCATACATTATACCATCATTTATGCGAAGTTATGACTGGGTTGACAGCATTTGAGCCGCAGTGAGGGCGAAGCAATTTGAAGTGTAGAACACGTCCTGTTAAACATATAGCGTCTTTTCCGCTACTTCTCAGTGGATACGCCTCACTATGATGCTGCGTCACGATAAGCCTCAACACTTCTTTGTTGTTTGGTGCCTTTTTTCAGTGGTTTGGCAACCTAGTTACCATGAAGTGGTGGGATGACTTGTGGCTGAATGAAGGATTTGCGACGTATAATTCCTATAAAGGAATCGAGCTCATTGAACCATCTTGGGATGCGGTAAGCTGCGCATTCTGATATTACTGTTTGAAACTTGTAATAATATAACATTGTTTGCATGTTGTGGATCATTAAGAAGCGTGGCGTATATAGTTAATCATTCTTACCGACAGAGTGATTCTCTATCTTTTGCAGGATAGCCAATTCCTGTTAAAACTGATTTCAGGAGTTTTGGAAAAAGATGCTGTTTTAAGTTCCCACTCAATTGTTATGCCTGTCAGCAATCCAAACGAAATCTTTGATATTTTTGACGTGATTTCGTATAACAAGGTAAGACAGAGATTTTATGAATATTATGTTATTTACTTCTAACGTGCACGCCCGTTTGTTATTGTATTCAGTTGAGTGAGAACCTTCAAAAACTCAAAACCAAAGGTGCCATATCTGTTAGAAAAGTTTTGAACTTTATTTGTGTCGTACATATGTGGCCTCTAATGCAGCCTACACAAGCAACGAAGGTGCTCATTTTATGTGTTTGGTTGTTCCGCGCAAACCGTCCGATGTTTTAGGATAAAGGATGATTATATAACAAAAAAGACTATATCCTGTGTTGTTGTTCTGTTAACCCTCATTCTGATTGAGAGCTTGAGGAACCCCGCATAGCTCGCGGAGGCAAATAAATAGAAAATTTCTGTGATTCCTAGCTTCTGTTTGTTAATCTGACATCTGTATTGCTTCATCCCGCCTTTTTTTCCTACTTGTCGGTTTTATGTTGAGTAATGTGCGCGTGAGTAAAATGCAAGTGGGATTTGGATGTTTTTTTGTGATCATAATGCACAAACAAAGAATTTAGGCTTCTTTTTTTTTACGTTTTGCATATACTTTTTAGGGTTCGGCGGTCATCAGGATGCTGGAGTCTTTCATGGGAACACGAGATTTCAACCGAGGTATCCAGGTATGACAGTCTTCGCTTTTGATACTCCAACTGCATGCTGCCATTCTAACACGCCTGTCTAATTTCATTTTTTTTTCGACTCAGAATTATTTAAAGAACCGCAAGCGCAGCAACGCAGTAACACTGGATCTATGGAAATCTCTGGAAAATGTATCTACTAAGGTAAGGCAATTTTTCTCCCTTAAAATAAATCCTTATTTGGAGCAGTATCACCCCAAAAACGTGTTCTAAAAAAATTAAACAATGCAGTTTCACATTAGCTGTGAAAAGTACAAAACAGAAGCAACAGTTCCCATTGAAACAGGTATAAATGCTCGCATTTCGAGTGTGGAATGCACGAATACATTTGGTATTACCAGATAAAAGTTATCTCAAACAACTAAACGCGCAAAACAAAGATTGTATTAAAAATTAACATTATGTTTCTGCAATTTCAGCATCAGCACATCACTACAATAATGAACACATGGACAAGGCAAATGGGATTTCCTTACGTTTCTGTAAGGAAAGCGCCAGGCAACTCCAGCTTGTACCAGGTGTCGCAGCAGAGGTTTTTGTTAAACCCCGACGATGCTACCAATCTCACAAATGATTCGCCCTTCAGGTACCTGTTTTTCTCTGCAATTATCAGTGACTTAATTTCACAGGTAGAAGTGAAAAAAAATTTTTTTTTCAACCTTTTTACCTTGGTGAAGAAGGAAGAGTGCGGAGCTGTACTATGTGCCGCCATCTATGAGTGACGGCGGCAACATGACATCTGGCAAGCCGGTTGCCGCCCTCGCTCATAGATGGCGGTAGCTGTCCAAAGGGTTGTGTCGAGATGTTTCTGCCCGCGGACACGAAACTGGGGAAACTAACCCTTAACAACTCAGCTGTAAAAAGAAAAAAAAAAGCTGTATTAAGTTGAATCTTATGGCGCGACTATCCTGCGACCAACCAACGAATTCTGCCCAGCGCTGCCCAGCGCAGCAAGTTTGCTTTGCGTGCGGAGCAGCAACTGTTGTTCAACAGAATGCTTAAGCCGAATTCGCCGCTTTTGCGCTGCATATTCGCTCGATGGAGTCTAGTATCCAGCCGACTTGCCTGCCTTGTCTGGTTTATCTCTTCGTGTTTAGGTACATCTGGGAAATTCCCCTGAGCTTCAAAACGTCTGAAAAGCGTGTGGGTCTACATTGGCTCAGAACAAACAACACAGGTGAGCTACTTCAAGTAGTTACGTTGGTAGTTGGACTTAAAATGTGGCGGGGGTCGTATCTCATGCTTTATGAAGATGCATGAGAGTTCGAGCATTGCCTACTCGCGTATTGAATTTCGCACGTGTCACGTTTATTTTCTAAACAGACATTGTGAAGATTCCCCTTGAAACGCAGGATTCCTGGGTTAAGTTTAATTCGGAATTCAAAGGCTACTACTTGGTGAACTACGACTTGGACGATCTGAAACTTTTTGCTGAAACCTTGTCTGACAATCATGAGGTGAGCCTTGCTTATTTAAAACAAAACACATTTCAGACTCCTGAAAGAAGGGTAATTTCTTCGTTGCAATTCGCTATTTCTTCCCCTATAGACAATTGCAAGCATGGCGCCCCTGATTGTTGCCCCATGAGTGCAAGCACACGCAGCTTGCGCGTGATCCTAACTTTGGCCAGCTTGAAACTGCACGGGTCTTGTTCGTACGAGTAGAGACTTGGCGGCGGCCAGTGGCCTTGCTTGCAATCGTCTGTAAACTTCTCCTCGAGCACACTGGTCGGGCTTCGCCACTCTTTGTTTTCTAGAGCGCAGCTCTTATGGTACGTTTACACTTGCGGATCCGCTAGCGAATCCGCCCAGCTTTTGCCGCTGGGGCGAAACGCTGGGCGGAAAACTCGGCGGCGAGCCGTTTAGGTCCGGGATCTATTTCTGCCGCCGAACGAGGCGTTTCGCTGACCGGAAGTGGCATTCTTGCGCGGCGCGACGCTGCCTACGTCACGAGTACGCGTTCTTCCGGGAGAGAGAGAGCCGAGGCGGGAACTCTCGCGCCTTCTCGTCATATCTGACGAGACGTTACGGGAACCGCTGCCGCAGCCGGCGCTGCCGCCACTGCTCGAAGGAAATAGATGTAAACGCAACCCTCTCGTCACCGCCGCCGCCGGGAGCGGATCCGCTCCCGCGGCAGCGGATTTCTTCTCATGTGTAAACGTACCATTAGGCGCCCGTTTCCGGCTTGAGCGGCGTCGCCGTCGGCGTACCGTGAGGTCACGTGACCCTCCCCCCCCCCCCCCCCCCCCCCTGAGATCACGTCAACCCCTGAGGTCACTTCACCCCTCTAAGGTCACGTCACCCCCCGAGGTCACGTGACCCCCTGAGGTCACATGACCCCCTGATGTCATGTCACCCCCCCTGAGGTCACGTGACCTCAGGGAGTCACCTGATCCTATCCCTCAGTACCCTTCCATCATCCTCCTCAAGAGCTGCGCCCTAATCTGGCGTTACAGGGAGTTGTAAACGGCTTTCATTTTAGAGCGCAGCTCTTAGGCGCCCGTTTCCGGCTTGAGCGGCGTAACCGCGCGTAACCGTCGGCGTAACCGCGCGTAACCCTCGCAACCCTCGTGAGGCTTACGAGGGTTACGAGGGTTACTCTCACGAGTGTTACCTTCACGAGAATCGCGAGGGTTACCCTCCTAACCCTCGTGAAAGTAACCCAGGTAACCCTAGTAACCCTCACCAGGGTTACGAGGGTTAGTTACCCTCACAAGGGTTACCAGGGTTACTCTCACGAGGGTTACGAGGGTAACCCTCGTGATCCTCGTCAGGTAACCCTCGTGAGAGCAACCCTCGTAACCCTCACGAGGGTTACGAGGGTTACTCTCACGAGGGTTACACTCCGAGGGTTTTAAGAGTTACCCTTACGAGGGTTATGAGAGTTACCCTAACGAGGGTCACGAGAGTTACCCTCGCGAGGGTCATGAGAGCTACCCTCACAAGGGTTACTAGGGGTACCCTCACGAGGGTTACCCTCACGAGGGTCATGATGGTTACCCTCACGAGGGTCACGAGGGTTGCCCTCACGAGGGTCCGGATGGTTACCCTCACGAGGGTCACGAGGGTTACTCTCACGAAGTTCATGAGGGTAACCCCCTTATGTCACGTGATCCCCTTAGGTCACGCGACCCCCTTATGTCGCGTGACCCCTGAGGTCACGTGACCCCCTAAGGTCACGTGACCCTTTCATGTCACGTGACGCTCGGAGGTCACGTCGCCCCAGGTCACGTGACCCATCCCCAAGGTCACGTGACCCCTAAAGTCACGTGGTCGCGTGACCCCCTGAGGTCACGTGATTCCCTGAGTCCACGTGACCCCCTGAGGTCACGTGACCACCTGAGGTCACATGACTCCATGAGGTCACGTGACCCCCTAAGGTCCCGTGACCCGCCTGAGGTCACGTGACCTCAAGGAGTCACCTATCTCTCAGTACGCTTCCATCCTCCTCCTCAAGAGCTGCGCTCTAACCGGCGTTACAGGGAATTGTAAATGGCTTTCATTTTTTTATAACCGAGTCCCAATAGTGCGACAAATAAAAACTATCTGCAAAAACTACCGACACTGATATGCCCCAAGCACGGGCAGGATGCACGTGAAGATATTTTTGCCAGGATTGCAATCACTCCTGTTTACTTCACGAGCACGGAGGCTGCAGGCCTGTCGAAGGTATCTTCGCATGCAGGCTGCACGTGCTCAGGTCGTGTCGGTGTTGGTTGTTTTTCTTTGTCGCTTTAGTGGAACTCCGGCTTCAAATAACGACAATCATCACGCACGGCGAAGCACACACTGCGGAAACAAATTGGCGTCTTTCAATTCATTTGCTGCTGTTTGCAGCCATTCGCTTCCCATAAAACGTCATTGTCAAACAGTCGGCGTTTCAAACAATGTCGGTACTTATAAGAAGCACAAGGTTCGCCTTTTATCTAGTGGCTTTAGAGATCTAGACACCATGACGACGTGAACAGAAGACCCTACTTTCTTCTCCTGCCTACCAGCTGTCTCGCCTAACGCCTGGAAAAGCAATGCCTCTGTTCTCTTCCAAAGGAACTGTCAGCGTCTGATCGCGCCGAGCTGATCCTTGAAACCTTCTTGTTGGCACGGGCCGGCGTCACACCCTACCCTGCTGCTATGGACCTCACGAGGTACTTGCGCAGGGAGCGCCACTTCATTCCCCTAACGGCCGCCTCGAAGGTGCTGAGGCATATCGCCATGTGTATGCGTGACTACCCGGAGAGGGATCTGTTCCAAGTGAGTCGCCTGCTGTCCGCATTCTGCTATTAAGCTGTCACTTGCGATGCTGGATACGTTTCTGCTAATTGTCATATTGTTATTACTACATTATTCGCACCGTCCTCTGGAGAGCATGACGGAGATAGGTCCAGTATTAAGCGCATGTGCTGTGAGAACCTACAGACGAATAATGTCCACCGTAGGGCATAATGTTGGTCACATGCGTTCGATGTTTCCTCCCATTCTAATTATGGCAAGTTAATGTCAAATGCTGGTAATTACCGGTAGGGTTGATTTGCCTGATATGACTTGTTAATAACATCTATGCACACTCCTAGGATTTTATTTGGTTGTTCAGAAGGGACGTAGGAGGCAAATGCATATGAAGATTGAGAAGCAGCAGGGATAACATACACACCATCGTTAATCCGGGAATCATTAAAATTGCGCCAATTTCAAGATGCATAAATGCAGGCATGTTCTGTTTTGTTTTCCAAATTTTAACACTACTCGTTTTCATTTCATAAAGTTTGATTTTTTAGGTTGAAAATGACGTAAATAAGTGCCATTTTTGTGGTTATCTTCCAAATACTATTTGTTTTATTTCAGTGGACACTAAATATTTTGTTGTCAATTCGCAGTCTTACGCTTTGAGCCTTCCTTATTACGGGGTGTAAGCATGCTACAAATAGGTGCGACTCTTCAATTTCAGGGCTACTTGAGGTACATAGCCGAAGAGGGTTTTGAAGAGTTTACGTGGAGAGACAGAGGGGACCATCTCACCAAGTAAGCTTGACGTGCACAAGTTGCGAGCCTTTTGACCGAAGTCGCATGATCGCAATTTGTGAAAACACTTGCGCTTCGGACGGATTATTACATTTGTTTTTTGTTATTATTTTTCAGGAGGGCCCGAGAGGTTATTCTCGATCTGTCGTGCTTCAGTGGAGACCCAATTTGCCTGAAAAATGCAGGCAAAAGGCTAAAAGCCTGGATCAGTGGTGCTACGTAGGTTTCGTTGGATTGCCTTTTCCAGTTACTTTCCTTGCTCCAGAATTTCAAAGATGGCAGCATTATCATTTTTTTTTTACCAAAATACAAACGAATATTTGTCACGTTTTTTTTATTTTTACTTTCCTTAAAAAATGAATGTTTGTGCCTTTATATATATATATATATATATATATATATATATATATATATATATCTTTTCTTTGAGTTCCTGCCAACAGCCGTGTAGCCTGAGCAGCTGTGCACTGCCCTGGGGAGTAATAAAACGAGCAAGTTACAGAACAATTTCCACTTCAACGAACAAAGTTGTAGACGTGTCATGGGGCAAATAGCTTGCATAGCAGGATAAAATGTGTCATGGTAGCTGGAGGTTCACTCCGAAAGGTATACGAAAGTTCAACGCCGTCAACAACTTTGAGCACTCAAGACAGCCACGTACAACTTGGCACAGGAGATACATATATATTTCAACGCTTTTATTATGCAGCGACAAGAAACCGAGGTCTAGCAGTAGAATATTTTAGCCGCAAAAGCAACGGCGGACAATGTGCCTATCGTACAAAATTGGTATAGACTTACTTTGAGCATTTCGAATTAAATTACTGTATGATACCGCCACAGAGTTTCATACCGCCGGCGAGAATTCAAGGCGCGATCCAACAAGTGCACAGTACAGGCTTAAATGACATTATTACGAAATTTCCTCGTAAGCCGCGAAATTGTTAACCAGTACCTGGTTAACAGTGCGCAAAACTTAAGATGAAAATCTAATCCAGAATATACAAAAACGCCAAGATCATGCACACATGTGATGTAGTTGCCTTTTTTTTTTTCGTAAAAAGACAATAGTCGACAAGTAGGTTCTCGAACCTTACCAGCGTCTTTTAGTTTCATTTGCAACCTTTTAAAGAGACACTGACACCCCCAAAATTTCTTTTTTTCTCTGCCAGGTGTTTTAATATGGTGTCGGAATACTACCCAATTAATATTTTGCTACAGAGTCACGCATTTGTTTTTAATAAATCCAAAAAACGCAAGTGCTCGAAACTGAAACCGAAACCCCCGCACCGCACGGAGATCTGGAGAGGAGAGAGTGAGTGGCGGAAGTCACGTGGCTATACCCGGCCGTGCGATTTTTTTTTTTTTTTTCCGGGTGCAGCAGACGAAATGCGTTCGGGATCCGTTCGCTGTGCGATTCCTTTGCAGTTAGGTTTGTTGTGCTCGCTGTTCTGTACTGCAAGATGAGTTGTTTTGTGCATTTAAGTGTTAGCAATTAGTAGTGAGTGCCCGTGGGGAATTCCCGTGATCGGCTCCGAAAACAATACTCCCAAGATGTTGCGTGAAGAGCTGCCTCACATCTGAAGTGGCATTGTGCGGCAGATGTGTCAAAAATGGAATCCCATACCATTTAGTTCAGCGACATATTGTCCACAACAGTTGTTTTTATTTTCAGTGGTAATGGTAACAAAACGAAATGTAAACATCGCAAATGTTTGAAAAAAAGACAAATGGTACGCCCACACTAAGGATCGAACCCGTGCCCGCTGCGTGTGAAGCGGACGTCTATCCACTGAGCTCCTGAAGGAACTTTTTCGATCGTAGTAATGCAGCCGGTTGACTGTATGTCGGAACGTTTGCTGCAGATTTCCCTCCAGTACATGCACTCCCGGCTTGAAGTCGGGCAGCAGCACGCATTAGCCACATTCGCACCAAGTAAAGAAACTGTACGCGTGCGTATTCAACTCAATGTACGCACTTCGTGCTTGACGTTTGAGCGAGCGATGTCTTCAGCCACGAGAAGGGACGACGGCTCGGCGACGTATTGTGCAATCGGCTTGCTGGCCGGGCGTGTCGTACTCGTGCGGGATGAATAGCAATTCTTTTGATCGGTCCAAAATTTCTCTTTCGAAGGAAGACAGAATTTGCCGGTACAGTGAAAGACAGTTCTGAGATAGAGGTCCCACGCCCGTCGTCCGCTGCCACCCGCAAGTCCCACGAAACGCGAAGCGACGCCATGTTGAAAATTATGCAGTGAACGCACAGAATGCTTCTGGTTGTTTGTGCAACCTTCTTTTTTTTTTTTCAATCAACGTAATTGCAGCTTTTTGGAAGCCACAAAAAATAGGTTTCATATTTTTTTTTTCTATTTTTAGTATTGACTGTGTGCCTTCAATGACCCATGGCTTTGATTAAATTTGGTGATCACGTCGAAACCTTAGATAACGGACCGTGACCAAGGAAAAGAGAGTGAGCGCGTCTCAAACCGGCCAGTTCTCGATCGGCGATTTTCGGGCAGAAATAAGCCGAACTTCGAGCCGCAAATTCTGTTCTGGGTAGTTGGGCTCTCATATGTCACGTACAACCAAATGAATACCCTGTCAGTGTGCCTTTAAGCAAACAACATTGCTCAATGGAGCGATGTCATTTTGTACCAATAAACAGTCATTCTGATTGTCTGCTTTGCGGAAGAGTTTTAAGTCATTGGATAGGCATTTTTGAGTTCCTAATGCATGACGATATATAGTTTACAACGCCAAAAAAGAAAAGCGGCTTTTAGTTAGAACCACGTGGCACGCCAGATAAGGATGCAAATAGCACGGACACAGAGTTTCAAAATCTAACCTGATTTTGGTGATTATTGAAATAGCTCTTAAACCCTACGCAAAAGAATGGACATAATCCTTTTTTTTTCAATTTTATCAAAAGTGGTGGTCGACATAATCAAATGCCTTTGTAGTGTCAAAGTAAATTGTGTCCACCTAACTGCGGTTTCTTGCGGCGGGTCTCCTGCGACCAAGGAAAGCAGTTTAGACACTAGAATAGTACAAATGAATTAAATATATGTTGGTAAGTATTTCGCGGATTTTTATTTATTGCTTATAATCACAAAAAGTTTCGTTGGAGTGATTTAAAAAAAAAAAAAAAAAAACTGCTACGTATGATTTGGGCACACTCGAGTTGTATGCAGACTAGTTTGAGCGCGGTTAAAATGGTTAAAATTATGGTCGCCTTAGGATCACACACCACTATTTTAGACACGTTAATAAGTTAGTATTCTCAAATTTGTTAAATAAAACGATACGTTTTACTATCGCAATTCTTCATGACAAAAAGTTTCTAATTTTTTTGTCATAAAAGCACTTTTCATACCTTTTTTTTTAATGTGAATGTTTTTCAGAATTTCTCCAAACCTCCGCCAGCTCGTATATGTTTGGGGAATGGTGGAAATCGGCAACGAAACTATATGGGACGCCATGCTGCAAAGGTACCTCGCAGAGCCAATGCCGGCGGAGCGAAAGAAATTGATAAAAGGGCTTGCAAGTGTGCGAGATTCTTCATTGATTGAGAGGTATGCGCTCATTGTTTACAACACTAATAACGTTTCAAAACTAATACTTATACAGCTTCATAAAGAATGTATCACTGCAGGTTAAAAAAACCACAATTCTACTAAAATAGTTTGACGCCCCTATAATCCACCTACCATTGCGTTGACAAAGCCATAACAGAACTGCTTCCTTCTTGCTCCAATGTTAAGATATAGATAACCAAAATAGGCACGCGCGTGAATTGATTTTAAGCAATGAATAATTTAGGTCATGAACTTCTTGGCGGCATATATACATTGGTGGTTGTCTCAAATATATTAGTCATTTCTAGACTGACATCTTCATTGTAACATAGACATTGCAGATGAATCTCCTCCCACATGACTTTGGACGCAATCACTTAATTTGAATCAGCACGTCGTTGGCATTATAGTTGGCGTCTTGTAAGTGTCCGCTCATTATCGGCAGTCGATGGTGCAAAAAGATGATCACAATACAAACCCACAAACTGAGAAAAATAACATTGAAGAAGTTAGTTTCTTTTACGACACGTAGCATCAGCTTGTAAGCATGAAACATTAGTTCAAATGCGAGATATGGTAGCCTTAACACCGTAATAACACGTTATGTTTGGGCTACTTGATACCAATCTTGTGGTTTTATTCGGCGAATTCCCCCCATATTTGACCTTTCTCGTGAGTTGTATAAGAGTTAACTAGAATTTCTTCTCGTGAGCACACCTCATATACTGACAGCCTGATGGTTCCTGGATAGTTTTCAATAAAAATTTTAAGAAAAGTATAATCTATAAAAATTCTTCGAAGTCTGAGGTTGCACATCTAAGTAGCTGTACCTAAGCATGAGTGTCACAGATAAAAGAAACACACACAAAAAAACTTTCCTTTCGAAAACTTTCAGATTGCTTCAACAGTCTCTGAACGAGTCTGTGGTTAAGAAGGAGGATTTTCGTACACTGATTGAACAACTGGCGACGAACGAACTTGGACTTCAACGCGCTTGGAACTTTGTGAGGACCAATTGGGAACTGCTTGTTCAAAGGTACATCCGCCATTAAAATGGCCACAAGTCTTGCTATTTCCTTCGTTTCGTGTGTTGTTTGTATTTAGACACACGCGTGCAACCTGTCAATGCAAACGTTTTCGAGTATCTTTGCTAATTATGAAGTATAATATTTGTTTTGTTTTATCGAAAAGCAACCCTCATTTTTCTTCTTGAAGATACACGTTGACGGATAAGCAACTGGGAAACGTTCTATACTCTATCTGCCAGCACTTCACTACAGAAGTTGAGCTCCGAAAAGTAAGTGGCGAAGTTTATTTCTACCTTATTCTATCCTGATCGCCATTGCATAGATTTTATATGGTATAAATCAAAATGGCCTTTAAAAGTAACCACGATTAATTGAATCCTAAGTATCTATCAATAAACCGATATTTCATTCCACGTTACAAATAGTCGATACATGGTGATTAAAGTTCAATGGTGAGTTAATAAATATTCCAAGATCACGAGTTACAAGCACTCGATCAATCACAGAGCAGCTTAATGTGTAAGTAAATACAAATGGGTCACGTATTCTGCTCAACAACGTTGACTTTGTTTTCAGCTTGTCCAGAACGGGGGCGCTATGTAAACACCACATGGAAACTGCTGAAGTGCTTTCTGATAGCTGGGCCAGGTTGTGTGCATGTTGAGCCCCAGCTCTTGTGTGCCCTGCAATAGTGGTATCATCTGAGCCGCCATGTGTACATCAAAACTTATTTTAGATTTCAAATATTAGGTACACATGTTTTCAGGGGCTTCTTGTGAAACAATTGCTGTGAAAATGTGAATCTGTTTCAATGCAGTAAGTTGTCTGCAGATGTAAGTCAGGTGCGAATATCAAGATCCTTGCCTGCTCTACTGATAATTAAAAACCTGTTTGAGCCCTTTGCCGGCTATCTTCTGAAACCTCGCCAAGTGAAGTCTGAATTCTCCGTACACCATCTGAACTAGATGACCATCCGTGCTATCTAGAACTCTGCTTGTCAGACAATTCGTTAGACGGGGTTCAAACACGGTGACGTTGCAGGCATGGTGAAGGTGGCATTGTGTGGCTGCATGCGAAAATAAAGGCCTGTAGTTTTTGCCATTATGCGGTGTTGTCTTTAAAACAAAAATTCAACAAGGTGCCTTCATGATCATAAAACGTTGGAAATATATCTCTAGGGTTCATCTAGCTTCGCGTACGTCGCGTGCATTCTCCTAAAGCTGAACATCCCGAGTTGTTTTGTTCCAGATGGAGCAGTTTTTCGATGAGTACACCGAAGCAGGAATGGGAAAACGAGCGCGTCTCCAGGCGCTGGAAACAGTGAGAAGTAACATCCGGTGGAGGCTTCACTTTCCAAGGATAATTGTAAAGTGGATCAAGGAATACCAGTTCGCACCGTGGGAAAATCTCCGGCTTCCAACGCACGTGGTGCCTGTCCATTACGATCTCCAGCTGCAGCCTTTCTTGGAGGAGCAGTGGTTTCAAGGTCAAGTAGACATTGAGATCGAGCTTCTGAAGCCAGTCTCTAGTGTGAGCGTGCACTCCAAGAACCTCAACATCACGTCAGCCTTCATGACGGCTGTAGTAACAAAGACGATGGTTCCATTGGCCAAAATGTTCTTCTACGAAGAGAACGAGTTTTATGTGATGCAGCTGGACACTGTTGCCGACATAGGGAAGTACAGTTTGCACTACGAGTTCAGAGGATCGTTGACCCGAGACCTGCGTGGGCTCTACCTCAGCAGTTACCAGACTCCAGAGAACGAAACTCGGTATGTCTTTATAATTGCTTTTAATATGTTCGTACAAGAAACCTGTAATTGTAAAAAGACGGAAACTACTGTTCTGCATTATTTGCACAGTTTATCTACTGGCCCGGCGACTGTTGCCCTAAAATGTTTTAGAGGATAATTATTTTGGCTTAGACACCAACGCTTAGTTGTTTTATTCGAATTTTTTTTTCTGACGAGTCATAAGTAGAGTAAAGTGGCCATGCGGTCTCCACTGCTGAGGTGGTTCCTATTTTGGTGGGTCGTTCTAGAAAACTGTTACTTTTCAATAGCATAGAACGATTCGAAATTTCCCAAAGATGAAGTTTGTGCGCTTACAAGTTATTTTTTAATTAAACACTTCCAAGTTAGACTATAAAGACAGGCACACCTATAGTACCTTGACTTTCGCGGCATCACTCATGTAACACTCAGTTCTAAGCAGCTTCTTGCGGACGTACTTTTCACTTTTAAATCGTGCTAAGTCTCATTTGTTCCCGATATTTACATCGGCATAATTTCCCCACAACATGTTTCCTGCAAAATTAACCGCCTGAAACAACCTGGCATTCCAGTAGACTACGCTAAAATATTATAATTCGAATATGTGATGCAATGGGCAGTCATTTACACTCCTTTTATTTCTTCCTGCCATCAGGTATTTGGCAACAACCCAGTTTGAGCCTACAGATGCCAGAAAGGCATTTCCGTGTTTCGACGAACCTCGATTCAAAGCAACGTTCAGCATAAAACTGATCCACGACCCAGCCTACATTGCTCTGTCCAACATGCCAGTGATTGTAAGTACATATTGTGGACGACGATTCTAAACGCTCCGAGAGAATTATTTTATTGCTGCCAAAGTTATGTTGCGGCAGGATGTGGGCAAGAGATGCATCAGTAATTCCTTCTTTGACTCCCCTTGCAAAAACGCTTTACTCGGGCTTTGGTTACAATTTTTGTACGTTCCGTGGGCCTCTTGCCTGCTTGCAATTTAGATAAAGTTTAAATATTCTCATGATGACGATTTAAAAAAAAAAAAAAACAGTTACTGCAGGGGCTCTAAACTCGTCAAACACAAAGTTGGAGCCAAAACGTTTGAGGAGCGGGCCGATTGGACGCCGGCTTCAAAAGCGCGAAATCATCATCCTGATAGTACAATCGATGAGCTCCATAAACTTCGGCCACAACTTGGTGTTCGATGAGTTTAGAGGCCCTGAGCTACAATTGATAGAGTCACTGATTGCTGAAGCAAGTCAGATAGGTGGCGAATCCTTGGAAACTTATTACTGATTCGTATTTAATAAGATAGCGGCATTAGCCGGTAAGAACGCCGAAAAAAAAAAAAGAATCACGAAGCGTGGAGCTTGAAGTCGAGCCACGCTGTGCGTGTTTTACGCTTTCAGTGACTCAACGGCGAAAATGTAATATTGATAAATATCTTCGAAACACGAAGGTCACATTTCTCCTTGGAAATATTACCCAATACGAATTACAATACCATCAACGTGACCTTTATAACTCATTGGGTTATTGTGCTTTGTTAGGGAACGGAAATCACTACGACTGGCCTGCAAATAACGCATTTTGAGAAGACGGTTAATATGACAACCTACTTGGTTGCCGTCATCGTGTGCGACTTCACCTATATTTCCGGTAACAGCTCGGGAGGTGTTCAGGTAAATGGAATTTCCTTATTGGGTAGCATAGATAATCTTTTGTCCTCTCGGAATACATAAATGGCCGCCTAATTGGTAATCCAAATTGCCGTGTCTCTGTGTTCTTGCTGTTTTGAGCAGGTGCGCGTTTTTGCGAGAAAAGACGAAATCGACAAGACTGAATACGCACTCGGAGCCGCACTCAAGATTCTCACTTACTTCGAGGAGTACTTTGCCATCAAGTACCCATTACCCAAGCTAGGTAGGAACTTCCCTTTTGCTCACAAGTTCAGTTCCAAAAGCCAAAATAAAAACACACCGTGTTTCACCCAAATTATATCAATTTCATGATTATCCAGTATATTTGCTTGAGGGAGTCTCTTAATACCTTGTTATTAGAAGCTCCCTTGTAGACACAAAAGATATAAACGTGTATTATCAGGTAACCTCAGAGTAAGGAATATTTCTTAGCTTCAGCTGGCTGGCGTGTGACGTCAAACTATATCGATCGTCGTTGATGTAAAATCCGCACACATATCTTCTAAACGATAAAGGCTTCCAGTATTAAAAAATTCTTAAAAAAAACAGTGAAATATCAGCCAACATTTGGTAACGCATTGATTACTTCATTATTGGACACTGGGACACGAAAAGCAATACATTTTTTCGGACAGTGATGTCTTTAATAGGTATTAAAGACACTATACAGCCGACGCACATCACATGTGCTTTGCACAAATGTTAAAAAATGAATCTCCAAAAAAACAAGGTGTACTCTTTTTTCTTTTTCAGCTGTCGTTTTGAGATTTGTTGGTGACGGAACATTGAGTTGCACTATTGTCATGAAATCGCTGAATTTTAAATTAGTGCTTTTTCATTTATCTAAATGCGCCTGCTCCAATGTAGATTTGAGCAGGTGCATTTTAAGCCTGCCATAATCTAACTGGTGATCTGCAGTTCGGTTACCCTGCGGTCTTTCCAGGGAAGGGGAAGCGGGTATAACAAATACCAACTTTGTATGGAATATGACTCGTACCTTTAATGGTCTCTTTTCCGGTCACTTACTTTCCGATCACTCCGTGGCGGGGTCTTATTGGCGTTTGGTTGCACACCTTGTGGAGTGTTCCCTAAGAAAAGCCTTCTCGTGTTCCAATTATTTCCCAGACTTGATCGCCATTCCCGACTTCTCATCCGGAGCGATGGAGAACTGGGGCCTGATCACATTCCGGGAAGCTCGCCTACTTTACGGGACCGACACCTCGTCATCCCTCGACGTCCAGAACGTCTGCCGAGTCATCGCCCACGAAATTGCTCACATGGCGAGTGGTCCTTACCGCCCTCAACGTCTGCTTTTGAACACCGCTGCTATGGTAACTGACAGAAAAAGAACGAAACGAAGGACTTTCATCTATGCCGCGTTCGTCGTGAGCTTCCTACCTTCAATAGCACTTCGGAGTTTTGTGGGCTTCGAGTGCACGTGCGCTGTCAAAGAACGACGAAAGTCAACGGGAGCATGGTGAATGTTGGACATTGGAAAAAAAAACGCCCAGAGCTTTCTGTCCTATCACTCCCTATAGGAGGTATTCCCATGTCGTCACCAGGCCGAGCTGTCGATAAACCAACTTATTCATTGTGATTTAGCACAGTTCTGACCGTGCGAAAAATATCAAGGGAGCACTAACTACCCCCAGCACGAGCTGTACCTTAAAGCAGAGAGCTAGGACTGCCACCGGATTATGCTCATAGTGCCCGCCAACCTGCTTAACACACACGCAAAAAAAAATATTTTGACTGTGACGCTGCAAAAAAACGAGACGTTTACAACTCCCTGTAACGCCGAATTAGAGCGCAGCCCTTAAGGAGGAGGCGAGGGTACGGAGAGGAGGGTTTGCCCCCTCCTCCTCTGTACACCCTCCTCCTCCCCTTTTTCTCGTCTCCTCCTCCCCTCCCCTCCTTCTCCTCCCCTTCTCCATCCTCCTCCTCCCCCTCCCTCCTTCCTCTTAACCAGTTACACTCGTGACGTCACTTGTGAATGTCGTGACCTTCACGTGACCTTCACTGTGAAGGTCCTGACCTTCACGAGTGGCCTTCGGGATGTCCCTCGTGACCCTAGTGACCCTCGTGACGCCTCATGTGACGTTACGTGTGATGTCTGTATGGGAAACGTCCTATAATGCAACGCGCGGTTACGGTGACAGCGACGTTGACGCCGCTCAAGCCGGAAACGGGCGCCTAAGAGCTGCGCTCTAATAACACATTGCATCGGATGTGTCTGCCGTGTAAAACCACCCATGTGCTGCAGGCATGATTGAAGGCAAGTGACTAACGACTGGAGCTCCCTCTTTAATCATAATCATGATGAAATGGATTATACCAGCGTACATACAGGCAGTGCAGCCACCGCGGGTTCGTGCGTTGGCTTTGACTAGTTTTAATTTCACTGTCCAGGATTATAATTTGTTTCATTTTCTTTTGCGAAATTAGGGCCTTTATTCTGCACTAGTGTCCACATTGGCGCTTGGTTAGTGACTTGTAGTGAAGTGATTATGTTATATTTATTTTACAGTGGTTTGGTAATTTAGTCACGATGCAGTGGTGGGACGACCTTTGGCTCAACGAAGGGTTTGCAAGCTACATACAGTACAAGGGAATGAACCATGCAGAACCGGAATGGGAGTCGGTATGTATACTTTCTCAGACATCCGCACCGTATAAAAAATTAGATTTTCATCGGGATTTCGGTGTTTAGAAATTGCGCCTAAATACCACGTATACTAATTGTTGACGGGTATTCAACGGAAGGACACAACGCTCTCCAGGAGCTACAAATTACGAAAAAGAGCGCAAGACTTCACTTTGACCTTTTTGTTTTGCTGCAACAGTCGGCAAATGACGTAGCATCCTCAAACTTAGAAGGTAATCAAAGGTTTTAAGGAGAACGTGAAATGTATTTCCTAGTATTCATATAGTGGTCCAGTCGACATTTCCTAACTTTCTTGCTGTATAAGATTTTTTTTTTGAATAATTTCTGGAGAGGCTTTTTGTTGTTGTGGTTGTGGTTGTTGCTATTTGTTGTTGTATTTTTTTTTTTTTTTTTTTGGGGGGGGGGTGGGGGTGGTTTCGCGAGACGTTTTTATGAGAACGTTTGGCTGAATTATTTATCTATTTAACTGCACGTTGTCTGTCGCTCTTGAGCTTCCAGAAATCTGTTTTTACCATATAGTGGTTTGTTGAGATTAATCCCTAGTTGCGTGTATATTGAACCTTGCAGCATCAGTGTATCTTTAAGGTTGCGTTAGTAATCAGACTGACTTTAAAATTAACCTTAAAGCTCGCATCCGTACGTACAGCTCTCAAGTTTTGGGTAAAGATGTATTCTTGTGATGGGCTTTATTTCCTATTTGAGTGCCATACTATGTTCACATTTATTTATTCATCAATACAGTTCACTCTGCTCAGGGCGGTTACAGGAGTGGAAGAGAAAAAAATATCATAATTTACATTGCTATGCACACAAAAATAAATTAACGCAACCACGCGAGTACAGCCTGTATCATTGAATTTGGTACATATTCTGAGATTTTTCGAAGAAAAGGAAATGATCGACAGGCTCTTAAAGCTAAGGTTTAACGCACGATCTTCTATCCAGTCTTTTCTGGAAGGCTGCAGCATTTTAGATGCTTGCAATATCGCTCGTATTGAAAGGAAAAGCATTTCTTATGTGATTTGTTCAATAAACATGTAAAAGCATATGGAAATTATTGAAGGCATACATAAGCTTCTGTTTACAATAATTCTAAACTTATTGGACTCATTCATATACATATTTGTCACTAAGGTTTGTGTGTTTTAACATTCTCCTGCTTTGGTTTCGATTTCAGATGGCCTTGTTTACAACCGTCCTTATCGGCGTGCTGGAACCCGATTCGGTGATATCGTCTCACCCCATCATTCAACCTGTCAGAAACCCGAGTGAAATTTCATCTTTGTTCGACGCAATTTCCTATTCGAAGGTAATATCTTATTCTATTGCCTACGCAAAGTGTTTTTGAGTCTTCGTTTTTTTTATTTATTTAATCTTTATCAATTTGTTTTAGGGGTCTTCTGTTCTTAGAATGCTTGAAAACTTTATGTCAGAAGAAGATTTTCGTCGGGGTGTTTCTGTGAGTGCATTTCTTGTGGAACAAAAATAATCCTAGTTAATCTTTCTGTAAAATATTTATAAACATAACCTTATTTTGATTTCAGAAATATCTTAAAAAACACGAGTTTGGTAATACCATAACTTTCGACCTGTGGGATGAACTCGAGGCATCTTCGTCGAATGTAAGTTCAAACTCAAGATTGTGTACACTGATTTTGTGATGTCCCATATTTTACTGAAATGTATAGTCAAGTATAGGTGATAAAACATCTAAGCATATTATTGTATACACTCAATGAATCATTTTGCCCACGCATCTATCTTCAAAAATTTATGTTTTTAAACAAGTATGAGGGTGGTATAACAAGTTAATAAGTTTTTTTTGTTAAATTCCGAACTATTACACTAATTGTAAAATTAACAGTACTCCAGTAGAGCTCGGCGAGGGGAGAGTAATGTAAATGAATCTTATTGCCTTCTTTTGTTTATTTTCCTTCATGCAGGATTTGTCAATAAGTTCCATCATGGAGGGCTGGACTAAACAAATGGGATTCCCTGTCATAAGTGTTGAAAGGAACGGCACTTCTTTTATAATGTCCCAGTCGCGTTTTCTGATGAATCCCGACACTGCGGTCAACAGCACAGATTCACCGTACAGGTAATTCGGACATATATGAACTTGGTAGTACACTTGAACAAATAATTATTATTGAATTTCGTTTCATTCTATGAGATATACATACATCACAACTTCCCATCTTCCTCTTCAGGTATATCTGGCAAATTCCTCTCACCTATCGCACAAGTGAAGGAAACACCGGTTTGGTTTGGTTGAAGAGACAACAGCAAAGTAGGTATCTGCTCCTTTAAATAGTATAAATCAATTTTGGTCCGTATATTCAGGGTAGTGGATGTAATGAAATTTCTTTTAAATATCATGTGATAAACAGAGCCTTGAAGATTGAACAGCCCCATCTGCTTTCTGCACTAAAACTAGCAGCCTTTGTTTACAGAGTTCACCATCGACGTTCCGGAAAATGGGTGGATCAAGTTCAACAACAATATGACAGGTGTCTATTTCATCAAGTATGACAAGAGGAGTCTTCATCTAATTGAGGAGGCCATGAATCACGATATTAATGTAAGACGTTTATGTCTCTTAATTTAACAGATATATTTTAATTTACAAGCCTGACCTAATCAACAAGTTTCACAAGATCATCTGCTCTTGTACTGTTTTTTTTTTTTTTTTGCAATTATTTGTTCTTTATTATTATTTGTGTGTGTGACAATGTTCTACGCTCTTTCGATTGACAGGTTATTTCTCCGAGCGACAGAGCCGAATTGCTGTTCGAGACTTTCTCCCTCGCCCGTGCTGGACACGTCAGCTATATGTCGGCTCTGAATCTCAGCAAATACATCATTAATGAACCTCACTATGTACCATGGGCCACCTTTTCGGCCGTAGCGTCATTTTTACATCATCGCCTTTTCGGTACTGAAACGGGTAAACAGTTCAAGGTGAGACATCAATCTTTCAAACAGATATACTTTTTGGCAATATAATATTATATTTATGTAACGTGCATTTCTCGTTTGGTTAGCACACACACGCACAGACAGATTTGCACGCGCACACCCTCACCCGCACACATACTGCCGCCAACTTACTAATATTTCGATGTTTAATTCCAGCTGTACGTGAGAACATTACTTACAGAAGTTCTTAAGGGTCTGACGTTTAGCGACACGGGCAGCCATCTAGAAAGGTAAATTCGGTTCACAGGGATTTTATGCGGATTTTTTAATTTTTATATTTTCTTTTAAGATTGATGAGGTCGATTGTCTACAAGATCGCTTGTAGGTATGGAGAGAAAACCTGCCTGCATGCTGCTAGTGACGCCCTCAAGGGCTGGCTGGACGGAGAATTGTAAGTGTCACTTTGGTGTGGATATAGAATGGGTCGTGACATAATCATTCGCTATGTCGAACAGATATTCTTTCGCCTAAAAATAAAAACTATCCTCTTATTATCCCGTTATTTTGGTTCAAGATTTCTTACAATGAGGACGGCTATGACTGTGAGCCCGGAACACATACGAACGTACCGTAGCTTGCTCTGGTGCCTACCCACTCCGTATTCCAATACTTACCCCCAGAAGTCACTTTTAGGGTTCCCAAATATATGGGAAGGCGGCTCATGATATAATTAATCCTGCATTTTCTTGAAATAGACACACTCGCATTCTGTTTGGCAGCTCTTTAACCTTCTTCGTAACTCTGCACAGTTGTTACCAAAGCCAACCTTCTAAATTATATGCAATTGTATATTATTTGGTTTAAGATATATGGTTACTATCAGAATTAAAGATAATAAGATTCCATTTCAAGTGATATCACTCTCCAAATAGTACTTATAATATTTCGTGCATAAATATTCCTTCTCTTTTTTTCCCCTTAGGTTGGAACCTAACTTCAAAGACATCGTGTTTCATTACGGCATGAAGCAAATCGGAGACGAGGCTACATGGGAGCTGCTCTTTGAAAGGTTCTTGAACGAGCCCAATCACGCAGAAAAAGGGAAAATGATAACTGGACTGGGTCAAGTTCAAAACAAAGCCCTCTTGACAAGGTAAATCAAATTTCTTGTGCCACTTGTCCATTTTATGGCCTCATGAATGTTGCAGCTCCATTTGATAAACTTTTCGTCCCTTACAACCCCATTTTTATATAGAGGTAGTCGTCATCTCTTGGTGTCTACACATCGAAGTGACGGTGCTACGATTTTTAGTTTCATAGGGCTGTTATGTATTTTTATTGCAGCACGAAACTATGACTCTGAGTAAAATTATGGCATTGCGCAACGCATTGCCCGTCTGATTGTTTTGACAGGCCTTTTACAATACACAAGTTTTTACAGACCTCCTAAACGCACAAAAAAAATGTTTTTCAGCTCCGGGGGTTCCATGCAAAAAAAGCGTAAGGATTCTGGAGATTTGCCCGCACTAGCTGCAGATTATGTCAACTGTGTGAACTGTCATAATCTAATACGTGATATAGCTACTCAACCAAAATGCCTCGCCTGTTTTATAATGCAATGGCGTTTAGGTGCCCGAGTCACAGAAAATTTGACGTCTTCGTCATTGGGACCTTAAAATCCTATGATGCAACACGCGCAGCCACGTGTGACATCACGTGTCACGTCACACGCGGCTGTAACGTCAAGACCCTATCGACCCGCTGAAACATGTAAAAAAAAAATTTCCCCGCCATATTTAGCGAAAACTTTTCCCGCAAAACTTAGAGGAAATTTAACATAAAATATTTCCGCCAAACTGAGTGGAAAGTTTCCCCCCAAATTCAGCAGAAAAGTTCCCGCTAAAGTTAACGGTCAATGGTGTTTTGACGTCACTGCCACATGTGACGACACGCGTCATGTGACATGACGTCAGACGTGGTGCCAGAGGTCGGCATTTTAGGTCGCCCTCACTCACCCTCACCCTCACAGCCACACTCACCTAAGCCCCTCACTCACCCTCACCCTCACAGCTACACTCACCTTTAGCCCCTCACTCATCCTCACCCTCACAGTCACACGCACCTTCAGCCCTTCACTCACCCTCACTGAACCTCACGGCCCTCACGCACTCACCGCCCTCACACCCCTCACGGCCCTCACGCCCCTCACCGCCCTCACGGCCCTCACGCCCCTCACTCACTCATGGCGCTCACGCCACTCACTGCCCTCACGGCCCTCACCGCCCTCACGGCCCTCACCGCCCTCACCGCCCTCACGGCCCTCACCGCCCTCACGACCCTCACGCACTCATAGCCCTCACGCCACTCACCGCCCTCACGGCCCTCACGCACTCATAGCCCTCACGCCACTCACCGCCCTCACGGCCCTCACGGCCCTCACGCCACTCACCGCCCTCACGCCACTCACCGCCCTCACGCCACTCACCGCCCTCACCCCACTCACCACCCTCACGCCCCTCACCGCCCTTGCGGCCCTCACACCCCTCACGCCCCTCACGCACTCATGGCCCTCACGCCACTCAGGCCAGCTTCAGATGGGGCCATTTCGCCCAGAAACTTTAGGTCGCAACACCAGCAACACGGGCCGCCCGCGATCACACGCAGCAACCAATTGCTGCAATTTGCCATCGTCATCATAAAATTTTATTTTTCTTGCACTATTTAGACACAATTACGCGTTATAAACGTGTTTTTATGCATTTAAATCTCGTTAAGAATACTAATGCACCTTTCTGAAACAGTTTATTTCCAAAAAAAACGATCGATTTCAAACCAGAACCAAGTCTTTCGGTGTCATCATCACCGGCACGAGGCATCACGTGAAAATTTTGCGTCCCTGATTGGATGCAGCCGCCTCAAACGCATTCGAATTGCTCCGAGTTGCTTGCTTATTTCGAGCCGGACCCGATCTCAGCAATTCGTGTCGATCTGGGGAAAGCTAGAGAACAACCCGCCATTACCACCAAAATTGCTGAGAAAGATGCTCGATCTGAAGGGGGCCTCACGCACCCACCGCCCTCACGCACTCATGGTTCTCACACACCTAATGCACTCACCGCCCTCACGGCCCTCACGGCCCTCACGCCTTTCATGCCACTCACTGCCCTCACGCACTCATGGCCCTCACACCCCTCACGCACTCACCGCCCTCACACCACTCACGCCACTCACCGCCCTCACGCCACTCACCGCCCTCACGCCCCTCACGCACTCATGGCCCTCATACCCCTTAACGCCCTCACCGCCCTCATGGCCGTCATGGCCCTCACGGCCCTCACGGCCCTCACGGCCCTCACCGCCCTCACGGCCCTCACGGCCCTCACGGCCCTCACCGCCCTCACAGCCCTCACGGCCCTCACCGCCCTCACAGCCCTCACGGCCCTCACTCACCCTCACACTCATGAATTTTCCTGGTTCAGAAACTCACTCACCCTCACCTCACCTGTGAAGATGAGGGTGAGTGAGGGTGAGTGAGGGCCCTCATGAGTGAGGTTTGCCGAGGTATGGGTGCTACCTACTAGACCACGCACACACGCTTGCACGGCTTGGGAACAAGCACGGGTTTTTATGAAAAGGATTTGCGAACGGGGCCCGATAACGCTATCGCGTTCCACTCTTAAGAGTTGCCCAAGTTTTTTTTTTGTTTTCTTTTTCGATAAATAAGAAAAAGAAACAATTCGACTGATCGTGAGTGGTCCTGTCCTCTCGAAAGATGTAATGGCATTAGTTGTGACTTAATAACAAAATTGTGAGGATAAAACGCACACTGACACACCGGCAAAAACGTGTAACTTAAATAACATTTTTGACTCTGAGAGATGTTGCGGACAATACACTCACCGCCTCTCTCATTACCTGTCGCAAAATATCGTGCAACAATTATATTGACAGTTCACTGTGACGTTCAGATGAAATAAATTTTATGATTCAGATTTCTAAGGTTGAAGCTTGGGCTAGTTGGTGCGACATAAGTAAAAGGTTTAAAACAGCGCAGCAGACAAGAGACGAGAAGTAGGACACAGACACAGCGCTGACTCTCAACTAAATTTTATTGGTCGCAACAGCACAATAACTACCTGCCTGATTAAAAAAAAAAACACGAAAAGATAAGGCAGCCATGTCTGAACGATATACATCACCATCACGAAAAAACGTATCGCACGCGCACATTCTGCACTAGTCACGTACAAGGAAATCTATTTCCATGCCAGTTAGAGCAACAGCAAAATTCATTCGATCATGACGCCGTTTCACGATTTCAAATAGATGGGACTCTGGAATACAGCCGCAATCGCGGCAGTGAATGCCAAGGTGACCAAATACCGTAACGGCCACATTGTAGGCGTGCTTTCTGTCTTTGATTGAGACATCGGCTGGTCTGGCACACATAACACCGACCATAGGACGAATGGGGAGGGTATACAACTCCCACGCCAGAAGTGACAAAACAATTTCGATGCTTAGTCACACAGTCTTTGGCCTCCGTAGAGCGGACGGGTTAACGGTTCTGCATAATTTTGACAGTTTGTGTGGAAAATAGCACGTCAAATTTACTTCTGCCTGCTGTTCGTTTTAGGTTGTGAGAGAACCCGCATACATATGAAATGACGACAAGCTTTCGTGTTTCCCGTGTATCTTTTCACATGGATTGTCACCAACCACTCTTAATTTTTTCGAGGATAGATTCGGCAACCGCGAACAATAAGTGTTAAGCGTGTTTCACATGCGGCGATTTTGGCCCTAGAGCGGCGCGATTTCTGCCGTCGCGGCGATCGTGCCGCTCAACCGCTGCGGCTGGCCAGAGCGCCGCGACGGCAGAAATCGCGCCGCTGTAGGGCCAAAACCACTGCGTGTGAACTAGGCTTTAAGGGAATTCGGGTACCGTGAGGCGTTCGGTTTGTTTTTTGAAACTTGACTGAATTTCGCAGTTGCCAAAGATGCGAAAGGCATCTTTGGCAACTCCCTTTTGCCTCTCGTTATGACTCACGAAGTGCCTGCTGCGAGATGTGTTACCTTTTTGGATTTTATTTTAACTACTGTGAAACCCGTTTAGAACGAACCCACGTACAGCGAATTATTGTCGATATCGAACTCATGGAAAGTAAATAAAAATGCCTGTAAATGGTACTTTTCATAACGAACAACATATTGCCGATATCGACCTTCCCCCCCGGGAAGGCTTCCAAAAACGCGCAAACGGGATACGGTCCATTCGTCACATGCAAACTCGTCACAGGACGATTGGTCACAGGAAGATTCGTCACACAGGATCATTCGTCATAGGATGACTCGTCACGCGGCCGACCGGTCCCACAACAGTTCGTCCCCCCAAAAACGTATTGTTCAATTTGGTTCGGGCGGCCAAAGTGGCTAACCTTATATTTTAGTATGTCTTAGGCTTCTGAAAGGCGAAGAGTTTGTAACAAACGTTTCAGCTTCTGGTTCGGTCCCGAACATTGAATGTTGGTTTGGCATGACAAAGTGGGTCACCTCTTATCTTAGCATGTCTTTCGCTTCTCAAAGTCAAAGAATTTATAACAGACGTTTTAGCTACTGGGTCCGTCCCGAACGGTGAATGCGGAGGCCATATAAGAGCGACTATTTTTGAACTAAGACTGCATTCAAAAGGATGGAGGTGATCGCAACAAAGAGAGGTAGAGCCATGATGCTGCACGAGGGGTGCTCGTACACATTCAGCAGAAAGAATTCCGATATTTATTGGTTTTGTCAAATAGGTGTATGCAAGGCAAAACTACTGATTTGGCTGCCAGTCGGATTATTACTCGTTCAAGCCAGCAACTGAGATCAACCTGCTGAAGACTCGTAATATAATGAGAGGAAAAGCCGATGAGTATTTGAGATTAGTTTTTCTAACCATTGGTTTACGTGACAGTAGAAAATCGGGAAACTCCTCATCAGGGAACGTGGGCAGACTCGATCGATGTGACCAGTTGGCCGCATGACGAGTCATCATGTGACGAATGTTCCTATGTGACGAATCGTCCTGTGACCAATCGTCCTGTGACGAGTGCGCATGTGACGAATCGTCCTCATCCCCGCGCAAACCATCATTTTCTAGCCTGCCCCCCCCCCCCCCCAAACAAAAAAAAAATGTAGGAAAGAAAGAAAATTTTAAAAGCAGAAGTTGCGAACAAAACTGAGCGAAGAGAACCGATTCAGAAGGGAAGAGAAGCTAAAAGTGCACGCATGCAAGAAAATAAAACACAACTTTTCAGCACGTTGTTACAAGGCGGAAACGAAGAGATGAGAAAGAAAAATAAGCTCTCGCCTTACAACGCACGCGTCGTGGAAGTTCGTTGTAAATGAGTTTTGATACATCGAATTGCTTGCTATATCGAACTGATCGTAGCGTTTCCTGCTGTTCGTTATAAACGGGTTTGACTGTATATATGTCCGAGTCACGTTTGTGTGGCGTAAAAGCCACGCGCCGACAAGTCACTATTTCCCTTCTACTCAACGCGGCCGAAGATTGTAAAACGAGCGATAGCGAAGACTCTTTATCTTTATGCCTTGCGAAAGTCCTGCCTTCATAAAATTCAGTTAAGTTTCAAAACACCAACCGACCGCCTCACGGTAGCTGGGTTCCCTTCTCACTCTTTGGTGCAGGTTACCGAATCTATCCTCAAATAAATTAAGAGTGTTGGCAATGCCTGCTAAAAACGATACATGGGAAAAACGAAAGTTTGGCATGATTATATATGTACACATCGCGACACTGTTAGCGCGAACACGACAGCGGCGCATTTTCGCATTTTACTTCTAAATGTTATTAACGAGGACGAAATTGTATCGCTTACATTATAAAACTGAATGAGATCTTTCCGTAGCAATATTAACTTGGAGGACATCCCTTGGTTTCAAAGAGAAAAACATACAAAACCAGCGATCGCTTGTTCGCGCTAACAGTGTCGCGCTCTGTACACGGGTTGTCTCACTACCTAAAACGAATGGCAGGCAGACGTGAAGTCGACGTGCCATTTTCCGCACCAGATAATCTGTCAAGATTATGCAGGATCGTAAATCCGTCCTATATAGGGAGGCCAAGGGCTGTGTGACTAAGCATCAAAATTGTTGTGTCACTTCTGTCGTAGGAGTGGTAAACTCTCTTCCTTTGTCCTTCGGCCGCCCTTATGTGGACCAGACGGACCGATGTCTCAATGAAAGGCTAAGATAGCACACCTACAATGTGGACTCTGTGGTATCTGGTCATCTTAGCATTCATTGCCCGCGATTGCGGCCAATTGCGGCAAGAGTGCCAGCGATGTGAAATCGTGAAACGTCATCATGATGAAATGACACGTGAAATTATCGAGGCGTTAGAGATATCACGATTAGGCGCTGAGTGTGTCAGCTGCCCGTCTCTTACCCTACCTGACAGGCAAATGAATTTCCTTGTACGTGACTAATGTAGAATACGACCGTGTAATACGCTTTTTTTTTCTTCGTTTTTGTTGTTCGCGGTGATTATGTATATTGTTCAGACATGGCTGTCTTATCTTCTCGTGTTTTATTTCTTCCTTGACCAAGCAAGTAGTTACAGTGCAGTTACGACCAATAAAATTTATTTGAAAGTCAGCGCTTTGACTGTGTCCTACCTCTCGTCCCTTGTCTGTTGCCCTGTTTTAAACATTTTAGTTCAGATTTCAACAGTGAAGGCTCCGGCCTTTTCAAAACCTATCCTAACCTGTTTTGTCTCTGATCTGTATATTAGAGAAATACTTAAAATTCATCAGTGATGTATATAAGTTTTTTTCATTTTTCTTTCATCTGCGGTAATCAAAAAATGTGTGTTTTCTTTTTAGGTTTTTGAATTACACCTTCGACGAATCCAAGATCCGGGGTCAAGATATTGTTGCCGTCTTTTTATCAGTGTCCAAAAACCCCGCTGGTCACGAGGTTTTGTGGAGGTTTCTTCGGGACAACTGGAAATCAATTGTGAAGAAGTGAGTTTCCCTTCTTCTTTTATACTTCAAGTGATATTGCGCGTAAGGACCGGAGCCCTGTTGACGCGAGCATGAGGAGTTCCCCATGCATTCTCAAGGATGGTAACGACGCAAGTGAATAATTAAGCTGTAAAAAAAAGAGTCTTCGATTGGAACCTGAAATGAGAACATCTTGTCAGAAGTTTTATAAGGAAACCCCTTTTCTATAAATATGATTCATGACCTCATAGATCTTAAGATTAAACGAGAGTGGCATATGCAGAAGTCGGCAGCCCAAATCATGGTTTCTCACTTGCCTCTCGTAGCGTGCGAGTTTGAGAATGTAACTCCAGTGAAGTACAAGTTCAGTGAAGACTCGAAACGCAAAGAAACAAACAATTCTCTTGAGATCGCTCTATGATGCAGCTTAAGAAAATGAACAAATCACAGGCGAAATATTCGCAGGCAGGCAGAACGTGCAGCAACATATGATACCAAACAGTACATCGAAAATTACTTTTTAGAAATTTCCAGTCTTCAAGGACGTAAATGAGTCCTCTGAGGGCCGAGAACAGCATTTAGAGGTAAAATTTGATAAACATGCGCATAGCTTACCTTTCCAGCCACCAGCGGGGCCTTGTGTGTTTTTTGCATTGTTTGTTTTTAGTTTTCATGTTTGTTTGTTTTTTAATAAAGAGGAATTATTATGCACTAACCGCGGCAAATAAACAAGGTCCTTGTGCAGCTATAATTTGAAGGCTAATGAGTTGAAAATATTTTTTTCTCTTCGTCTTTGGAACGCAAGACGCGCAAAACGCTCGCAAAACATGCAAAGCGTTCCAATAAAATTGGTATTTCATAAACATTAGTGTGAAGGGATTCCCGTACATTATTTAGTGAACTTTCTTCTGTCTTCTGAAGTGGTCACTTTAGAAACGGGGGTATATCTTCATAAGCGTTTTTTAAATGTGTTTTGTGATACGATGATGTCATATCCTTTGATATCGCACTAGAGTTTTTTTTCAACTCGCTGATAGGACCCGTGATAGCACTGCTCTGATCATTAGCTTTTTTTACTTGCGAGTGTCTAAAATACAATGGCTTAACAGACGTTTTTCTAATATATAATTCAGTGTTAAATTTCAATAAAGAGACGGCGCATTTGAAAGAGTCCTCATCCTGAAAACGCCATAGCTGCTTTGCATTTAGGCTGTCATTCCCCACTGCCCTTAAAGACTTCAATGCTAAAGGCTCATTGGACTTCTAGGCAAAATTAATCATTGGGCTTGGGTGGCGGATCGAACGAAGAATAGGCGCCTCAAGACAGGAACAATACAGGAAGACACTTAAGACAGTTCACGTGTAGGAATGCGAAAAGCATTCGTTTACATAGCGTATTCCTACAAGCTGCGCGCCGCGCTGAACTTGGCCGGGCGACCTCTGCGTTGGCTGCCCGGACGGGGTCTGCGGCCGGCCGCTTTGCAGAGCCCGGCCTCCCTCTTCCCGGTGGCAGGGCCGCTGTGCCATGGAGAGGGCTTCTCTGTGGGGTGGCGTTCCTTGGAACTATGTTCCACGCCAGCCAATGGGAGTTTACCATCAATTCACTGCTACAGTCTACAGGCTTCCTTCCATGGGTCAGGCAAAATTAAGGTGCCGTTTTGGCTTCAAAAGCTGATAACCCCAGTTCGCTCCATGGGACAGTTCATGCTTCCGCAATTATAAGTAATACGGCACCCAGCACTACTTACAACTTGATTGTTTATTAAAACACAAACATTATTTGTACACATCCTCCTATCAAAAAAGGGTTGCCGCACTCTTTGAGGTGCCCGTTGCTTTTTCCGTCCCGTCAAAGCTGTGCGGTCTGCGCAAAAATCAATAGCAAGAAAGAAAGCAAAGAAAGACACCACTCTAAGCTACGTCAGTGGTTTATGAAATCCCAGTGACATCTGGCAAGGTGTAGTAGGTGAGGCGAATCGGGGGGGGGGGGGGGGGGGGGGGGTTCGTTTGCCTTGTTTATTAGGAACTTCCCCTCGTTTAATTTCGCCACACACTGCGACAGACGCCCCTGTGCTTCTTCTGCAAGAAGGAAAAATACTAGAAAAACTTCAGAATAAACCAAAAAGGGGGAATTTATCGAAACAGTCTATACAACATAAGAGCGATGGGGGACACAGGCTGTGCAAGCGCACCGGCACTGCACCTATCTGATAAGGGGTTCGCCTTGCTGTGCCTTGAGCTTCATGATATCTAAGGTACAACTAATGTGTTTTAAGGCGAAAGCCTCACTTGCCCAATTGAGTGAAAAAGCGGCGAATATTGCCATAACAATACGATTGAGCGCTAAGCGCCGCTTAATCGTATGCTCAAGGACGACACTGTCCTTGGCCTTACCTGTCCTTGACCTTACTTGTCCAATTACGCGAAAAGGCGGCGTCGTTATTCTAAAAAGATGGCAATAAAAATACGTCATCAAGCACGCGCCCCTCAAGCTCAAGTGCGGGAGTGGGATGTCACCACCGGAGCGCCATGTGCAAAAGGTGCCCTTCGGACATCACATGTGATTAACAAAAAGTAAAACAGCGCAAAAAAAAAAAATTACACCATCTTCCCGAGGGGAACCATGGGGTGATATGGAGCATCGTTCCATCACACTTCATCGGAAGAACGAAGTGAAGTGGAGTCAACAGCGGTGAACTGAACACGCGCAGAAATTGGTTTGCTCTTTATGTTTATACAGCCTTGATGGAAATGCGCCTCAACGGGTAATCGGTCTCATAGCTGTAGATGAGAAATTTAGCCAGTGCAGTGCAACCGCTAACCTGGGATTTTTAACGTGCATCACGCAGTAGTGATCACACGAACGCGTGTCGGTACGAAACTCGTCCAGATCCGAACGGGTGGGGGCGGCGGGAACTCGAATCCAGGAGGTTCCCAGCGCAAGCTTTCGCTCCACGCTCCGAGCTGAGACGCGTTAGCCCACTCGGCCACTTCCTGCCCTTGAACGCGCGCAGCGCGCTACCGCTGCTTATATTCACACTTGAAGGAAAGGAGACTAGAGGAGGAGAGTTGCGCATGCGCGCGCGGTGTGAGTAGAAGCGAACGCACGCGAAGTGCACGCAGCTGGTAGAGAGAGAGAGCGCAGATAGTAACGCGCAGCTGTTGGAGAGAGGGAAGGAGGAGAGTTGCGCATGCGTAGTGTGAGTGCGGACTACGACGCCGCGGGACATAGACCCGTGCAAGAGATGCTCCGCATCTAAAAAATCAATTATGTACCACTAATTCGCCCAACTTTCCACCATCTTACAATTCCTTCATATGTGCTAGTTGTGTGCTTCGTGCGATGGACTGTGAAAGTGAGGCGACCGTGTCTACATCTACGGCCTCGACATCGGCAGCAGCGTCTACATCTACGGCGGCTTCCGCAAGCAAACGTGGCCGCCCACACAAATACGCCACGGCCTCCTTAAGTGTTCTCCTCCAGGCGTCCTTCTCGACGTCGTCCTCTAAACGTTGTTCTCGAGGGCGTCCTAGACGACGTCCTTAAGTCGTCCTAGTGGTCGTTCTTGACGTCGTCCTCTAGGACGTCGAGAAAGACGTCTAGAGCGACGTCGAGGATGACGTCCTTTAGGACGTCTTTTTCTACGTCGCTCTAGACGCCGTTATGAACGTCGGCCTTGAAGCAGTCCGAGAAATCGTACTTGGCGTCGATCTCTAGGACGTCGTCCTCGATGTCGTCTTATACATCGTCCTGAATTTTAATGCGTGTAAAAACATTACCAGAAAACATTTCTCCCGCGGTACTATAATGATTTTTATTTCCTACACGTAACCAGTCTTGGAGTGTCCTACTGTAATTTTTTCAATAGACTTCTAGGAAACGCCACGACGCTTCAATTTATGAATACACAAAACGATTTATTTATGAGCGTATACTTATGCTGATTTTTACCTGCAGCAATAAGTGGGTTATACAGGGTGTTTTTAAACTTAACAGGTTTGTTTAAAACGAGCCGTGAAAGCTACATTTATGCGGTTTGTGTAGGTGAGTTATGTGGCCAGGGGGACATAGTATATGAGGCTATTCCTAACGATCAGTTGGCTAATTTGGTAAAACTTGTCAATTCACCTTTTAATTAGTATAAATAAATATTTGGTTCTAATTAGAAACTTGCTGAGCGTCATCGAAAACCGCTAAATCAACCCTTTTTAGAAAAATATAAGGCCGGGGTTGGGGCATTTCATGTTGTTCCTTAAAAACGTTCAATTTGGAGGCGATTTTAAGTTTCGATTTATTATCGGAGCGCATCTCTGCGCTCGCGGTCCTGCTCCCCAGCGGCCGAGAAGCGCGAAACACGTGCGTCATACTTCCCTCCATCCTACAAGGTTGGGGGGGGGGGGGGGGGGGGGGCAAGGCGATGGTTTCGCGTCGCGACCACCAGGGAACAGGACCGCGGGCGTAAAGGTGCGCTCCAATAAGAAACCAAAAACCCAGAAACGCATTCAAACTAGGCGTGTTTGTTTTCCTCAGAACGCCGTAAAATGTTGCTTTAAAAAGCAACATTTTACGTAAAAAGAGGTGATTTGGTAGTTTTTTATGACGCTCAGCAAATTTTAAATAGACGGATCCCGCTAAGCGTTCGACGCATGTGTAACGCCGCCATAACTCTACTTCCCAGGAGGCGCTGCCTTGCAGTGCACGAGAGAACTGGTGTTGTCTTGTGCTCTATACACGCGCAGAGCTTCAGCGAGGTTTTGTCGAGCGTGCAAAAAGACAAAAGTTCGCTCAGCGCACTGCGGCAGTGGTGACGTAGCCAAACCGGCTGGTGAGATTTGTCTATTAGAACCATATGCCATTTTCACCAATTAGAAAGTTAATTAATTAAACAGAATTTTCCGACTGATCGTTATGATTAGCCCCCTTATTATGTCCGTACACCTCACCTGCACAAACCGCATAAGTTTAACTTTTATGGCACATTTTAGACAAATCTGTTAAACTTAAAAAAAAGCCTTGTTTGATGCGGGGTTACTTAACAATTTGAAGAGCAACATTTTTTTTTTTTTTTATGTTTTCGACAGGTACGCTGCCAATTCCAGAATACCGGGAAATCTTATCAAGGTGGTGTGCGGTGATTTTAACACGAAAGCGAAAATGAAGGAGGTGAGTTTGAAAAAGTCAATAGAAAATGAAAACCTAATGACAAAAATTTAGTCATTTTGGATTTTAGATACGCTTGACCAACTTTGTGGCTTATATATTTAAAATCATACTTCTCTCATATCAAGGAAATATAAATACATTAAATAGAGATATTAAATTCCTTACTGCAAGACCTTGCGAACGCGATATGAATGTATAATGCAGTCTGAAGATAATTATTAAATTGACGTAATTAAATACAAGATCAAATTAATGTGCTTTAATGCTATGAATAATATCGGGAAGCTCAAAATGTCCGCGTTGTTTCGAGAAGCGCTGTGTGTTCATATATAAAGTTTCTGAGCTGGGGAGTTTGCTAGATCTGCCGGGTGACGCCTTACCTGCCGAAGCGGCTGTGTGACAGTTCCTTGTTGTTGTGTCGCGCCGAAGCGCCAAAGAACAGACGCTACCACGCAGAGCAACAGCACACAAAGAAAAAATTTAATATGGCGAAGACACATTTTACAGAGCAAAGACCAGCGCACCCCGGTGGTGAGAATAGGAACCTGTGACATTGCTTTATACATACACAACACTCCTCCACACTTACATAAAGGAACACTAGTACACCAGTCTATTTGGAGGGCGTCGAGCTCTGCTCGACCGTCGAACTTCCTGAGCAGCTAGGCCACTGCCAGCATTCAGTGGCATAGGCACCTCACATTCGCCCGGTTCATCAACACTCTCACTGTCACTCGATCCACTCTCCGAAGAGGCTGATCGGGACGAGCCCTCACTTCGAAAGCGCAAGTGATCAGCATGCACATAACGGATCTGGCTAGCCACCCGCACCAGGTATGTAACCGGACTGATTACTTTCTTTAAAATGTCTTTGGTCCAGTTTACTCTCTCCCCCCTCACATTTCTGACCCAAACTCTGTCGCCCACTTGAAAGAGTTTCGTTGGACCTCTGCGCTTGTCAGCCAGCTCCTTTTTCTTGTTTTGCTTCTCTCGTCGTGGAAGGGACGTTGCACCTGGCTTGAGCTGCGACAGTCGGGTCCGCGGAAGCCGTCCCAGGAAGAGCTCTGCAGGTGCCTTTCCAGTACTTGTGTGTGGTGTCGTCCGGTAGGCAAGTAGGAAACACGACAACTTCTCATGGATATTCCTTCTCTTCCCTTGGAGGTCGTCTTCAAGTACCTGCTTGAGCAGCGCTCGCTTGACTGTTTGCACAGCCCTCTCCGCGGCGCCATTCGAAGCCGGGTGGTAAGGTGGCGTCATGGTGTGCACCACTCCTTGATCCTTCAAGAAGTTCTTGAACTCCTCACTTCGAAACTGGGGGCCTCCATCAGTCACCACTTCTTCAGGTAGTCCAAACTGTGCGAAGACAGCCATAAGTTTCTCGACTGTCTGGGGTGCGGTTGTGGAAGACATGGGCAGTACCTCAACCCATTTAGAAAAACTGTCAACCAAAACAAACAGGTTGGTTCCCGACTTGGTTGCAAAGTCCAAATGAACACGTTCAAAGACCCGCGAGGTCATCTTCCATGGCTGGAGTGGTACTGGAAGAACGTCGTTTTGGACCGCTTGGCAGATCTCGCATGACTGCACCTTGTTCTCGATCATGGCATCGATTCCGGGCCACCACACATGCCCTCTCGCAAGTTGTTTCATACGCACCATTCCTGGATGTTCTTCATGCAGGCTCTTGAGGACCGCAGTCTGTAGTGCCTGTGGAATCACGACTCTAATCCCCCAGAGTAGGCAATCTTGGTCCGTTGATAGCGTCTCCCGCCTGTGCCAGAAGGGTTGCAACCCTGGATCTTGCACGGATGTTGGCCAACCTCTCTTGGTGTGTTCAAGGACACGTTGCAGCAAGGGGTCGCTGAGGGTCTCTTTCCCCACATCAGAACTTGAAAGAAGCGGTTGCTCTGTGGGTGAAAAATATTTCAACATACTTTCCTCTCCTACAGTTGTTTTCAGAGGAAGTCTCGATAGGGCATCAGCATCCCCGAGCTCCCCGCCCTTGCGGTACAGGATCTTGAAGTTGTACTCTGCAAGTAACAAGCGCCACCTCTGGATCCTCACAGCAGCTATGGCTGTGGTAGAATACTTAGGTCCCAGGATCGACGTTAGCGGGTAGTGGTCAGTTACGAGGGTGAACGAACGCCCAAAGAGATACCGGTGAAATTTCTTGACCGCAAATATGAGTGCCAAGGCCTCTCTTTCCACTTGTGCGTAGTTCTTTTCAGCCACAGTAAGCGTCCTAGACGCAAACTCCACAGGTCTGTAGTCCCCGTTTCCCATGTCTTGTGTTAAGACTGCTCCGAGGCCGTAGCTGGATGCGTCGGCCGTCACTCGAAGTGGTAGACTAGGGTCGTAGAGGACAATTACCCCAGCACTGCACAACTGATCTTTGCTTCCGTCTACAGCCTGTTAGCATTCTTCTGACCAATGCCACTTCTTGTCTTTCTTTAAGAGTTCATACAAAGGTCCCAGTGTGGCAGCTAAGTCTGGGAGGAAACGAGCATAAAAAGCTAGCAGCCCCACAAATGCCTTAACCTCCGTCACGTTACTCTGTGCGGGTGCCTTTTTGATAGCCTCTACCTTCTCAGGGCATGGCTTTAAACCCTGGTCACTCAACAAGTATCCCAAGTAACGCACTTCGCGTACAAAAAATTGACACTTGTCCTGATTCACAGAAAGGCCATGTTCCTGAAAGCGTTTCAACACTTCCAAGACTCTCTGGTTGCAGTCATTTTGGTCTACGCCACCCACCAGTACATCATCAAGATAGCACGCTACCTTGGTTAGGCCCAACAAAATCTTATCCATTACACTCTGGAAAATTGCTGGTGCGCTCGAGACTCCGTAAGGCATACGTAAAAACTCAAACAATCCTAGGTGAGTGGTCACTGTGAGCAGTTTCCGCGACGCTTCGTCAAGGGATAACTGCAAGTATGCAGTCTTTAGATCCAAAATAGCAAAGATGCCACACCCCCGAAAGTTGTTGAACACCTAATCTACCCTCGGTAATGGGTAGTGCTCCACCGTCACCTGTGGGTTTACGGACACACTGTAGTCACCACAGATGCGAACTTTACCCCCTGGCTTGGGAACCACAACAAGGGGTGTTGCCCATTCACTACTTCTTACAGGCCTCAAAATGCCCTGCGCCACCATTTTCTCAAGCTCACTCTCTACTTGCTCTCTAAATGCGTATGGCACCACTCTGTGTTTACAAAACACCGGTTGAGAGTTTTCTTTCAGTACAATCCTTGCCTGAAAACCCTTTATCGGCCCCACTGGGCCTTCAAAGACGCTAGGGAACGACCTTTTCAGTGAGTCTGTCATCGTCTCGTTCTCAATACGACCTACGCCCAACCAGTTAATTTCTAACTGCTCGATCCAGTCTCTGCCTAGAAGAGCTGGTAGCTGGGCATTCGCGGACTTTACCACAATCAAAGGTAACTTTTCGCTAGGTAGCTCCCCGTTTTTTACATTAACGCTCGCTACACCCTTGATTGGCACTAGAGCCCCGGTGTACGTTCGGAGACGCATGTCACTCGCCTCAAGGGGCACGTGAGAAAAAAAATTCACATACATTCTTTCTGGCATCAAAGTAACTGCTGAACCAGTGTCGATTTCCATCGTCACCGGTTTTCCTTCGATTTCCAAAACCTTCTGGAATGCCGCAGACGCGTCATTCTTCCACATACAGGTTACGCTCCAAGGTCCGCGCTTGGTGTTCGAAGTAGGCTTAGGCTTGGCCCTACACACCGCCTTAGTGTGCCCCTGCTTCCCGCATTTGAAACACTTTGCTTTCGAAAACGGACACTTCTCGGAAGCATGCACGGTACTAGCGCATCTAAAACAAGGGCCTACCGTACGCTGATACTGGACCTGTGGCGATGCAGTGGCGGAAGGTGGACACCCGGAGTGTCCTCCACCATCACCTTGAACGCGGTGCACGTCCATTGAGTCCGGAACGCCGGGCTGCCGTATCTCGTCCGTTTTGCGCAGAGAAAGTTCTTTGGCCAGGCCCACCTTTAGAACTTCGTCGAAGTAATCGTCGTCGAGCTGGATGAGTGTCCGCTGTACCTCAGGGTCGCGACACCCCGCCACGAGCCGGTCCCGAAGAGCCTGGTCGAGGTAGTCCTTGAAAGCGCATGTCTGGGCGAGCTTCTTGATGACCAAGGAGAAGTCCGCTAGGCTCTCGCCGACCTCTTGATTTCTCCAATGGAACTTCGTGCGCTCTGCAATTACTAAGCGCTTGGGCGCGTAGTGGCGTTTCAGCACCTCGGAAAGTACGTCGTACGATTTCGATACCGGCGAGTCTGGGACGAGCAAGGTTTTCAGAACCTGGTACGACGCTTTCCCGATGTAGTTCAGCAGCGTCACGGCCTTGTCTTCCGTCTTGACAGCGTTCACTCGAAGGAAAATCTCGAAGCGTTCGAGATATTCGTCGACGTCGTCCTCCTCCGGCTTGAACTCCGTGAACTTCGGCATTGTGCTGTTTGCCACGTTGTTACTCGGTTCGTTCGATCTTCCATCCGAGCCTCGTCGCCATTGTTGTGTCGCGCCGAAGCGCCAAAGAACAGACGCTACCACGCAGAGCAACAGCACACAAAGAACAAATTTAATATGGCGAAGACACATTTTACAGAGCAAAGACCAGCGCACCCTGGTGGTGAGAATAGGAACCTGTGACATTGCTTTATACATACACAACACTTGTGACGCTCGTTTTCGTAAAAGCTTCGAAGGGGGAGCCAGCATAGAGTGCGTATCCATGGAATGTATCTGATATCAATCTGCAACCAAATCAACTTTAAAGGAGCTGTGCAACAATAATCAATTGGAATGTTTTTCACTTGACACGAGCTTACTGGCACACCTGGGACTCAAGGATACTCACACGCAACGCCACTGGCCAAGAAACTCCTTTGTTGCGGTGTAATTTCAAGGACAAAAGCGATCATTTTCATTCAATCTCTCCTTTGCAAAATTTGATGACGTGACGTGGGGATCGCAGTACACCCAAGTGACGATATTTGAATGCGGTTTATAGATTGGACCCGAGCATTGCGTGAGCACTCGACTTAGGCTAGTGATAATTGCTAGCTCGAGAAGCATTCGGGTAGTGACCCGTGTCCAATCGCTGTAACGACGACAACAGCCGAGCCATAACAATGTCTGGAACTCTGCGCGTGTCCTGCGCATTGCCAACCCCAGCGCGTGGCTATGATCAACATTGGCGGCATATAATCGGCTCCAGATCACATGGCCGCTTGTTCTGGCTGCGAGTTGAGGGGGTGAACGCTGCTCGTTTTTCTTTAATTTTTTTCTGGGACTTCTATTGCGTGGGGTGAAAAACGAACGCGTGTTTCATAGGTCATTAACGTTAGGGATCCGTTTTAAGCGGTATTTGCGCAAAGTACAAAAATTGTTGCATCGCTCCTTTAATGTCAGGAAACGTTGGTACCCTTCCTCCAATGGCATTACCATACGCCCGTTTTGTCTCGGCACAGCGAAGATGTAGCTGGTAGGATTTTCGATAATACACAAACTGATAAAAGCCGCTTCCAGTTAACAGAACACTTAGTGATCCTTGGGTCGCCTTTTTCAGAGCGCCGCTCTTAGGCGCCCGTTTTGCTTACAAAGTTTTCTCCGCCCCCCCCCCCCCCCCCCCCCCCCCGCCAAAAAAAAAAAAAAAAAGTGTTTTGGATTTGTCTCTGGTCGGCGTCGGTTTCGGCATTGGCGTAACCCCGCGTTGGATAATGGGAAATGTTCCCTCTAAATTTAGCGGAGAAGCTTAACACGCTAAATTCAGCAGGAAAATGTTCCCGCTAAATTTAGCGGGGAAATTTACGCCACGTGACGTCCACACCAATTCACTTTCCCCACAAAATGTATGGGAAATCTTTTTGCTAAATTTTCCCTCTTAATATACTGGGGAAATTTTCGCTAGATTTCTCGCTAAATTTTGCTGGAAAATTTCCAATAAATTTTCCGCTGAAAATTTACGCTAAATTTCCCGCTAAACTTAACGGGAATATTTTCTTGCTAAATTTAGCGCAGATATTTTCGCAGAATTTAGCGGGATATTTTGCGAAAATTTAGCGGGATATTTTGCGAAATTTTCCCGCTAAATGGGATGGGGACCATGAGAGGGTACGGAGAGTAAGGAGGGGCATACCCTCCCATGTGAATTTTCAAATAACATAAGTGGGCAGAACACAGCGCATTTAGGCACAAAATTCAAAATTCGCCCTTAGTTGTCTTGAAGTCGTATAATAAAATAACAACATTCCGTTGGTGTCTCGGCAAAAACGCCGCCAAGCGGGGTAGGTAATCGTGAAAATCCTTAAGGTGACAGTATCTCGAGTACAAAAGTCTCAATTATTTTTTTAACTCATCCTTTGTGCATGAGTTTTTGGGTCGCTTTTAATGTCATTCAGTGAAACCAGCCTAATTTATCAGTGTCGGTGTTCTTAGGACATCCCTTCACCAACTTCTATTTTAATGTTTCTGGTAATTCACCAACAGATGCTGGAGTTCTTCGCTCAACATCCTGATGCTGGTGCAAGTAAACAGCCGCGTGAGCAATGCCTTCACACCGTGCAGAACAACATCGACTGGATATCCAAGTTCGAGCCGAAAGTCTCCGAGTCTGTACGTGTCCTGTTGAGCTGACCACAACAGTTACATAAACCGACGTCATTGAAGAACGCAAACCACAGCCATGCCAACTAGTGCAAATGAAGGACACCATTCCCGGAAATTCAACTTGTTTCACTCACTTTGCAATTTAAAGATGCCACTCAATACAGTTTTTAATTAAATCCTCAAAATAACTTACAATGAGGGAAAGCCCCCGTCTTCGCTGACCAAGCGCCCACATGTTAAAAAACTTTTTTTTTTAGATTAAGTTTAGTTAAGGTTTGCTTGCTGATTGGCTGAACTCGACTTTAGATTGCTGAAGTAAAACAAGATGAGTGTATACGAGATGGTTGTTGAGGACAGGACGCCATTTATTCCTGTTCGTACTATAACAGTATCTTCGTTGCCATTTTTCAGATTTCAGACCAAGTTCTAGGATCGTAAGAATCACCCATATTAACATTGCAACGTCGTAAATGTCGGCGATTTTTTTACGATCTTTAATGACCAAAGTGTTTTTGATAAACAGTCATGTATATAATATACATACATATATATATAAATGCATATGTCAACGTTTGGTACTTTTGTACTGTTGTATAACTCTGTGCCTTGCATCTTGTTCGTGTTTTTTTCAATGTGTTGCTGCCGCGTTCCCCCATTGCTAGGACTGTGTAAACAAGCATGTTGTGCCCAAGTCTGCATCTCAGAAAACGGTACGAACACAAAACACAATAATGTTCTACGTTTGTTCATAGGTCTTGTGGTACAGTCTTGGGCTAAATATATAAGGTATTCATCTGCATTGTCGTCATATTGTTTCTGTATTATCTCAAAGTTATAACTGCCCTTTCTGTCCGACAATATTTAAAAATCTCATCTAATCGTCTGGTGTTTCCTTTTGTTACTCCTTCTGTGTCTGAAGACATCAGCAAATTAATATTTTGAAAACCTTCTTTTGTTTTAATCACAACACAATATTTGTAACTAAGCTGGAGGAAATGTATGTGTAAAACTTTTCTAATTGACAGGTGTTAAACTTATATCAAGAACTCAGAGTCTATGTGTACCTGTGTTGTTTTTTGGTGTAAACTCACGCTCGCATGCACATATTTTATAGTAGATACACCTGCAAAATATTTCAAAGTCCATCGTAATATTTATAGATTTGTAGCCGGTTCCAGGAATCTGCTTATACACATCGATCATTGCTTATTCTTTCGTTCGAATAGGAAAATAAAAATGGGACCAGGAAGCAGCATTTGTTAGCAGCTAACTTCCAGCCCAGATCAATGTCGTGTCTGCACGTTAATCAATAATGAGTAATATTACAAACTCACGACCAAACTAGTTTTACCCGTCCTTGAGTGTGTACTATTTTTACCGAGCTAAAAGTGTTTCATTCAGTCAACTAATTACTTCTATGTTGCATCACGGCTGCAAGTTTTGACAGAAACATACATTGATGCAATTAAGGTTTCTAAACTCCTTCAAACAAGAACTACTCTGACTTCTATATACTTATCTCAACGATATACTCTTCTTAGCTTCCCAAATTAATTCAAGCACGCTACTTTCAACATTATACAAAGAATAAGGCAAATCATTTATAAAATATGACACTGCTGCTAAAACAACTGCTCCTGTTTCTGCTATGGAAGGATCCTTGGTTGTCTGGCTTCGACAGGCAGGGTTTGGTTATACAAGCCACTCTTGTACAAAAAATATATTTTTCCGCAAGTGTAATTGGTGCGCGAACCCTCGTCTAAGGGCGTACCAACCTATTTAATAAAATGAAGTGTTTTACCTATTTTTAACTTGTTATTGTTTCAATGATTTCTATGAAGGTTTGCGTTCTATAGAATTCCTTAAAAAGCATCTTTAGTGTTGTTTCCTACCTCAATTTCTTAAAATCAGATCCGCGTAATTGATCAAAGATACGATATGGGGACCCGCCCCGTCCACATCGATTTATTTTAAGGAGATTATTTTTGAGTAATTTTAACGCCTAGGCTGTCGGAGGGTTTTGTACACTCATTTGTATTCTGGGTACTTTTTTTTTCAAATAAATATATGTATCATTCTGACCTCTTAAAGGAGCCATGAAACGAGTTTTCTGCTTTCGCTACTTAGAATCGCACCCTAATGATGATAACTGAATAAAATTGCATTAGCATTTCTTTCTAACCAATAAACATTGCCAAGAAAGAAAAATAAAAATCATGAGCATGGTTTATTTCCTCAACTCGGCGCCAGAAGATTCAGCCACGTGGTCTGGTGCCCAGAGCCTTATATTAGGAGAGTTTGGCCAATGGGCGGAGCAAAGGCCGCCGCCAGCGCCGAATACTCCCGCCGTGGTTAGAGCGTAAACTAAAGGTGCGACACAGCATCGACCAATCAGCAGACCACGGCGTCACAATATTGGAAACGACATTTAAAGCGTGAAATAGAAGCGTTCGATCTCGGACTCTTGGTGATAGTTTGCTCTGGACCGGCTTGCTAGAACAGCGTCTCAGCTGAGACTGGCTGAAAGAAAATAGTGCAAAGGGTGGGGCGCGCGAGCGAATTGAGACCCGGAGTCCCGCTCGGATCGTGCGCTGGCTTTGGCAGTGCTTTCTTGCCCCGTCTCAGCTGAGTCGCTGTTTCCAGCAAGTCGGACCTGGTTTGGAGCGCACGTTCGTTTATTCTAGCCTTGGATATGGGCGTGACGAAAACCTCAGATGAGCCGAGTTTTAAGTCACCAAGAGTTACACCTTTTTACTCGAGCGGCGTTAAAAGAGCTCACGATCATCACTAGGGGTTGTTTCGCGGTCTGTGGTTGGCCCCGAGATGCTCGTTTATTCAAACCAATGTATGGCCAAACTCTCCCAATACCCGGGTCTGCTGGTGCCTATCCTATGATGCCAACGTTATCATACCCCGCGCGCTGGGGTTGGCAACGTAGAAAATGGGTGCTGAGCTCCAGGCATTGCTAGAGTTCGGCTACTCTCATGACCGCAGTGGTTGGTCACGAGCCACCCGAGTGTCCACCGGGGCATTGATTGTTACGAGCCGAAGTCGAGTGCTCACGCAGTTCTCGTGTCCAATCCATGAGCGTTGTTCGACTGTCGTCGGGCGGGTGGTTTCGAACCCGCAATGACGTCAGCAAGCTTTGCGAAGGCAAGATTGAAAGAAATAATCCCCTTTTATCGTCACTATTATCGTCACACGAAGAAACTTCTCAATCAATGGTGGTCTGTGTGCCTCTGCAAAGTCATAAACATTCCAACCCAACATCGTTTCATGACCCCTTTAATGGCGATTCGAAACACTCCATTCATTCAATAAAAATAAAACAACAATTCACTCATCAGTTTTAAGACATTCGTCACGTGCGTTTATTTCATATCTATATACAAATAATAGGCCTAAAGCGAGACAAATTTTTCTCGGGTATATCCTGTGACGAAGCCAAGAGAGACAAAACAATTTAAGTAATATACACTCAATATTATACAACTGCGTCCCAAGAACACTATTTGATGTGTTTCCAAAGCTTGCCCTTGGTTTCATAAAAATTCACCTTAGCTCTTTTTATTATTTACAGTTGTTTTAATATGAGTATGATGCTTCATGCTAGTTAAAGGAGCAAAGAAACGTTGCACTCACTGTAAGGTGAAGTTCAATTCAGGATTTTATATATACACAAACAAAGAAAAAGTGCTGTAGTCCAAAGCAATATTATTTCCAACTGTCTTCTCACCTATTCACTCTTTTGTCAAAATATGTTAACATTAAATGTAGTCCTCCAGTGAAAAAGTTACGTCTTTTTTTTAGTTAAGTTTAATACCACACTCAAAACTGCACTTTAAGGTGGGTAAATTCCCGTTTGTGACAAACGGTACTGATCGCTGTCTCTTGATTTGGGAGTTTCTCGATTATTTTAAAGACTATTACACATTAGGAGAACAGCATGTACAGACACAAACGCACACGAGGGCATTACGTAAGTTCTATAGAGCACCCGCCGTATTGTTCTGTAGAGCACCCACCAGAAGTTTTCAATGGGCTTTAGCTTTTTTTTTTCAACGTCTTGATGCCCGGTTTTTCCTCCAGTTGTCTTTGCTCTTTTACTGGCCCGTTGTCGTGCTCCAAAATAATAATCGTTTGCTGAAGAGTGCTCCAAATAATTATCGATAATTCTGTTCGACTTATAACCAACATTCGCCAGCATCTGAGCTTGGTCTTTTCTTTGGTGATTTGATGAGCATGCGTGATGTCTGCAGTCCACTACGTGCAAAAGTGTCGCTGTACAGTGATGGGGCAGGTATCGCACTTGACGGAGCAACACCAGAGGAACTTGCAGTTGCACGTCTCGGAGTGCACTTGTATTTCGCGCCGTACGCCCAGGCCGCAGTCGTTGCACAGTTTCCTGCAGCTCTCCTGCTCCGACCGCGACACGTTCGCTCCGGTGCGTCTGGGAAAGATAACAAAAGCGTTTACATCGTAGACAAGATTCGTATGCGCGGCAGATTTTTTTCTTGCTTACTACACATAACTCAACATATGCCTATAAATGTACACCTTAGTGGTGTAATATAACTAAAACATAGTCAGTTTTGAGCGGCAAACATTACTGTATGTTGTCAAGGCACAGCCCAAATTTTGTTTTGTTCCACGCGTTTTCAATGCTTCAGAAGTAAAATATATATATATATATATCGTCACTTTTTACATTTTTATTACAGGGGGAGCGCAAGCTCTTTCGTACTTTTACTATATAGTAGATCGATGCATGAGATCAGCGTGAGCCGCAATATTTTTGAAGGCATACAAAGCTCGCGCTGTAGTCGGAGCATCTAGTGTTGATCCTATGTAGCAGTAAGCTGCGATTACCACATAGACTTAATCTGGGACGTTCTCAACCTATAAAACTCACACTAGTTTGTTTTTGCTCTCTAAAAATAGGCAGTCTACAAAGAAAAACAAAAAAAAACAGCAGTTTCTTTTTTTTTCAATTAGCAGGCAGAAGAAGTGGCCAGGTGATCTAGTACCATTATTATGCCGCCATATTCCATCATAGACACGCGTTGGGATTAGCAAAGCACAGGAAAAATGCTTAACAGTTCGTTCAGCTCGGTTGTGCCTGAGCCTCCTGCGTAAGTTTCATAATGCCTGCCAACGCAGAGCGCGCGCAATACGAGGGCAGCCAGAACAAAGTGAGCTTAGCTCACGGCTGGTGGCGCTAAGCAGCGCCAGTGTCTGCGGTAAAGACAACCTTTGTAAGGCATAAAATAACGCAAAAAGGACAAGGACAAGAAGTATAGAGGACAGGGTTAGGCGCTAACTTATTAAGGAAAAGCAAACATATATATGCACACGACAGGCAAAGCAGCACCACGTAAAAGTTTATTATTTTTTTTACCCGATCATTCAAAAACTGAACTTATATGAAGTATAATAGAAGTGTCGCTGACAAATGCCGTCCCACTTTTTTTTTATATAGAATGCCTCGAATAGCTCTCGAGCGACCGTCTCTCGGCTTCTCTCCAGTATCCTTATCTGTCCTGTATATTTCTTGTCCTAGTCTTTTTTGCGCCATTTTATATGTTTTACTAAGATAAACCAACTAGCCCAACAACGTATACCCCACTAGACGACCTTTTGCTTTGCATGGAGCATGCACACTAGGTAATGGGTTATTGTGCCGGCAAGTGAATATCCCTTGGCAGCCGCTCGCGTTAATTTTGCCGTCTGTTGCTGGTTTTCGAGGCATCCGAGATTATCGCTTCATTCGATTCAGTATAAAAGGAAGCCAGCGGCAGCAAATTGGTTGTAGACGAATTAAAACGCGAGTGAAATATAACCCGAGCCTAGACGTGTCATGTTAACTTTTGAATCAGGAGGCTTGTTAATGAAAACTCTGTATTTGGAAATTAACGAGGAAGGCAGTTGAAGGAACGTTTGTAGAACACACATTAAACCAGACGTAATAGATCCAATCTGTATAGTTAAAACGCGATTGTGCCACTGTGTTGAACGGCGTTCGTGGGGCCAGCGGACAAGATATTGACATCTCGCCAGTGTCTGTCGTCTCGTTTGGTTGTTGTATACCACTTTATGTCTGCGACACAATTATGCTAGCTGCGAATGTGCATGACAAAATGAAGCGTACATTGATTATGTCCCTCCGCTTATTAGAGACCACACCGTGGAAGGTCTTTAGCTCAACTTTTGAAAACTACGAGACAGAGGCCTTCGCACAAACTTTGTGTACGCTTTATTTTTTTTTTTTTTTAATTTTTACTGAAAGGATAGCTTATTAGAAGTCACCTGACGATGAGCCTCGTGTTTGGTTGGGCAGAGTAGCAGAGGAGAGTCGCAAACTGCTGGCTCTGTTAACCTGGGAAGTGTCTCGAAAACTCGCCAGTTCCCCACATTGCATGAAAACACATCTGCCGCAAACATTTTGACAATGTTGAGCAGATCAATTAGTTTGTCCGAGGGGTACGGGACTCTTGCTGGATCTAGGTGGCTTGTAAGTCCATTCAAATGGCTATTGGTCATTGGTTTCGCTGTACTACATGAGCAGGAAAGGCATGCCAAGTGTTCGTTTACGACACGGGCGATGTAGCCTCTGATGTGTGCCGTTGCAGCTGATAACTCGAGGACCTGCATTCTTCTTGCAGCATAATGGGACGGCACAGCCAAAATTTTCGCTACACTTTTTGGAAGGTCGAATAATGCGGTGACTGGCACTGTAGGTAGAGCGCAATGTCAGAACGAGCGCATTTATAGATCCGTCGCTCAGGCGGGAAGTACTTGCCGCAGCCGGGTAATAATAGGGCTTGGCGAAGTGAACTATAGATCACAGGGACACCGCTAAGCGCGACGATCGAGCATGGTGATATATAGGAGCTTATGCGTGTTCTAATGCCCGTGGCCCACTAGAGCGGCAGGCAGAAACAAACGACAGCGACAAGCCTCAAACCAGTGTTTCGCGATTTGAGAGGCTTTGTAGAATAAAGGAGGCTATGCTCAAACACGAGCATCATGCACGCGAAAGTATCTTTGACAGGCTTGCAATCGCTCGTGCTTACTTCACGAGCACCGAACGACTAAACGCCTGCCAAAGGTACCATCGCGAGCATGCTGCATGGGTTTGAGGTTTGTCGCTGTCTTTCGGGTCTGTCTGTCGCTCTAGTGGGACACGGGCGTAACTGAGCGAGGCGCTGTCTCATGGCGAATTCCACTGGGCGTTTTGGAGCGCGCCGGGATCAGTTGACCAGATCCGGACTGGAGCACACGATCCGAACGGGGTCGCGCCGTCTACGGATCCCCAGTGGAACATGACCACTTCTCCGGGATCGGCAGATGCCGGTCCCGGTAGCGCCGGCAAATGCCTTCTCTTCACCTTCCTGAAAAACGAACCGGCTGTCAAGCCAAGGGGTAAGCAAGCGGCCATTACGAATTCTTCGGATGTAAAAACAATCTAGCTAGGAGCCCAGCCCGAGACGTGCTTCTTCTTCTTCTTAGGCGAGATGGGCGAGATCAGGCGAGATGCCCCACGAAAGAGGAAGTCACGTGTGTGCGCCGAGGGCTGGCCCGGCTGGCTTCCGGTTGAATCCGCCAAAATCGTGGGAGCGTCTTTTCTCGGATCCAGATCGAGATCTGGAGCGGGGGCTAATCCAAAACGAGCAGTGAAACACGTCGGTCTCGATCCCGACCGCCCAGTGAAATAGGCTCGCTCCAGAAAAGTCGACTACGGCGCGCTCCGAAACGCCCATTGGAAATCACCATCAGTTATCCAAATTTCGCGCTCAAAGTAATTTTTTTTTTTTTATTGGCCGTTTACTACGCTGAGGGTGGAAAAGTGACGGGGTTTTCACGCAGGGGCAGCTCCGCTGACAGGCATACTAAAGCTTACATAGGAGGCTCTGACTCAACCCCTCCGCGGAGCAATTGAATATGAACCACTGCCTGAACGTTCGCCGGGGCATTGATTGTGTGGAGTCGTGAGACGTCATGTTTGAAACAGCCGCTTTATAACATCTGTAGGATTAGAATGGCTCGAGTCCCGGGAGCACAACACGCGCACCCGATTGCGTGCCTGAATAGTCCTCTTCTTCACTCCAGCGGGCCGCTACAGGTGCCCCCCTTCTAGAATCGGAGCTGCTGCACAGAGCTCGAACGCCAGCAGTGGCTGGCTGAACGAGCCCGATAGATCGGGGTATCCCAACGGAGCCCTGGACTGAGGGCACCGACCGGGGACATCAAAGTCGTCCCACTTGTGGGACAATAAAGTTTATGGTGATGATGATACACTACTGCGTGAAGGAATTATGTTTATAGTTGCTGCCCAGGTTACGTGCTTCACAGGCTTGGTTCTGCATGAAGTCGCACTCTCTTGTGTCATGTCTGTTCGCTCCCCGTGCCTCGTAGCAGTGATGTTGCAGTGTGTGTGTGCGTGTGTGTGTGAGGGGGGGGGGGGGAGGCTTGTGAAACTTTTGGGGGAGTTTCGGACTCTACAAACAATTTTCTCCCCGCCCCCCCCCCCCCTTTTCTACGCAACATGCTTCCCCCTCTTTGCAAATATCACCTGATCTTCGAATATCTGATCTCCTTCGGGCAGGAAGTTTTGTTGATAAGCAATACAACCACTGAAATTCGAAAGTAATTTGTAACTTGAGTAGAAGTTACTCAAAAAAGTAATTAAAGTAAACTACTAATTACCTAACTAAAATTGTAATTGAAAGTTACTTAACTACTTAGAAAAGTAGTTAAACTACAGTAACTTGAGTTGAGTAGTTGAACTACGTACAAGTCTGAGCCACAGTAGGTGCGGTAATGTCGGGTATAGGAATGGCTTAAGGCCAACGTGTAAAGCGGTCTACACAGGTGGGTAAATTTGTGTGACCGTTCGACGGTGGGAGAGGCCCAACCAGATCAATGTGGATATGATCGAAGCGTCGATTCGGTAAGGGGAACGTTGATAAGGGTGTTTTAGCGTAGCGTTGGATTTTCTGTCGTTGACATTCCTGACAGGAACTTGTCCACGCGCGTACATCTGTGTTCATTCTTGGCCAAACGAAACGGGATGCGACCAGTTTCTGCGTAGCCCGGATGCCAGGATGAGAGGGACGGTGAAGAGTTTCGAATACTGGCTTGCGGAAGTTAAGTGGCACATATGGGCGAGAAGAGCCTGTCGACGTGTTACAAAATAAAGGATGAGCTGAGGATGGCAGTTCGATTTCCTCAAGTGTTAAAAATGATGACGGCTGAAGGTTTCTCAGCTAATTGACTTTTTGTTGCGCAGCGGCCATAGCAGCGAAATCGATCTGATGATGATGTGGTGGTGTTTGTAAGACGCCGATGTCTGCCCGAGACAGGGTGTCTGCCACAACGTTGGCGTTTCCTTGAATATGTCTGATATCGGTTGTAAATTCAGAAAATGAAGGCTAAGTGACGAAGTTCTTG